CGATGTAATGGTTCTCTCTTTTGGCAAAAAACTCTTAGCCATATGAAGTAATTCCATATTTTCATATTTCCTCACCATATTACCGCTAACACATTTCTGGCAGATTTCCCTCTCTATGGAATATTCTTGCGCACTTCAGGAGGTATGTTGACATTTTTATCATTACATCAACTTTATTGTTAGAAGTACTTTTTACCTGAACTTTGTCCTCTTTTTCTTTTCCTCTTAGTCTTTTCATTAAAGTTTCATATTTACCTTTAATTTCAGCAATTGTTTTCTCCTGTTGTTTTATTTTACGGTACGTTTAGGCTCTATCCTTACGAATACTTTTTCATCCCACTGTTCTTCTTACTGAAGGTGTGGCAGCTAAATCATCACCGCAATGTGGTGGAGAATTGTTTGTTATACTTGATAATGCCTTGTTCTTCTCCCTGTGTTTTTTGATGCATTTTTCAAGATTCCTTTGCTTTCGCTTTTCTCTGTGAGTCATCTGAGTAATATTTTTAACTTTTTTTTCAGCTTTTTTGTTTATGGTAAGCTCTATCCTAGCCTTTTTAATTTCTCTCTCTTCCTCTGTCATCTTATCTAAAAATATGCTTTTTCTGGCATTAGCTTTTTCGGTGGCGCAAGTAAAATGAACTATTTTTGGGAAGGTGCTTTTTCGAACGTTTTTTATTTATTGAAGCATCATAAGACTCCATATTGCTAAAAAAATGAAACATTTATTAAAAACTACGTTAGCACAACATTCACTAAATTAATTAACCAATAGTTGTAACAAATGTCAGTTTGATAATGAAAAAGTCATTTCGAGAACGTCATCATCATTTCGAGAATACTCCGTCAAGTCAGGGAATGTTCCCGAAATGACTGTTCTCGAAATGACTTTTATAAATAAACGCGCCTTTATTTAAAAGGCCGCCACCTTTGACATCATGTTTGGTTTAATTAATGTAAAATACTTGGGATTACTATTCGTTATAGACCCTATTATACGTATTTTTCATTCATTTTGACCTAATAAACGCATTCCCGGTATGATGACCTATTGATGTACGCTCTGTAAATAATGAATCGAAAGGTACTTACCACTTATTTTTAATTATTTTGGCGAGAAACTTTCTTGACAGCCACTTTGTTTACATCTTTCATTACACTGCACCATAAACATCTACAGACCACGTTCAGAAACACAATATTTTCGGGCAATCAAAACTGTGTTCACTCAAATGACGCTTACATTGTCGGACATAATATTTTGACTTAATTATCCTTAGTTTCTTTTCTCTCTTTAATAATGCATATAATTACTTAATAGTAGATAAAATTTAAGGCTAATAAGTAAGAAAAACCATAAAATTTATTTTATTTTATGTATATTTCCGGTGTTGGTTTTTAAAGATTGCTACTTAGGACGCGTTCTCGAAATGATTTTTTGTAGTTATTTCTTCAAATAATAATGAATATGTTTTACTTTTGAAGTATAATATATAATATATGAACCCTTTACAGTATTTACAAATAATAATTTGTTTAAAAAAAAAACGCACTGAGGCAGCTATTTTCAAGTAAAGCTGATTTTCCACCTTGGTGATTTTGACCCAGTTATCTCCCTTAGTCAGCTCTTACAACACCCACGGGATGAATAGGGGTGGTAACAGTCCGTTTTCTTAATCCATCACGATGTAAGCAATCTACCGATCTTACCAACTTCTCCTTTCTTGTCAACTCCCAATTTTCTCATCTAATTCTTAGTACCCGGTTGTAAAAAAGTAATGGGTTTAGCCCCTATTACGTAAATGGGTTTAAAATTATAGTCTGGAAAATGTGGGTGTGTTTAATACGCCTGATATTGCCCCCTAAGGGATATGATGGGCGTGAGTGTACGTATTACCACTAATTAGGGCGTTATGGATAAGGCATGTAAATGTTTTTTTAGCTGTTGTCAATTTGAATGATACATAGCATCGTAGAACAGTACAAAACTTAGAAACAAAGTGGTTAACTGATAGCTAATGTTTCTCTTCTCTGATCGACAGAATCGATGTATAAAAAGACATCCGAATAATAATAACAAGGTAAAAATAATATTGAAAGACAAGTGACTGCACCGATGGCGTAGTGGTTAAAGCGGTTGCCACGCCGCTTCCTACTGCGCTGAGTGTTGTGGGTTTGATCCCCACATGAGACACCACTATGTGTGATCCACAAATTGTTGTTCTGAGTCTGGGTGTTCTTTGTCTCCGTTTCATGTATGTTTGTAAAGTCCCCCGCCACAAACGTGTGAGTGAGGTAACCGGAGCCCAAACTTTCCTTCTGATTCTGGAAGGAGAGGTACTGAGGAAAACTAAAAAACTTGTAACTCTGAGTTGTGAGTGTCCGTGGGCCTCCGAGTAGACACTATAATTTGACCAGTATCCTCGTTTGTCCCTCTATACCATAAAAACAGTTACAAAAGCACCAATAAATATTTTGCTTTTATTGTAATGATTTTAATGATGTTGATGATGTTTTTATTGGCTATTCAGTATTAAAATATAAAGAAAAGCGTTTTTTTTCTGCGCAAGGTTTCACCTAATTGTTGTTTTCACGTTTTATATATTGACTTTAATAAGTCATTCAGATAATGCCTCGTGTTGATTGTGTAGGTATTTAATGTTAATGCAATTAGTATAGAGATAAACGAAAATTGAACTCATCCAAACAAATCACATGAACCCAAACTGTGGGGTTTTAAAGAGCTCAAAGATGATACATTACACTTATTCAATGCGAGTATTGTTGTTCACATTATACGAGTACTGTTTTACTATCTATATAAATAGAAAGTTTCATTTTGATACGACAATGAATGAAATGAAAATTGCAAATAGGTTAAAACTAACTTCCAAGTTTTATTTACATAGACAGTTACAAGTACAGCTAATAAAATCGTGCTAAAACGTACTATTCATAGAAACAATCGCTTTATCTATTGATAAAATTATCTTTTGCTATAGTGCCGATAATCGGTGTTTGGGTGTCATCATAATTCATGATATATATTGAAACAAATTGCTCGTCTTCCGTCAGTGCGCGATAACCCCCTCTTATCAGCCGCATTACAGTCGGCCTGCGTCACTATTTAATTACGACACTGACAACTGGATTATAACAAATCGATAAAAGAATCATACCATGAGCACGATAGACATTGTGTTATGGGAAATTCAACAGTAGCTTGTGGTAGCTAGAACACAGATACGTTGTCTGCACGTGGACAGTTGTTAGTCTTTGTTGGGCTTTAAACAGACAGGGGAGGGCTTTACAGCACGGCAACAGAAAAAAGGCGAGAGGATAGATGGGGAAGTCTTGTCTGATTTTTATTTTGGTGCAGTTGATCCAAACCTAAATCAAGGCCGAAACAGACAGCGAAAGGTATATTTAAAACAACAAGGACGACGAACTCCCATATAGAATAACCCATCAGGGACATAAGAGCCTTTTTTCAGCCGTGGACTATAATATGCTGACGATGATGTTGATTGTGGATTCCATCAGTAGATACGTTTGAGATCAGAGAAAGCATTTCGTTACAGCCGTGCCACCAATACGTGTCACCCGGCCAAACTGTCGTCAAACTTATCGCAATTAGATCCTGTTCTTCTCCAAGTAGACGAGATTATAAAAGTCATTTAATTAGAGAATTCTCACATTCAGCTAGGAAACAACACAATATGTTTGCTGTTGAAAGGAGACGGACATTGAAGAATCAGATACGACTTCTCGACTTTTCTTAAAGATTTTATTGTTTTTTTTTTTGTAAAACGATATTATAAACTGAAAAATAAGTGGTCCTTTCTTTGACACTAAAAGCTCTTATTACATTTCGTCGTCGTCTTTTACCCGAAGGAAGTTGAAATTCTCAATCCGTGACCGCCACCGGGAAAATTAATGACTGAATTAACTAATTCAAGGTGCTGAAAGCTTAAATAAATAAAGCCGTTCAATACTATTTAATTCGATTCGGTGCATTACGAGGTTTTTTCTGTCAAGGTTATAACATATACACGCTTTTGTAAAGGGAATAAAATATCGATAAAATGTATGTACCAATGATTACTACTCGTATGCGGTGTAAAATACCAATGTTAGTTTCAGTAATCTTTTGGGCGCCCTCGTTTTCAAGAATATTTTCATGGCTGTGATTGGCAACCAATGCTTTTTTCAGTATCTGCCAACAACACCGCCACCCATACCTTTATGACTTACATCACCCTTATAGTTAACACACTCAAAGAATTTAATAACACATAACGCACTCAAATACACACTCATATGATTCACATAACCACAAAACTATTATACTGTATCAAATTGCAGAATGTACCAGATTAATGTAATAAACTCCCCCTCATGGTGGTTTAACCGTATGGGGAAACTATAAAAAATAACGTGTTTGGAAATGCTTATGGTGATCTGGTTTAAAAAGTAACGAAGTCACATTCCCAAAGTTAGGGATAGAATGTAGTACAAACATTAGGGTATGTACTGTGTAGTACAGTAGGGCTACTGAAGCTTAGTGGTAAATAGGTTGGGACTCCCAACTTGGGAACAGAGCTGCAATTTATACAAAGAATATAGGCAGCCCAAAATAACAAATGTTAATAAAACGCAATAATAGATGAGAATAGAAGATATGTTCTAACCGAAAACATCTAGACGCGGAAGTAGACAAGTTAGTTGTGCTGAAAGAGGCACGAATATTTAGTTATTTAGAAATGACGGATTTCAATAGTGTACTAAACAAATAAACATGACCAAAGATGTTTATCAGGTCAGGAAATTCTCACAGTGGATTTAGTCGTTAACGTCTATTTCATTTGCTATTAATATAAAACAATATACACAGTACTACAGAATTTAATACATTAGCAAATAGATTCATAGTTAACCTTGTAAATATACATGGTTAACTCTGAATCTAACTAGGAAAATAAATAAAAACAACTGGCACTTACCATTAGTGACGAGTTGTTGCAATCGATTGGGCAAGTCTGCACTCGTGACTTCCACTCCTTGCGGGTGCAAGATATCAGGCATCGCGTTCCTCCGCCCCGTACGGCCCGTATCCAGGAATTCCTTTGGTACCTCATTATTTCCTTCCTGCATTATTGCCATCATTCTCAGTACTGAAAACGGGTAATTAAGCAACTCTAACTCTAGCCACATCATTGAACCAGACAGTGGTGCTCATTCGGTTGTTCTCGTTACTATTTTTTGTTTTTAATCAATGGTAATGATATTTTGCAAATCAAGTTTATGTGTTCAAAAATAACAATGTTTAATTTAAAAAAAGTAAATAATGGATGAAATTGAATGGACGATTCCATCGTCTACCATCTCAAAGGGTTTAGAACTGTCCTGTATATTTTCTGTAGCCTAACAAAATAATTTAATAAAGGTTTATAAGATAAAATAAACTGTCAAGATGACCGTATTTTAATGTGAACAGAACCTGAATAGTTCAGTGATTATTAGCTTAGTCTACAGTCTGGTATCAGAATGAGCACCATTGACGAGAATATTAATACTAAATTTTATATAAATAACATGCAATGAATTTATAATAAATTTTATATAATAATATGCAATGAATTTAACTAATGTATCAATAAAAAATAACAATTATAACACTGCTACATTAAATGAGTCTGACAAGGATGCGCTACATCACAGCAAAAATGTTGAGAAAACTAATTTATACAGTATGGAACTATTGCATTCCTGTTCCCCCTGTTACACAGGACGTGGTTTTATTCAGACAGATGTCTAACGACTGTTTAAGACAATAAGATTATCGTTTTGGGATCTAAAAGATAAATCTTAATGTCTATTAACCCATAGACAGGCTGTTTATGAATGCGTCGCTTAAACTCCCCGCAACCATTACAAGCAAAGGACGGTAATGTTGGTCTGTCGCCAGACTGTAGATGCGGATAAAATCCCTCCCACACGATAAAATTTTATGAGGAATTTGTTTAGATTTTCGAACATTTCGATCGATTCTCACGTATGGAGACAAATTACTCGATCCAAGATAATAATATAACTCACGAACTGATAAAACGTGTTAATAACACACCTCTGTATACAAAAATTGACAATTTAATTTACGTCAACGTCCATCCGATTTCATTCCACATGATCATCAAGTCAAGCGATTTCTACATCTCAACGACTTTGAATTCGACTCCATATGCAACAATTTTTTTGTAAATTGAAGTCTAATTAAAAGTAATATTGTCCATTAGTAAAATTGTATGGTGTGGAAGTCATTTTAAGGACTCGTGGAAAGGTTGTTCGTAAATATGACGAAAACACGCGCAGTAACCATGAAAAGTAAAAACGATAATGTTGGCTTGTCGCCAGTCAGTAAAGGTGGTTTAGTCACGGTGTCGCATTTACATTTTACCGCAGTGGATCTGGTGTCGGGGACACCGTGTTGTTTCAATCGGTTTGACTCCAACATAATCACTTCGTCACGCTCACAGTAGGGTGATCACCGAAGTTAAAATATAAATAAAAATTGACAATCAATTCGCTGATTAATTTTGAACTACATCAATCTTTTAATTACAATATTCTACGTCGTGGTTGATTATTATGCAGGCTAAGTATTACCTTAGCAATAAAAAAATAACACGTAACAGAAAGTTACAGATGTATGACGTAAAGAAAAGATGATAAACATATTTGATCGCTGTCGATGTGTTTATTATCTTCTGAGATAAGATAAAGCGGAGTAGATAGTTAAGCCGGCCATTGACGTATATAGATGTTTTAGTAAAAGTATGTTTATCGTCGTAATGCAACCCGAACACGGACGTAAGAATTCATGAGTACCATATTTCACATTCTAAGTTTTTCGTAATCCCTGAATTCTGCTTCATTACTGTATTATAACTACTAGATACCTATCGTGTCATGCACAGTATCCAGGAGTGCGGATTTAGTGGTTTGCGAGATGTCCCACTGACTAAAAGTGGCTTTACTGCGTTATGAGCTCTTGGATTTACAACTATGAAATAATAATAGATAAACATACTGTAAAAAGCTATCATACTACTGCTTTGCTTTATGGTTTTACGACGTTTATAACACAAAATTAAGGCAATAAGGGTCCATTTTTCTCATGCTGATTTCTGCCTGCATGCGGTACGCAAGCAGTTAATATATACATCTTTTTCCTATCACGCGAACAGCACGTACGTGGCACGCGGACCGCACGTACGTATAACGTTCATTGGCTGCGGAAGGGCAATCCGTACGCCAGCCATCCGCGATCGCACGTGCAATCTGACGTGTGTAGTGTGCCTAATATCTAGCGAGGGGGCTTCTTACGGTAATGGCCACCTACGGTGCATGGATGTTATTAACCCGCTCGCACATGTGTTGCCTACTGAGATTGTCGCTTCGTGGTGATCTTTTATACTTTTAGTACAACACCACTAAGTACGACAAGATGTTAGTGGCAAGTTTTCTAATATATAATAAGAAGGGAATCGTCATATACCGTCATATTTTAATTTTTTGATGCATCAAATTACAAGCTAAGTAGACACTTCACTTGGGATTAAAAGATGATTTTAATTTACAACTTTTTAGACAATATTAGCGTCTTTTTATTCATATAAACAGTTTTTTTTTTATGGAATAGTGGGCAAACGAGCAGACGTGTCACCTGATGGAAAGCGACTACCACCGCCCATGAACGCCTGCAACTCAGGAGTCAGAAGCGTGTTGCCAGCCTGCGAGGAAGGATTTCTTGGAGGTTTGAAGGTTGTGTCGGTCCAAAAATACCGCAGCCGGTAACTTGTTCCACAGATTGGTAGTGCGAGGCAAAAAGTGTATTGAATTGCACGTTACATGAACTCTTGCATATGATAATTAATGTATTTAAGCTTTTGACAAAAAAAATGGGAGGGAGTTAAAAAAAAGTATTTACAATATAACTCATCATCATCCGCAGCCTTTAGTAGTCCACTGATTGACATAGGCTTTACTATACCCAGGGGATGAATAGGGTTGGTAACACCGTAGTCAATACGTATATTCTTAATCTGTCTCCACATGGGCAATATTTGGTTTTGTCATATTATTATGTAAGAACTTTTTGTTTACACAGTTTATCAAATCTAAAAATAGTTTATGATAGTTTATACTGTACTATGTACCAAAAGGAGTATACATATAAAAGAACTCATAATTAAAATGTATGTCTTCCATTATTGTTGCATGCAAGGAAGTCACCATTGTTATTCAAATCATGAGAGTATTTTCATTCGCCAACGAGGCAATGATGTCATGATGGCTAAAAACTATACTTATAACAGAACACATACAATGTCACATTATTGTATTGTAGTGTTAAACTGAATCATACAACTTCTCTTAATAAGATACAATAAGTTTGCATAACTAAAATATCATTTACCTGATAATGACAGTTCTCTACTGTACCAAATTTTACAAAAAAACATTTAACAGCTATTACTGTAAAACATGTGTTTTTCCTATTATAAGAGCATGTTAAAAAATTAAATTGGTTGCCTGTAAAGTCGGTATACGGGCGAAAGTTTTACGTGACAACGACTATGTCTGTCTCTCTCGCTCTTAGGCGGGCTAACCATGCCCGATTGGAAGGGACGCGTGCCTCTCACTCGCTCTCATTGTGAGCGCATAACGTGAGCGGAGCGTAACGCAGTTTCTGGACACCCGTCACCCGGCAAACCAATTTATAAGACGTTGTCACGTCAAAAATTAAATGTAACATTTCAATGTTTCAGTGTTAAAATTGTCTCTAAACAACAATAAGAGCATTTGATTCAATAGTTTCAAACTACCATGCAAGCAACCAAACATGTGAAATTTAATTCCAGAAATCCAATATATTCCAATACACATGCAACTAGATAAAAAGATTCCAATGAAAGTGAAACAATATAAAATGTATTTAGAAAGGGCAACAAATACATTTAAAGTAATAGTTTTGTACCATTTCATCCCAATAATCTTCAGTCGCTGCTAAGTAGGCGCCCCAAGTTGATCTAAGAGATTGTCACTCTACACACATCATGCACCTCACAATCCTGGATTGATACAAGTATGTGGTTAGTATGAATTACCAGATGACTTCTGTTACATGGCCATCTTTGTTTGGTAGAAAATGTGGTTAGTATTGTAAGAAAATAGTGAAACTGCCTAAAAAATTGAGAGTAGCAAAAACCAAGCTTATTTATTGAGAGATTTATGTACTTTGTGGTTTATTTTAAAAAAAAGTATATATTCTGTACTACCTCAACATGTAATCAAAATATCTTAATGTTTTCAAATAAATCAATATTCATAATGAAACCATTTTTAATGTGATAAAATTAATATTATTATAATTGATCACATGAAGAAAACCTTAAGGAGTTGGACACAGAAATAAATTAAAATGATTGAATTATAATTTTGTACTTCATATTTTGTAATACTAGACTATGTCTTTAGCCATAGATGTTCCTCGTATTTTACATTATTTTAGAAAAGATAAACAAACAGTCTACATGTATTTATGATTTATTAATACCTGGCTTTGTTAATTAAACTTCATAAAATGACCTGTACTATTGTAACATGATAAATAGGCGAATGATCAATTAGCCAATGATATAATTTTTAACAAGCAAACACTACTCAAAATGAAAGTTTTCAAGCAGTAATTAAATGGATTGTTCAAACGCGCTACCAGCATGCGTCCCCATCGTACCTGAACTATTTTTAACGCGTCGGTCCCTCCTATGTTTAGACACCCTACCGCTTAGGATCTTCGACATTTTAAATTCAAAGAGATAAACCACAATTTTCAACAAACAGTTACACAAAAATTATTGATTCAATAACTTCAAAGGCGTACTCACTAGAACTATACTAAAAACGTTCCATGAATTGATAGTTTTATCACAAGTATTCTGAATAGCACACGTGAGACGCGAATTTTTAACAAATGTAGTTTGAACTCATTTTGACTGGCCTATACTACATGTAGAGCGCGCACAAAAATCACAGTAATACACAATCGAAAGACAATCGTGAAGTTATGACATAAAGAAGCCATGACAGCTTTGACAAATTGACATGAAAAATATTGAAAACAAAAGAGATTTCTTTGACTTACCATTATAAAAAAATAAAAAATATTAAGACAAACGACCAGAAGTGAAATTCTCTCATCACGGTTGCAAATGTGTCTGTTTAATTTAAATAATAGCTGAATGAAATAACACGATCCCCACATACTACATATTCTGCTTGTGACCATTTTTAAACATACTTAGAGAATTTTAATACATAGAGCAACACAGGCCCCCTAGAGTACATATCTATTAATCTATGGTAGCCATAGCGTCTTTTCGCGTTATATAAAAATTTTGGCTGTCGGTTTTGCGGCGGGGAATCTTAAAGAGGCATTCTCGAACTCTCGTGCAAAAACAATTGGCGTTCGCTCCTACAACACACACACACACACACACACAAAACAACACATTAACAATTTCACACATACATATACACATTCTGTGTAAAAATAACAGTGTAATGAAGAGACGAACTACATTGATGGCCGTGACTGCAACAACTATCGATACGCAAAATCGATAAATTCGAGAAGTCTGTTAGTTAACACTGGTTCTTAAACTGGATTAATTTTATATAAATATGTTGAATACATTTCTGTGAGTTAGCTTTTTTCATGAGGAATGTTCCATCCTTCTATTGTTTGAGAACACTTATAAGTCAAGGGTCTTGAAATGAACTGAGCAAAAGACACTGTTTCTTGTAGATATCCAGGTAAGAAACCTACAATAAATAAATAATACAGTGCCACCAACTTATCTGTTCAGTAGACAAAATCGGAACTAAATCTGCGTCAATCTGCGTGTCAGTTTACAAGGTGTGGGTGCTCTCTGTGTTTATCATTTGATTTTATTATTAAAACTACAATTAAAATGCCGAAAGCTCTTAAAAGTGATGCTAGAGTTATTATTTTAAAAGTTTTATCTTTTATGAACGAAGAAAAACGCCTCCAATCTCCAAAAATACTATTTGAAAAAGTGCTACAACGTGTTGCTGCCGCTACAGGTTAGTGTTATAGTCTAAGGACAGTAAAATTTCCCACTTAAATTATTTTAATATTCAGCTTATGTTTCATATTTTATTGTCTATATATATCCACTTAAAATTAGAAATAAAACTGATACGTCGCCCCCACTACTACTAACTAGTGCACCATTTTACTATTCTTTATTTTCATAAACGTTAAACGTATACCTACATTGTGTTCACTGTTTATTCCACCCGAATAAATAAAAAAATAACATTATTTCTTAAGTTTGATGAGCCACTTTTTGTTACAGGTGTTAGTGAGCGATTTGTTTATAAATTAATGAATGAAGAAAAACGAGCTGAAGAAACTAATACTAAAATATGTACACCTGGTAAAAACAGGGAAAGGAAAACAGGGAAACTAGAAGTTGATGACTTTGATATTGGTGTGATTAGGAGAAAAACCCATGAATTTTATTCAGTAAAAAAAGAAATTCCTTCTGTAACCAAGCTATTGAACATTTTAAGAGAAGATATCAATTTCCAGGGGAAACTGATATCACGACCACAATTATTTTTATAAAATATAATGTAACTAGTTTGGTATAATAAATCGTATTATCTGTTTGCAAAACAAAATATTTCTTTCTTTTCAACTAATTTATAAATTATATAGTTACTTAATAAACTCCGATCAATATTTAAAATTACAGCTCACGTGATTTCGTATGTTTCAAATACCCTAAACTCCTGATAATTTTTTTAAATAGCAACACCTATCGCTCCAGTAGCGACGCCGTCTACTGAACAGATAAGTTGGTGGCACTATAACTATGTGGTCGTAGTTCACACTTAGTAATTTTAATATACTGTGTTAATACTCGTAAGTATTGTATTATATTTGACTGGATGCGATTTTAATATTAAATTATATTAGAATAAAGCTCACAATCCCAATCCATATAATTATATTAATTATTTTAAAAAACTCTCAAAAAAACCGGTCAGGTACGAGTCGTGCCCCGCGGGTTCCGTACCTACCCAGATTTTACGTAGATTTTCGCGAAAATTTGTTAGTACCAAAATTTATCTTAATTTTCAACTTTTTTAATTATTCCTTTATTTGTGCTGTAGAATTGTAAATTCAGATTTAGTACCATCGCTGTTTGTTTGTAAAATTTACAACTTTTGGATTACAAAAGGATCTACCTAAGTAAAGAGTTAATTTGTTCAATCACTGTTCTGCTTTCAGATTTATTATTTAATAATAATAATAATATATCTCACACTCACACACGGCCGTCTGATCCCAAACTAGGCAGAGCCTGTACTATGGTAACCAGACCGCTGATAAACATACTTATATATTTCTAAATACATACATATTATAGATAAATTACACCCAGACACAGAACAAATGACCGTGCTCATCACACAATATTTGTCCTGGGTGGGAATCGAACCCACAACCTCCGGTTTAGCAGTCAGGGTCACTAACCACTAGACCAACAGGCCCGTCTAAAAACAGCCATAGCCATACGCCCGTTTATTTGAATATCATCATCACCTTTTTTGTTTATTGTAAGAAAATATTGATTTTTAGTTTTTTTTAATTTTTAAACTGACCAGCGATGAAATATTTATTTCCGTCATACTCGCAAATATCGATCACCTATCTTTATTTGCGAGTTTTACGACTGAAAGACTCTGTATCTATGGTTATGAATATATTTTTTTATTATCAATCAATGTCACTGTCAGAGCAGCTGACAACTTCATCTAATTAAAACATTTATATAATTCTTGCTGAGGGTCATCTCAGTAGAGGTAAACATTAACGTGTTCTGATATTTCATTAAGATATTTACATCTGTCAGTTCCGTTTTGGACATTGATATAAAATGTTTCTGTTTAATAGATGCTGCGAAAAGTAGTTTTAGGTTCCGTGGGGGTGGCTGCTTTAATGCCGGTGGTGGGTGCTGCAGTGCCTCTCAAGGAGGCAGTGGGTTCTACGACACCTATCAAAGAGGAGCTGACAGGTCCCACCAAACCTCCACCAATGAGGCCGTCTGATCTCCCGATATACGATGCCCCACACGCTGCATATGCTGAGTATGTGTGCATAACTGTTGTTATCTTAGTACAATGTGTAATATATAAATAATTTTAGATTTTGTGCTAAAGGCACTGAACTCTACTTGCAGACTTTCTATCATTCGCAACCAAAAATCAATTAATCTTAGTAATAAATCAGTTAACTGTTAAAATACCAAACAGAGAACTTTATAAATGGCTGTAGTGTTATTTTAATATTTGATATTATCAAAAATAATATCTAATTATGTTATACATTGAAAACTTTATTTTATAAGTATTAAACAACTTCTAAAAACTTGGTGCAATAGAGTTTGCTTGTTTGCTAATTAACCCTTCTTTGCATGATGATGGAAATAATATTTAGTCAACAAAAAAAGGTACTCAAAACCCTTGTACTGTAAATTTGTTGTTGCTGGCAACTTTTTAAGCGACTATTGCGTACAACAAAAACGCAGTTATCAAAAAATAGCAAACATCACTGTGAATGACCAGGCCTAGAATTTGTCATTCCGCTGTTTGTTGTGACTGCAAGAAAGGAGCGAGATTTTAAATTGTTTTATGGAAATAAACGGAGATATCAAATACAATAAAAGTGAAAATGAGTGGAAAAAAGGTTTGTTTTCATGTTTTTGTTATTTTATGTACAATTTATATCAAAACACTGTGAATAAATTTCTCAAAATTATGTGATGGAAATTTACATCACTATGCAGTAACTTCACTTGTAATGTATGGCAAACATTTTTTGTAAATGTTTATTTTATGTTGTTTTTTAGGGAAACTTGAATGAAAGAGATATTGAAGATTATCTTAGTAAGTTAGAAGGCGGTTGGCTCTCAGAAGATGGCCTTGATGACCAAGATTCCGATGATGAAAACCGCGATGCTGATGAAGTTATAAGAGTGTTGGCTTCAAATTACATGTTCTCTGTGATTTGATGGGATATGCCCACAAGTTTGAGGTATATTCTGGACAAGAGAATACAGAGAAACTCCCAGATGAACCAGATCTTGGTGCAACCGGAAATGTTGTAGTTCGTTAGCTTCGAGGAGTGCCAAGAAAGCAAAACCACATCATATACTTTGATAATTTTTATGCCTCTATGCCATTGGTAGTTTTTTTAGCTAAATCAGGAATTCACACAGTGGGAACTGTGCAACAAAACAGGATACCAAATAATAAACTTCCAGAGAAGAAAAATTTCATGAAAAAATCTGTGCCCAGAGGTAGTTTTGAGGAAAGAGTGTCTGTGCATGATGGTATAGATTTGAGTTGTGTGGCTTGGAAAGATAATAAGATAGTAACCCTGTTATCTTCTTATTCTGGAGCATTGCCTGTAACTAAAGGCAATAGATTTGACAGGATAACAAAAGGAAAAATTGATATTACTTACCCGTTCATTGTCCAAGAGTACAATAAACCTATGGGAGGAGTAGATCTCATGGATAGCTTTTTGGGCAGAAATCATATAAAAATGAGGTCTAAAAAGTGGTATTTGCGTATTTTTTTTCATCTATTTGATCTAGCTATTATAAACTCTTGGATTACAATGGGCCAATTCAGAAATGAATTGGCCTTTGTGCTATGCAACAGAGGAACCACCAAAGAAGCTAAAAGAGGGCGTCCTAGTACCAGTGTACTAGAAGAAGAATTACAATAAAAAAAAAAGAAAAGGTTCTCCAGCTCCACCACCTCCAAAAGACATAAGAAAAGATGGTGCTGAACATTGGCCAAAAGGAGGTGGATCACTCCGGTGAAAATTTCTCAAATGTAAAGGCTATTCCACAATTTCGTGTAATAAATGTGGCGTCAATTTGTGCTTAAATAAGAATAATAATTGTTTTTTAAATTATCATCAAGAATAAAGAAGATTGAGTAAACTATATTTTTTTATTTATTTAGTACTGAGCTAAATATGTGACAATGCATGATGATGTAAATTTCCATCATATTGTTTTTTACATAATACATATTTATATTTACACTAGGATTTTTTAAAATATTTTTCCTTTAATCTAGAGCATTAATTACATCACCCTGATTTATTTTAAAAAAATAGAAAAAATCATGCAAAGAAGGGTTAAGGTATAAAAATCTTTTAAAGTTCCTAATCTGCAAACAACATACTTCTTTTTAAAGTAAAGTTTTAAATGTATATTTATTTATAAACAAAAATAAAGTGCAGTTTTCTGGCATCCACAAAGCTTAAGAATTTCTAGACCGATTTCAATAATGAGTTATGTTAAATATCAAGAACAGTCCAAATAAAAAATTTAAATTTGCTCAGAAATTAGTGGTGAAGTTAGAAAAAATCATTTTTCCCTAAATTTAAATAATTACATGACAATATATGTAAGCTCAACTAGTACAAAATATATTTACTTTGAATATTCAGACTTAAATATCATTTTTAACTATTGTGTTCAATAATTATATTTTATGTATATTCTTTTACACAGGTATGTGCAATCAAAATCCCAAGAAAAAAGTCCAAGTTACCTCAAATCAACGTTATTAATACCAATTCGCTCCGTGCGTGAGCAGGTACAAGTTGCAATTGATCACACCTCTACCGTTAAACATTCTGTTCAGGATCATTACCATGATCTTATGGATAGAACTGATTGTAAGTAATTTTGGTTGTATTCACACATATCTATTAATTATATTTGGCTCCCATAAGATTGTCACCCCCAGTCCTCCTGCAATGCCCATTAAAACTGTTAGACACAAATGTGATGGAGTTCCTATTTGCTGAAACCTGATGCATGCATCTGAAGTGGCAGAAACAGCAGGCAAAGACAGAGAGGATAATGTTTTGATTATTTCCTCCCAGGAATCTAATCATTTGTAATGCTGATGGTATGCTGGTAATGACCCTTTTGCTTTATGGTCTACATCACAGTTCCTCTGTTTGTGAAGTGAGGCGATTGTAAGTCCTTTAAAATCCTTACACTGATCAGAGCCTATCCTTTAAGATTCACAGAGACCATTGTTCCTAATGTTTTAAAAGAAAAGAAAATATCTATCCAAATCCATTCTAGTTGCTATTTTGCTAATCACTGATTAATTGATTAAATATAATAAATATGTTCAAGGGATGGTGAATTATTTACGAGAAGAAGACAACAAAGAGGTGCGATATGGTGCAGTGGCGATGGGTGGTCTTACTGGTTTCATATTTGGCCTACGGGGTGGCATAATCAGGGTGAGAATCGCTCAGTGGCTTAAGTTTTGATAATAGATTATCAAAATAATATTTGAACAGTAACCTTGGTGTACCTTTAACTTGCTATCTCCACAAACCAGCGCTGTGTAACATTTATATATTAACTAGTAAATTACTTCCTATTTCCGTCGCTTGGCCATCCCGCCGCGCCCACTGTCTGGACCTGCTTTTAAAGTACAAGAAGGATACAGTTTACAGCTGCTCAGTAAATATAAAGTGGTTATGTGCATATAATTACAGCGAGTGATATACGCGGGTGCGGGTACGACTGTGATGGGCCTGGTATGCTTCCCTGAAGAAACTAAAGATATACTGCAGAAGAACTCAGTCCTCGCCAAACAATATATAAATATTGCATACAACTTTTTCTATGGAGGTAAATTGTTTTGATTTTAATAACTTACAATGTTTCAGCACCTTACGATAAGTTAATATGTATGTATTACACAGTAATAAAGATCCGGAAAGCTAAAATGTAGGAATAGACACAGACTGAGGAGTTTTGTATGTAAACATGTGTTAATCAAAATTTTATAAAATTTATCAGTGAAACCTGGGGATCCTCAACTGGAGGTGAAATTTCCCGAACTGTCTCTCCCCAAAGACTTTTCGGAGTTCGTGGACTTAACAGTTTCTTTGGCATCGTCAATCAAGCAAGCGGTAATGCCTCCACCAGCTAAAGAGGAAGCTAAACCAGCAGAAAAAAAAGAATAGGTAGACACAATATAAGGGTGATCCTTAATGCATGGTGACAGATGCTTTGTTTTCAACCTACTGATGCCAGGTCTATGGAATTTTTGATGCTTAATTTGTTTGTTATTTTCGCCCTCTAGATATGTAAAGATCAAAGACCTTAAGGTATATCCGTTATAGAATTGGCTGTCTAGGACCAAGTGGATGAAGCACTTTAACGTAAGATCTTTCACATTTTTTAAATCAGAAATTAATATACTTAATACATTATTAACCTACTACTACTACAAAAGACAAGTTCAGTAAATGAACAAAGCAAAAGACAAAAGCTTAGTGAATGGACGTATTTGAAAAGCCTTGTCGGTTCTAGACTAAACTAGTCCAGACACGATAAAACGGCCACAACTTGGCGTCTATCCACTTTGAAACAATCGAAAATAAGGCGATAACGCCTCAAATGTCTAATTATTAGAACCCGGTTGATCAGGGCTTCATCGATACGTCACTATTTTCATAACGCGAATGGACCGTAGGCAAACTTCTAGCCAAGCACACCATTAGACCTGGCACCTGACGAAAGTTGCCTATCTGCTTTGCTTTGGTTTTATTTATCTTGGTGTGCATTTTTTCTGTTTTTTTTTTAAATCTAGGATCATCCCGAACATCTGCAATGCTTATACGCTTTTTAAATTATACTATATTGTATAATGCTTCACATGTATAATGTACTTCCATGTCTTTGGCTGCTTTTTTCATGTTAACATCACTCCACTAGAACAATCTTAGTAACAGTACCTACCTGTAACATTTATATCAAAAATGTATTTGCAACTACTACCTACATACAATTTATTCTTCTAAGTCATCAGTTAATGGTTTTTTGATATGAATTATATGTTACCATTATTAATAAATTACTTGTTTCACAGGAAATTTCAAAACCGATAAAGTAGATCGATTACCAGGTTAGTATAATTATTGACTTCACTATTAACAACACTTTGAATACGATATAATATATACTCTCGATTATCGGCACTTGGTGGAACTTATTATTTCGCCTTCAGTTCAAATTAAATTAAATATTGGAATATATGTCAGTTTGATTTAATTATGTATTTAAATACGATATCCAGGTATATAAATTTTATTTTAATTTTACTTATTTGGTACAGTTACAGACAACAGATCATGCCTCACACAGTGATAAGTAACAGCGTATAATTTCAAATCTGAAGTCCAATTAAAACTATACACATCATTCACAATCGCGGTGACAGAGCTTCAATTAGGTGTTAAACAAACGCAAAAAAAGATTATTAAATAAGAAAATGAGATGCAGCAAATTGATTAATTAGTTATATCTACAAATGTGTTACTATAATTTTACATTGATGAGTTTATACATTTCAGATTTAAGTAAAAAGCACTTGAATACATTTATACTATCATTAAAAATATCTATTTGAGAACATATATCGTTATAACGACTACACATTCGAAAAACCGGATTGTTGCGTGATACATTGTTGTTGCTAGTTGGTATAGTAAACAGTTGTGGTGTGCGCACAGATCGCGTTGGCGTCTTGAAGTTCAACATATCAATAAGTTGACAATCTAGGGAACCTTTCACAATTTTGTGTAGGGTACACAAATCGCTCATCCATCTCCTTTTCTCCAGCGTGACCATTTTAAACTCCTTAATTGGAACTCCTTAATTTTATTGGAATGAGTTCAATAAGTACACTATATACAGTTTTTTAAATGAATAACTTCCGAGCAGGGGAATCGCGCTCGTAATGCTGAAGATATTAAGTCGTTACACACATCTACACCCACAATCCTCCCTTCTCTCTTATAGTTAATAATATCAAGGTGAGGTGGACAACGCTATTAGAATGGATATCGTAACTCATAATTTTGTTATTCAAATATTGACGTTTGTACTTGTATAAATATTGATATGCTTTTTAAGATTTCGTGTACTAAAGAAGAACCCTTTTAGTCCCCGCTATGTCTGTCTGTCCGCTGTTTAGGACTGTAATTACTAGAATTATCCTGTAAATTCAAAATAACACAATGTCAATAAATTACTCCAATGAAGTGGTATGCTCTAGTTATATTAGTTTAAGGAAGTCGTCACCGAACATAACATTTAACTTTTTATTTGTTTCAGGGCAGTGATTGCAGATATGAAGTACCTATAAACACTTTAGTGGGATATTTATTTATTTGTTAGTGTTAAATCAGCGATCGCCACAAATGTAATGATAATAAAATAAAATAAATATATTTTTACTGCACTTATTTATTACGACATATAACTTTTAATACATTAATTTCGTAATTGGACTTATGCAAATATCATTTCTTCTCGCCTCTTCTTGGTAACAACAGTTCCTGGCTTATGCTGTGCTTCTGGATGGTTCATCAGTTCAGGTGGACATGTTGAAACAGAGCTCGAAAGTAATACTTGCTTAAGGTCATAAAACAATGCCGAGTCCTCTTTCGTGACAAACGATATGGCTTTGCCAGTCTTGCCAGCACGACCTGTACGACCAATACGATGGGTATAATCTTCTATGGTCTTGGCCATATCATAGTTTATGACTATACTAACGTCTTTAATATCGATACCACGTCCAGCTACGTCTGTCGCCACCAAAATATCTTTAGAACCATTTTTAAGACTTGCCAAAGCGAAGTCTCGCTGTTCCTGTCCCTTACCACCATGCAAGGTGCATGCATTGAACCCAAGCTTCTCCAAACCTTTAGCCAGAACATCCGCACCTTTCTTTTGATTGACAAAAATTATAATCGGTGGTTCGACTCCCCGTTGCAATATCTCAGTCAGCTTTCTGCGTTTTTCGTTCTCGCCAATCATAAATACGACTTGTTCAGTTCTGTCAACAGGTTTGCCAATCGATCCAATGTACACAATCGCTGGTCTTCGTAAATAACTTCTCGCCAGGCGCTCTACAGCCGGTGGCATAGTTGCCGTAAACATCACTGTTTGTCTGTACTTTTTCTTGGAGTTGTAGTTGGCTAACAAAACAGAGGCATCCTCAGCAGCATCAGTGTCAGGTTTAACATTAGAGACTGGCATATATTCTAAAATTTTCTGTACGTCAGGTTCAAAACCCATGTCAATCATACGATCGGCTTCATCAAGTACGACATAGGTACAACGGGTCAGTACCAAGTACCTATTTTCTAACACGTCTATAAGTCGACCTGGTGTGGCAATTACAATTTCACATCCCAACCTCAGTTTAAAGCCTTGGTCCTCTCTAGAAAGACCACCAACAACGACAACAGATGTGATACCCAAGGGTATTCCAAATTTATTGGTTTCCTCTTCAATTTGTTGAGCTAACTCACGAGTTGGTGCTAATATTATTGCATATGGGCCCTGATCCACATCCTCCATTCGTTCACTTTTAGGTAGTGACTGTATCCATGTGAGTAAAGGTATAAGGAATGCCAATGTTTTACCTGAGCCAGTTTCAGCCACGCCTATGATGTCTCTGTTCTGTAAACCAATAGGGATGGCCTGCCTTTGAATAGGTGTTGGGCTCTTATATCCAACTTTGCCAATAATTTCCATAATGTCTTGGTGGAAGGTAGCTTCCTTCCATGACCGTATAGGGTTGGGTATTTTGCCACCCTTAATAGTGATATTATAATCTTCTCTGAAGATTCGCCAATCTCTCTCAGTCATCTCGTCATGGTCTTTTTCAGACCAATGACGATCATCCCATTTTTGTTTATCTTCCTTTTTTTTAACCTTTCTCAAACGTGACTTCTCCTGTTCCTTTTCCAATTCAGTCCGTCTTTTCTCTAATAAGTTGCCATAAAACTTACTATAATCTTTTTTCTGAGATTTTATGTCTATTCCAGCAATGTGACCACGACCAAAAAACTGTACTTGATGCCTCTCTTTATACAATGTATTATAATCATTTGAAGTGTCTTCAGAAGCATCCCAATCAAACACAAACTTACGATCATTCAACCTCCTGACTCTTCGTTTCTTCTTTACAATACCCAGATACCGAGCCTTTATAGCTTCCTCTTCGCGTTCTTTATCTTTGGTTTTGGAAACATCCTCATTTTTATCTTTCTTTTCTTCACGTCGCTCATTTACCAGTTTTCTATCTCGTTCCCTATCTTCTCTCCTATCACGTTCCTTCTCTCTTTCATCTCGGTATTTTTTCTCTTCTTCCTTTTTTGAACTTGAAGGGCCTGTAAGGTCTATGGTTGTAATAGAAGGTCTGTCGGAATTTGCTCTGATAGCTTCCACTTGTTTTTGACGTCTTTCCAATGCTAAAGCAGCTCTTTGTTCTTTTGTTAGAAAAACAGGCTTACTGCGCGCTTCCTCTTCAGCCTTCTTTTTAGCGAGTAATTCTTCAAGAGACAATGGCTCTCGTTTGACAGGCTTTACATCGTCCCTCTGCTCTTGGCCATCTTCTTCGTCAATCTTACCATCTTCATCATTCCTACTTTTCGACTTCTCTTTTTCATCGTATTTTCGGTCCTTCTCTTTACCATCGCGTTTTTTAGGGCTTCTAGAACGACCACGGTCTTTACGTGTAGGGCTTTTAGATCGTTCGCGGTCTTTCTTTGAGGGGCTGCGTGACCGGTCCCTATCTTTTTTAACTGGGCTCCGAGATCGATCTCTATCTTTTCTCGAAGGGCTCCTTGATTTATCTTCTTTCCTTGGGCTTTTCGAGCGTTCTCTCTTTTTTAACCTATCACGATAAAAATCACGATCATCGTGACGGTCTTTGTCACGTCGTTCTCTTGAACGTGAACGTCTACGTTCTGGACTTCTGTCTCGCGCCATTTTAAATAATTTTATTTATTATTGTAAACAACATTTAATAGATATGAGACGCAATATTTGCAACTTTGCTTTGACAGTTTGACACATTGATTCGATGCTCTGCGCTGCTCAATTATGACATAGTGTTGCCATTTGTCAACTTTGATAAACGTATGACATAACTCGACAAATCTACTATATATATCGCGAGAAAACCTAACATACTTAGTTTTTTTAATAAACTGAAATAATAACATTATTTGTCTAAATTACAATTTATTAACATGAATTTTCGTCTACTTTTTTTAAACTTTAGCAGTTAAAGTTTTTTTAAATTTAATCTCTTGAAACTACAAAAATAATTTAGTCTTTTTTATTCCCTCGATTTCAACTTCTATGATCATGCATTAAAACAGTGAGGTATAGTCTTATTGGGCACATAACATTTAAAATCAATTGATCAAAAAACCAACCTATGAAGTTACACCCTGGGCGCCATTGACACGCATGCAAAATAACTAATAAAATAGGTAAGTAGCCTCAAAATTGGTGACAGCTAAGTAGTCCAACATCTTACCCCGTGTTGCACACAAATATAAACCTACATCAACAGCAACTGAACGATATAAAGAAAGTTTCATTAACATGCCAAGAAAAATGTTTTATTCATAAAAAAGCGTGGAGTGCGTTACGTGCGAGATATTTTATAATGTAATAACTTTACTTGAACCAATACCTGTTAATAAAAAAATTACAACACATGATATCGAATGACAGAAAAATGAATCAAATGAAAGATAAAATGTTTTTTTTTCTACCATAGAAAATTATTTTCTACTTTTAAGTTCTCAAGCGTGTTTTCTTTAAGTTGTTTTAAACTGTAATTTATTTTCAATATATTTATTATTAAGCATAGTGCCTATTTACTAACTAATAGTTATTATCTTTGTTTCTAGTACATACATACATCATCATCACCATCTCAGCTGAAAGACGTTCACTGCCGGGCACAGGCCTCCCCCAAGGCTGTCCACAACAACCGGTCCTGTGCTGCCCGCATCCAACCTTAACCAGGTCGTCGGACCAACTTATAAGGGGCCCGCCCACGCTCCGTCTTCCGGTACGTGGTCGCCACTCCAGAACTTTTTGGCCCCATCGGCCCTCTTACATAAATTAATTATAATATATATTTAGTTTCCTGGCCATATCATGGTTTTCCAGGTACATAAGGTATTTCCAGCCAACGCGCCGTCGGAGCCGTTCTGCCGAGCTTCGAAGCGTGGGTAGGGAGGAACGACTGTGTCACCTACCGATTGACTCAGATGCTTACCGGGCACGGTTGCTTCGGTGAGTATCTGAATCGAATTGGACGGGAGGCCACGGCACAATGCCACCATTGCGGGTCCGACCGGGACTCCGCCCAGCATACTCTGGAGGACTGCCCTGCATGGGAGTCCGAACGTCGAGTCCTGGTCGGACAGATCGGACGAAACCTGTCACCGCCAGCATTAATCGCGGCAATGCTGGCGAGTGGCGAGGGATGGGCAGCCGCGGTCTCCTTCTGCGAGAACGTTATGCTCCAAAAGGAGGCCGCAGAGCGGGATCGGGAGAGGGCCGATCCCGCTCGAAGGAGGCGGCGAAGGGGACGTGGCAGAGGTCGCTAACTCCCCAATCGCCGCCTAAGGGTCGCTGCGGCCACATCTTGGGGCGATGTGACCGCTATAAACGACCCGAGACAGATGACACTCCGGTGCGGCCGGGGGCTGTCGTCTAAGGCGGGATGCTGTTGCGCCTTTTACTCTGTAGAACAGTGAGAGGCGCGGTAGCGTCCTGCCCCAGGGTGACTTCGATCACTCCGGGATGTGCCTCAGACATGAGGTACGGCAGGGAGGACTCCAGAAGTCGCGATGCGTTCCTGGAGCTCCTCCCGACTGCCGAGGTAGGCCGCCGCGGGGTTTAGTGGGTAGACCGGTTCTCCGGGAGTCCCACACACGCCCTACGTTTCCCCAACGGAGGGTATGGTGCGAAAAGCATTCCCCGCGTAAAAAAAAAAAAAAAAAAAAAAGGTACATAAGGAAACGTCGAAAACTTATTCAAACATTATTCATCACATACTTTTCTGTGTCGCGATTAGCGAACGCCCTTGACGACTTAATGCGTCTGTTTTAGTATTATTAGTTGTAGTGTTGGGATTTAACCGTAGAAAATAAAATTATTTTATGAATACGAGGGCTGCTATTTATGTATCCGGAATAACAAAGTGAAACAAACATATAGCATTTTTTTATTATAATTTTGTTGCTTTTCAAAATATTTGCCGTGATGGTCGATGCACTTTTGCATACGTTGGAACCAATTTTGGTAGCACTTTTTCCAATCTGATTGTGGTTAATTCGATCTTTAGATCTTCCAAATACTGAGGTGTTTCGGGTGATGTGTGGCAGCTAGCATTGTCATGATGAAGGATTCTGCGTTGTCGGTTATTCTTTCTTTATTCTTCAAAGACTTCTGGCAAACTAAATTGGTCGTGTGCCATTCAGAATTAACCGTTTTACGATCCTCTAGTGGCACTATCACATAGTCACATATCCATTTATACCAAAAAAACAAGCGACCATTTGCTTGCAAAGTGGGTTCGGGGTAGGGTTCGGCTCATTTTGGAACATCCAAACTGTTGATTGTTGTTTAGTTTCAGGATCATACGCATATATCAAAGATTTATCACATGTGTAGATATTATACAGCTTTTGACGCACCCTGATTATATTCGACACGAGCCCGTTTTCGGTCAATTCTCAAGTTTTACGGGCCTGTTGGCCTAGTGGTTAACGACCCTGACTGCTAAACCGGAAGTCGTGGGTTTGATTCCCACCCAGGTCAAATATTGTGTGATGAGTATGGTCATTTGTTCTGTGTCTGGGTGTAATTTATCTATAATATGTATCTATTTAAAAATATATAAGTATGTTTATCAGCAGTCTGGTTACCATAGCACAGGCCCTGCCTAGTTTGGGATCAGACGGCCGTGTGTGAGATATTATAATTTATTATTATTATAATCCGACGTAAACAAATTTTATTCATAAAGTTACTAAAGTCATTAAACGATTTATTTAGTCTGCCGTGCCATGCTTTTTACAAAATTGGTTGTTCGATGTCTTTCGCAGAGTTTAATAAATTCAGCGTTATGCAACAGAACCGCTCCATGTATAGTTTGAACCTATTTAATTTTAGTTTCTCGGATTCAGCTATGAACAGTACATTTTTTTTATAATGGAACTGAAAAAATATTTCATATACATGGAACTACTGGGATCACACGGTGATACGTCAATAAGCAACCAAACCTTTTCATAAATTTGGTTCCGGTTGGTTACTATTTGTTTTAAAATATTGTTAGTTTAAACGTTAACTAAAACATAATGAGGAATACTGATTTACTATAGAATGTCTCCTATAGAATAGTGTTTCATGCGCCAAACGAGTAATGTGGTTGAGGCATGACTCGGGCTGCCCAGAAGTAGGTCGGACGCGGATTTTGAAAAAAAAAAAAACAATAGTTATATTCACAAAAATATATGTATTATGTAAAATTATTTAATTACATTTTGTAATCATTTTATAAACCATACTGAGTTATACATAACTCGCACATAAAAACAAAGTGTTAGGTAGTCAATTGAGCAAAAATAGATGAGTCTTAAAAATATGTGTTTTGCCCTACTGGATAGCTCGGCAAGGTAAGGTAAGCTGTAAGGTTAAGTAGAATTACTATTGTTTTATTTTCGAAATAGCAATAAACATTTAAAAACCGACCCAGCCTTAAAGTAGTTGTATGATGTGTAACAAATGATATCTGGCGGCCTCTGACGGTCAAGTCGAATATCGTGCGCTTAGCCGGCTTCCTGTTGCTCCGTTTTCACACGATATTCTAACACATAAAATGTTATATACCTCTTTGAATGATCCACCTTAAGTCATGATAAGAATCTTTAATAAACTATGATCCTCTAAAACACCATGACAAATAAATGCTTAAACATCTACTTATGATATGGTGGGATAGAAGGGTATCTATACGATGTATACTCCAAATAAAAATTAGCAATTCATTAAAATATTAACCTACAGAAAATTATGATTTCAAATTATTATTAACTAGCTGAGACCCGCGGTGTTACCCACGTTTGTTGTTATAACCGGGGCGAAGGTAGTCTAAAAAAAGTAGCCTAAGTTACTCCTTATGTCATCAGCTATCTGCCAGTGAAAGTCCCGTCGAAGTCGGTCCAGCCGTTCCAGAGATTACCCGGAACAAACAGACAGACAGACAAAAATTGTAAAAAAAAATATTTTGGCATATGTACCGTGTAAACATACATATGCATTTAGTAAAAAGCGGTTATTTTAATATTACACACAGACACACCAATTTTATTTATTTGTATAGATGTATAGATAGAAATAAAAAAACATGGTCAAAATAGAGAGAAAGTATTGTTAGTCTCAATGTTTTCTTAATTTTGTTATTTTCATAGGCATAAAAAGGCTTATGTTACTACTGCATATGTAAATACAGTAATAAAATGAAAGTAGCTCCGAAATTACACATATTCATTTAAACATAACTTTATTATGTCGCTTTTTAGTTCATAACACTTCAACAAACGATTTTTTTAAAGGTTTATTATCCTACATATATTCAAAATAATAACAGGCCAGTGGATTGAGATTAATCTGCTGGAACCATGTCCCAAAATGATGTTTACCTCCAATAATACTTTGTCATTTCGATTCTTCACACTCACACAGCACAATGGGTTTTAGCTGGCCCGACATCACACATAACTCTTTCTGAAGTGATAGTACATTATCACTTGAGGCATTATAATCTAAATGTTTATGAAATATCATTGTACATTATACATGATAATACATGTAAATATAAAATAAATGTAAATATATAATAAACCAGTCTAAATCTACCTATGAACGAAATCTATTCACAATTTAAGCCTTCCATCCGATGGCTTTTAAGTCATTTTGAGATAAACGCCCTTCTTGTAGCTTCACTCGAATTCTGAAAAAAATACAAAGTATTAGAAGAAAGTCTTTATTGGTATCCATACTAAATAGATTTTTTTTAAACATCTACAGAATTCTAGAGACAGGGGATCATAAGTAGTGATGAAAGGACTCGAAGCTAATAAACCTTTATAATTAAGACTAGAAGACTCTGCTCCAAAATTACGACTTGAGACTTGATTAAAAGACTCGAATCAATTAAACGACTCGAGTTCTTTACTAAGAGGTTCAAGGCTTAGTCGCGAGTCTATTAAGTGCAGAACTCGAGTAGTTTAATATGAGACCATAATTAGTTAAACTTCAGTTTATGATTATTACATATTTATTACACATCAGGAGGTACTGAATACTCGTAATTTAATGTTAAAGTAAGAGTGGTTGTATGCCACTCTTCAAGTGTGACAGTTCTCTATATCGTATGGCTAAAGGGCATCATTCAAGGTCCTCGTGCAAGGAAAGCAATGTCTTAGTGAATCACTTATGTGTTTGTATTTTGTTCCAATGATATCGTACAGTAAATATGTAAACTTAAAATCAAATATTCAAATAAATAATTTTTTTATCACTGTCATTTTGAACGATGAGTGGCTCGTGGCTAAGTGGTATTCGACTAGGTTGACACAAAGTTAAGTAATCCTAGCCAAGTCAATCTATTGATAGGTGACCATTCTTAACAGAAGCTACTACTGAAATGTGTACCATACTGATATTATAAAGCTGTAATGTTAGTACATTTAGTTTAAGGTATAATAGCCAATTTAATACATTTCTAAATTACAAACATTAGTATACTTTATTATAACGTTTTAATTCGACTTATTTAAAGTTGGTTATTTAATGAAAAAATGTATTAAAAAAAAATTCATTATATAACCACTATTATACTATTTTTAACCTTTTTTAAACTATGATAAATAAATAATGTAGCGACAAAAATAGACTAAGAATCCTCCTAACAGCTCTAGCATTCATATATATTAAACAATACTTTTCTAGCGATAAAAAGAGCGAGATTTTAATATTCAGAACGCAAAAACAACAGTCACGCCCTGTATCTCCGGCATATCTCAATGGCGTAGTACTAAAAGTTGTTGAGAAGTTCAGGTATTTAGGCCACATTGTCATCAGTGACCTTCGCGATGACAGCGACATGGAGCGGGAGTGCAGCAATGCTCACCTTTCCTCGTTGTGCTTGATGGACCACAAGTCGGGCATGTAACGAGGCTGCATGACGTCCAGAAAGTGTTGTCGCCAGATCTCTTCCAGCCGTAAGAGACCGTCCCGCTCCGAGTAATACTCCGCTACCTTCATCCCGTGAGATTCATAATCGGAATTCTCGTGTCTGGAACATAATTATACAATTTACTTATAGCACCGTAAACTGAACAGACTGAATTCTAGGTTACACCCGAGGACATGAACATTGTAACTTAAGACCACACTCTGAAAAACACTTACATTTCAGAATACATTATCATAAATGCATATTTCAAAATAAAAATTAAGCTATCTATTGAAAATAAGTGATAAAAGTGACATTAAAACTTTAAAAATACTCTTAGTTTTCACTCAATATTTCTGTTTCTTCTCAAAGAACTTCTCTCTAGAAACATAAGTTTTTTTGAGCCATATGTTTGAATGTTTTAACCATTATTCTTATGCCCGACCCTGCTTTTAAATAATTAATTAAGGTTAAATAAATTTGTAACCAGCATCAACATGCCTATCCTTTGTTAGTAGCCGAGTAAAGAGCAAAAGTACTCACGTGACTTGCAATTGGCAGGCCTCCTCCAACAACTCCACCGTGATCTCGTTGTGGTGCGGGTAGTTCTGTAAGACGATATCCTCCAGCTCCTTGCGTCGCGCCTCGGGCAGGTCGTGCTTGCGCGACTGGTAGTGCAGCGCTCGAGCCGCCGACCGGATCCTCCTGTAATACAACATGCACGCACACTGTTTCACCAAATATATTACACGGTACTATATAAGCACTCACATGTAGTAACTGCTTATGTTATTTGTCTTTTTTCATGGGATAGGTGAGCAAACCAGACGCAGACGGGTCACCTGAGGGTCTAGTGTTGATTTATTTTACATCTACGTCGTCACGGTGACCGCGTTTGGCGCTGCGATTGGCCCGCGCTGAAATCTTCACCAATCGCAACGCTTAACGCACTCGCAATTGAGAGCGAGTCGATATGAAATAAATTTGCACTCAGCCCTCTGAGGGCCTAGTGCTCTCTACGCGATCGTCACGGGACCGCGTTTAGCCCGCACTGAAATCGGCACCTATCGCAACGCTTAACGCACTTAAATAAACTTGCACTGGGCTGTCTGGTGGTCAGTGACTACTGCCGCCCATGTATACCTTCAACTTAAGAGTTACAGAGTGAAGTGAGTGAGAATCAAGGAGAGGAGTGCTTCGGCTCCAGTAACCTCGCTCACTCGGTGAAAATCAATAAAAAGAAATGCAAAATCGCGATTTTCTGTAAGGCTGTGTTATGACTCGTGTCGAGCCGGCCCATTCGTGCCAAATCATGGCTCTTCCACGGTTATTCGGCTATGAATGTTCTCATCGTGATGTAACCCAATACAAAAGATTAGTTCTGATGAATCAGTCAGTTAGTCAGGGTAATTTTATATGTTTCATCAACAGCCTTTGGGAGTCGTTGGACATAGACCTCTTTTTAGAAAGGAGGTTTTGGCCTACTATACCACGCTGGCCAGGCGGGTTGGTATAGGGTTTGTGTCAAGTTTTCCTGCTCTTTGCAGTGCTGTTATCCTGCGTAGTTTGCTCCCTTAGTCGGCTCTTACGACACCCACGGGATGAATAGGGGTGGTGACACTCCGTATTCTTAATCTGTCACCACACGGACATATATGTATAGAATAATAAAAATGGCTAATGGACTTACTTGCAAGCAGCATCCTCTGTGAACCTGCTAGTACTGGCGTGAGTGGTGTAGGGCGCTGAGCACTGGTTGGCGAGCCACTCGCGCACCAGCTGGTCCTTCATGTTGCTGAGCTGGTGGCAGTCACTGCACAGCAACACCACGTCATGAGATGAATGGTCTTTCATGATTTCTAAAAACGAAACGAATGGTGGATGTAGGCATGGGACAAAATCACAGTGATTTATCATTCTGAACAGAACTGTGATTTTTGCGTACGTAGGTTAGGGTTGTTAGGTTAGACGCTATTTAACAGTAAATCTAGTATTTTTTAAATTAAAAAATAATTACTAGATTAAAATAATTACTAGATTTACTGTTAAATATGCGAAATAGGGTCTTTATACATCGTCTTAAAACAGATTATTGGCAACAACGTGTGAGTGAGTAGTAACCCTAACCTACGTACAAAAAAATCGAATGATAAATCACCGGTCATTTACAATTCACTGTGATTTTGTCCCATGTGTAGATGGATGACAATTAATAAGAAAGAATTATACATATTTATAAAACGCTTTTACCAGCTGCTTTCCTAGTTTATATAGATTTTTAAATCAATTTTATTCATCTTTGTTAACTGTCCTAAGAGTTATTTTTTTATTTTTAGGGAACAATACTTTTTGTTTGAGTGAAATCCATACTAATATTATAAATGCGAAAGCGTGTCTGTCTTTTACCTCTTCACGCTTAAACCGCTGAACTGATTTTGATGAATTTTGGTATAGAGATAGTTTGAGTACCGGGAAAGGACATAGAATAGTTTTGTATCCCAGAATCACCTGTAAGGGGGTGGAAGTTTGTATGAAGAATCAATAACCGCTGAACCAATTTAGATAAAATTTGGTATGGAGATAGTTTTATTCTTGAGAAAGGACATAGCCCATAAGCTACTTTTTACCACGGTAGCCGATATAAACGCGGTATATAAGATATTCTATGCTGTGCTTCTGTTATTTTGATGGGCCTGTCGGTCTAGTGGTTAGTAATCCTGATTGCTAAGTCAGAGTCGTGGATTCGATTCCCACCCAGGATAAATAATTGTGTGATGAGCATGATAATTCGGTCTGTGTCTGGGTTTAATTTATGTTTAATATGTATGTATTTAGAAATGTTTGTATGTGTATCAGCAGTCTGGTTACCATAGTTGTCATAGTACAGGCTCTGATTAGCTTAGGATCAGCCGGTCGTGATAACACAACTACCATGTTCGAGGTTATTATTATTTTCTATAACACAATCAAACAAAGAAATGCAAATTCGTATTTAAATCTTTGTTTTTGGTATAAGGTGGCAAACCAGCACACAAGTTACGTGATGGTAAGTGGCTGCATCCGCCCATGGACACCTACCATTCAAGAGTCACAAGTACGCTGCCGCCTTATAAGCCTTCCCCCCCCCCCCCCTTAGAATCAGAGGAAAGGGAAGTTTGGGCTCCGGTAACCTCACTCAGTGAAGAGCAACGAAAGAGCTACCTAACACCAGTTTACTGTAAGGATCCGGTGTCAATCCGGTCCATTTGTGTCGAAGTATGACACACCCATTTATAATTTTTATGTCTATTTGGTTGTATTTGGGTTTGATAAAAAAATATATCTGCAGTAGTAGCAAAGAGGATCGTCGGAAAAATCGTAAATACTATGGAGAGTGCTCCGAGGAATTGTTCGGACTAATACAGGCCGCAACTTGCCCTGGGGGTGACAGGTGAGGCCATCTGTCACCCTAGCAGAAGCAGGCCGGGGTGGCGGCGAGCGCGTTGCGAAGCGCGCTCGCTTCCAGGGAGCACAGGGAACATGGGGTTCCCACACGGGGGGGTCGTCTACTCGTCTGTAGATGGCCCGAGGTATGTCGCGGCACCAGGGACTTCCTTTCTAGGGTATACCTGGTTCCCCGGCTATTAGTACCCGAGACGGCGTACGGTTTTAGTCGGTTCGAGTCCGATATGCCACCGATAGGTGGTATCCGAGGGGATTTCCGCACGGAAAAAAAAAGGCCGCAACTTGCCGCCATCGTTCACTTGGATAACTGGCGACAAAGACGAAAATCTGTGGAACAAGTTATCGTCTGCGGTATTTCCTTCAAGAAAAGAGTACTCCTTCCTCAAAGGCCGGTAACGCGTTTGTGACTCCTGAGTTGCAGGCGTTCACCCGTCTGCTCGTTTCCCCCCTCTTCCATAAAAAAAAAGGATACACACCTGGGAAATACTTCCTATACTCTCTTGGCACGACGTTCTTTCGGATGTATGAGTTGGTACTGCCGCAGACGACACATTTGTTCTCCTTCTGCAGTTGGTAGTACCGGCCCACGTCACCGACCGATCGGCCCGCGGGCTCGAAACGCAACCGCACCGTTAGAGGATCCTCAGTTTGTACATCAGCCAACCCTTTCTCCACGTACCTACCAAATATAGTTTCATAATATTAAAAAATATACTTACAACAAAGGTACTAAACTTTAAAAAATATAAAACCCTTTTCTTTTTTTAAATATTTTTCGGTGAATTCAAAAAAGGAGAAAGAAGTTCGATTGGGTTGTATTTTTTTGTATATGTTTTCTCAGAACTCTATTATTTTAGTGTCGCCTTTTAAAATTCTTTTTTATTCCGGGCTTCCCGTTTATGCCCATTCAAGTTTGAACAAAAAATACTAACAGGAATGATAAAAAAAACAGATTATAACATTCATCACGATGTAAGCGAATTGAAGTCGGTAATACTTTTTCAAAGGTTATTTAACGACGTGACATTTTCGTCCTTTCTTATCGTTAATGTAGTGTAATATTAACAAAACATGTTTTATCGTTCTACCATTAAGAGCTCAATAAACCAGATTCCACCAACTTGTGTACAAATGTAGGTAATTGTGTCATCAAGCAATTCATCTAGGCCATTTTAAACTCATTAGAATCATATAATCATTTTATATTTTTTGACTAAAGTACGAAATTTCGCGGTTATATTTACCATAAAGCCTTCTTATTATCGCAAGTGCATAGTAATTCGCCATCAGGTGCTTGCAGAAAGCAGTTGTGGTATAAGGGCTTGCTTCGAGTCGCGTTCGGGTATCGCTTGCTCACTACTAAGCCTTCTTTTGACACCTTCATCTCTTTAGTCCTGGAAAAATATTATTGTATGAGACATCGAAGATAACACAATATTACATACACACACACATACATACACTTACGCCTTTATCCCGAAGGGGTAAACAGAGTCGTATTAAACCCCAACGTTTTTTACCGACTCGGTAGTATTTTTAGAAATCTAAATTATTGCTATATTTAAATCATATTCATTGGATGAAATGATTGGTTTTAGTCTTAGCGTTTTCACATGTGATTGTGATATGGGCATAGACTAAGATAAATGCCATTAAGATCAATCAAAATTATTTTTATCAAAGATAACGAGTTTTTTTTAGATTTAGACGAGTCTTGCACTAGCGTAATAATAATAATAATAAGTCGCAGTGGTTTTGTAAATTAGTCACAGGTATAATGATATGATTTATCACGTTATTTCGTTTTTATTCCATCCATGATGATTTTAGTCCCACTTACGTAATAGGGGGCAAGTCTATTGCCGTCAATTACATACACAAACATACTTATGTCATCATCATCATCAACAACAGCCTTTCATAGTCCACTGCTTGACATATGCCTCTCCTTAGAAAGGAGGTTTTGGCCAGACGGGTTGGTATAGGGTTTGTGTCAAGTTTTCCTTCTCTTTGCAGTGCTGTTGTCCTGCATAGTTTGCTCCTTTAGTCGGCTCTTCGTCACCCACGGAATAGAGATGACGACCCTCCGTATTTATAATCCGTTACGACACGGACAGAATTACTAAACATATACACTTATGTATTTCTAAATATATACTTAATAAACCGTTTGATACTCAATAAAACGTTTGATCCCTAGAAGTAAATATATAATCAAACCTTGGATTACTCCTGGCATCCTCCGCTGTATTCGTACGAGAGATAGAATGCACAAAAAAATAAAAACAGACAAGGATAACACCATATTGAAAATAACATATTTGAGATACAGAAATTACTGCAAACAATCTAATTAAAAAACTTAAAAAACAATATTTCAGTGATCAGTTAATAACATCAAAAAATAATACAAAAAGGCTCTGGTCTACCATCAAAACAATAACAAATAACAATAAAACAAAACAGGCACCACTTCAACTAATAATTGATGAGGTTCCCAAATCCTCAGTCAACAAAATAAATGAATATTTCTCAAAGATAGGTAAACAATCGTCAGACCAAATACCTTTACACCTCCCTCCCTTCATAAAATCCTCAAAACCTCCGCTAAGATCATTTGTTCTGTTACCTACGAACAACGAAGAAGTTGAAAAAAACATTAAGCTATTAAGAAGTGAGTGCGCTCCTGGGTGGGATCAGATCAGTGCGGAGATTTTAAAAGTAACATCAGAATCTATAACACCGGTTCTCACCCATCTGTTGAACCGTTCTTTTGAGGAGGGAGTGTTTCCTGATGCATTCAAAAGGCCTGTGGTACATCCAATACATAAGGCGGGTGACAGAGGCAGTGTCAGTAACTACAGGCCAATTGCAATATTAACAGCGTTGTCAAAATTATTTGAACGTATTATTAATAATAGAATAACTCAATACTTAGAGCATAACAATCTACTATCATCGCATCAATATGGCTTTAGATTTGGCCGTTCAGCTGAAAACGCAGTTTTTGACCTCGTCAACTTTCTTGTTGGTAAATTAGACAACAAGAGTAAATGTTTAACCATATTTCTTGACCTTGCAAAAGCCTTTGACACTGTCTCTGTCCCCAACCTAGTACAAAGGCTCGAGGATTTTGGTATCAGAGGCACACCTGCATCATTGATATCTGACTACTTAAATAATAGAACCCAATGTGTAAAGGTGGGACAGTATGTCAGTGATGTACTGCCAAATGATTTTGGGGTGCCGCAGGGCAGCATTATGGGTCCAACTCTCTTTCTCTGCTACATCAACGAGCTCAGTAATTTAAAAATTAAAAATTGCCGTATATCAACATATGCAGATGATACTGCTCTTACGTTTTTCGCTGATTCTTGTAGTGAACTTTTTGAAATTGCTCAAATTGGATTTAACACTGTGCGTCACTGGCTATTATCAAACTCACTTACCCTTAATGAAAATAAAACTAAATACATTAACTTCTCAATACAAAACACAATCGATATAACAACCCACAACCACAATATTTTTGCACATAAATGTAACTTCCCACCAATAGCTACTTGCAACTGTCCCATCGTTGAACGCACTCAATGCCTAAAATACCTTGGAATCGAAATAGACGCTAACTTAACCTTTGCAACCCACATTCGTACTTTATCACAAAGGATACGCAAACTAGTTTACATCTTTAAAGAGCTGCGGGATGTAGCAGAGAGACAAACCATAAGGATGGTTTACAACGCCATGGTGCAACCTATTTTGAGCTTTTGTATTACTGCTTGGGGAGGTGCTTGTAAATTCAATATGTTAATCATAGAAAGAGCTCAGAGGATGATATTAAAGGTGAGTACATTTAAACCTCGTTTATTCCCTACTACTAAACTTTACGAAGAAACTCATATATTGACTGTACGACAACTATATATACTGCTGTCCTTCACAAACATTCGAATTTGTCTCCAGATAGAACAAACCGTGTAGCCCAATCCCGCAGAAATTATGCAATATGTGAGCCGATACGAACTTATACTACCTTCGCACAAAGATTTTATATGTTCCGTGGATCTAAGTTGTTCAATAAAATAAATAAATTAATACCCATAGTAAACTGTACAAAGATAGAATGCAAAACCAAAATACAAAAGCTACTTCTCAATCTTAACTATTTAGAAACAGAAAAGTTGCTAGAGATAGTGGCGTAGTCAGTCTTAAACTTAATAATTGTATACACATATATTTATGTAACACACACACATACACTCACACACGCACACACACACACACTCACACACGCGCGCGCGCACACACACACACACGCGCGCGCACACACACGCATGCATACATAAATATCCACGCTCAAAAACAGCATTGATAATATTACTGTGAATTCATTTTGGGGGGCCTGGAGCTCTAAAGTACCTAGTTTGGACTCCAGATCTCCCACAAATTACCAATTAAGCTAAATAATTGTCAACTTAAATATTAAGATTTGTGTAATTTGTGGAGATAAAATAAATAAATTTATAATTTATTTATATACATAATTATTATAGATAAATTACATCCAGACACAGAACAAATGATCGTGCTCATCACACAATTATTTGTCCTGGACGGGAATCGAACCCACTTCCTCCGGCTTAGCGGTCAGGGTCACTAACCACTGGACCAAGGCCCGCTAAATTTAAGCTTGAAATATAAGATAACACAGGAACAGGAAGTTGTAAACATCGAGTCAGTTTTATGGTGTAATATTATTATTACACAATGTCAGCAAAATGACTTTTGACTCAACATATTTCTACATATGACGTCATGGTGATTACCCGCCACCATATATGTAGGTATAGTTGGTTTGGAATTAAGGAAGAAGGCATTTTATGAAATACAGAACTTACAGATAGAGCTTACACACTAAACACAGATTGTGCAACAGATGATGAGCTAGGTTATCATCTGTTGCACAATATTTGTAAAGCTTTACGATGATCTTTGTCTTAGCAAATAACCAAGAAGTAGGTGCCGACTCATCACTTGGAAATAAAATTATATACAGCTGCCCGTTGTTAATTGAATCAGCTGCATTCAAGTTGCATAAAAATTATGTTCTGTTGCACAATATTTGTAAGGCTCTCGATGTCCTTACTAATATTATAAATGCGAAAGAACCGAACTTTAATTAAATTTGGCACAGGTGCCGACTTATTTGGCGATAAACATACTTAGGTTTGTTGTTTGTGTTTCGTCTTGCTTTATATTTTCTATCGACATATTTCCGGCAGAATTCATCAGTATTCCAACTGCCAAACCATGGTAACCACGTGTTTTTTCTTTTAAGTTGCTCTAGTAAGATGACGAAAATTCTGATAGCGGCGTGTGCATCAGTCGCAGCGTAATTCACTTGTCTGGGTGTTAATTCATCTGCTTCCCAGTTACTACATCGAATCTGTTAAACAAAATCTTTATTGACTACACAATGTTACTAAACTTCGATACCTACATTAAATTTTCTTCACCACATTTTACTCATCTCTACGCATCCCAAGACTATACCAGTGTAACCTGTTGATCCTCAACTTTTTATCTATTTGCGCTATTTTTTACATTAGATACTGTAGAGTTCAACCTTTTTTGCGATATTCATATTGTATTGTATTTTTTTACTACTTTCTGGCTGCAATTTCTTTTAATATTTGTGCGATTTTTCCTTTTTTTATTAGTGTATCAAAATCGAATAAATCTTAGTTGATTACAATCATTGACTGAACAGAATCAGAAAATCTATATATCTAATCATATAAATGTTATGATCGTTTGTGTACCCTGCAAAAACTCAAAAAGTACTGCACCAATTGAGCTCAAATTTTGACACAATATACAACAACACGCTTAAAAAAATATTTTTAACAATTTTTTTGAAAGCCAAAATACTACAGCGAGCCTGGCAGAGTATTTTATAATGAAAATACAGCGTAAGCAACAGTTGCGACAGAGGAAAGAAAACTTATGTGACCAACTTACGTTATTCGTAAATCAAGAATAAGTGTGTCTGGGATTTTACATTCGATCAGGAAAACAATATAATTTTAATTAATTTATTTTTGCGTTTTTATTTCGCATTTTCCTCAATGGTTATGTATGGCTTATCCAAATTGATTGTTCAATTTACTTTCCAAATCTATAAACATGACAAACATCTATTTTTATACTCATTCGTAATTTTTTATAATTTATTTTGTTTAACTAACTTTTAAACTATCGCATTCCATAATTCGCACTGGCACTGGCTCTGGTCACAGGCCAGTCAACTTGTGACTAGGGCCAGTGCAACCTAAGGGGCCTGGAGCAAGTTTATTTCATATCAACTCGCTCGTCACGGTGTCCGCGTTCAGCTGCGATTAGCCCGCACTAATCGCACACCTCCTTTCTAAGAAGAGGCCTATGTCCAGCAGTGGACTATTAAAGGCTGTTGATGTGATGTGATGTGAATCGCACCCGAACACGCTCACTGTCGAGAGCGAGTTGATGTGAAATAACTTTGCACTAGACTCTAGTGCAAGGTTATTTCTCATCGTGAGCGTGTTCGGGTGTGATTAGTGCAGGCTAATCGCAGCTGAACGCGGTTCAGCTGCGATTATGGAACGTCAGGCAAATCAAAGGTGTGTACTAATACGTTTGCGTTAATTCCAGATAACATAATTATATGCTTTTGAGAAATATGTCCATCAGTGGACTGCGATAGGCTGATGATGATGATAGTTCATCTATACTTCTAAAGATTGCCTGTGAGAGATCGCAGACTGTGATAGGCCATAAATTGTATCACTGATTTTTTTGTTTATATTTTACATTGTATGTTTCCTAATCACACCAATACAGAGTACCTCTTTATCTATTTAAAACAAAAGTTCCACCTTACCTTCCAACTTTTATCCATTACAGCACCAAGAAGTGACTTGGACAGAGACGCCAATCCGCCAGACTCATGACCACAGTGCTCGGCCAAGTGCCTCAAATCCAAGGTACACTTAGTTGCTACGGAGTAGTCATGGAGAAGGTTTTGGCTGTCATCAAATGGTGCTACACCTACTTTATATACATTCTCATCCTCTAACAAAGCCTGAAATATTAGTTTTTATTTACAAGTGCTTAAATTTCGTTTTTATTGATACTTTACTTTTCAGTATGCAATTCGTTATGCTGTAAACGGGTTCGGGTTGAACCAAATGTTTGTATGATTTGCAAATATTTGTTTCGCAGTTTGGGTGTTTTCTATGTATAATATGTAGATATTTACAAAAAAAAAAAGTATATAAGTATTCCCTCAGTATATCTAAGTTTCATAATACAAGCTCTGATGTCCGAAAATATTAAATGCGTTTCTATTACTTTAGGTTAGATAGGCTATGCAAGGGAAGTAATATACTCTTGAAGCAGAGTTGCTCCTTATCAGAGAGGAGGGAAATACTGTAGCAATAAAGTGAGCTTTGTTTATTACCATCGAGTGTCAGTTACATGTAATAAAAGAGGAGGTCACTAACTTTTAAAGACGCTGGCACAGTCTTCATTGCGTTAAGTTTAAACAAGCCACAGTAACCGTCGTATGAAGAGAGCTGAACAAAGGCTACAGGTCGTCTCTTTCCTTTGTTTTCTGTAACCCATTCACAATCAAATCCTAGGCCCCGGTCTTTCTCACATCTCCTACAAACAATAAATAAATTTAAAAGCCTTTTATGTCTGTATATAATTGATTTTGATTGTTATGATGACAGACAGACATCACAGACAGAAAATGATATAATGTTTCTTTCATCAAGAAAAATTTAGTGTGTAAAAAACATATTTTGTACAAGTGATGATATAGCTAAAGTGTTATTGTGTTTTTATAAGAAATTTTAATTAGCATCTACACAATCGAATTAAACCAAGATAAAAACACATTTCAATACTCCATAATCTACCAGCAAGAGGATTGTACCTTTTTATGAGTTAATAATATATGAGTTAATTAATTTAAAAAAAAAACTATTATTTATAAAATAAATCTAAAAAAATACCTTCTTAGTTCATGCACAACTCGATCGCAACATTCTTCAGATTTCACAATCTCGATTTTCAAATAATCAAAGATTTCTATCGCATCTCTCAATTCTCGAACACTGTGTTTGTACTTAAAATAAACGTAAGAAACAGTACCAGCAACTGCAACCGCTGCAGAGGTTAGACACAATTTGAATTTAGTTGATGTTTCCATTGAAACATTACTTATAATGTATTCTTTTTAATTAATAAAATGCACGAATTAATAGGCTTTAACTGTGTTGGACTCCTGTACGATACAACTTTTGCACTACTTCGTGACTACTTCACACTGTCTAATATAAGGGAAGAAAATGTGATGTGATGTCAACAAAGAGCATGTCACAACAATTTACGTATTTGAGACATAGAGACTATAGAGAGCAACAGTGAGTCATAATCTTAGAGTATATACCTATAGACAGAAGATCAGCGTGACTAGGCCTAGTCTAAATAAAACAAAAGTTCAAATGTCGATAATAAATAAATAAAAGTATAAAAAATGATTTTTAATTCTTCCTATGTTTACATTACTCCTTGTTTAATTTACATCGACGACCGTTTTGACGCAATGAAGTAGTATTTATTGAAAAGAGCATACGCTGCCACAAGTTTTTACTAGATATATAAATTTATGAATTAGGCTTAATTTAAACCAACTACTTATAAGGGTGGCTATATATTTTTTTTAACTCCAGATAAAAACATATTTATATAAAGTAGCTCAATGACTAAGAAGAGTGTTTTAAAATCTTACATTCTATAACAAAACTAAGAAAGCCTTAAAGTTTGACAACACTAAAAGTAAAATAAAATAATCGAAAATAATCGCAGTGGTTCTTCAGCTTAAGCAGAAAAATCTTATAGTAGATTTTTTAAACATTGGCAGTGACAGTAGTTTAGCTTATTCTATGACGGAAACTGTCTGTTGGAAACTTGTACTTGTCAAATGTCATTTTAAATTCGAAAAATAAAAAAGTTCGTTGATGTTTACAAAATATTGTGCAAAGTAACCGCTTAACTTTTCTTTATTTTGTCTTTGTGGTTATGTTAAGATGACCAACTCAAGGCAGTTAAAAATTACAAAACTATTTCGCAAAGGTGGTAAGTAAATACCTTGTTCAATAGATCAGACTATTTGTAATGTACTATAAAGAGATAGATTAGTAATAAATAGATTAGTAAATAAATACGTATAATATTTTAAAAATTTTTTTTGAGAAGTATAGCATTTGGCAATAACAAAAGCATCTATTTGTAGCTACGAGAGTACCAGAGGATTGTGATGAACTACAAGAAGAGATACTTCGACTAGAGCAAAGTTTAAGGGAGAAACAGAATGAGTTATTTCAGTTGCAGAGAAATGGGTACAGACATAAATCTTCAGCCATAGATAAGAAAGCAGATACTTTTATCCGACCTCAGGTAACCAAGCATACAACCTTCTTCGTCTCGTTCTGTATATACTCCTTATTTTAATGATGAATGTGTGTACCTATAGGTTTTCTCTTATGGAAAATAGAAACATAATTCTTCTTATGTTTAATGTACTTCCAAAATCTTAGGTCACACAATCTCATATTTGATGAATTGTATTATGCAATAACACTAAAATAGATATTAAAAACTTCTTGTGACAAAATAACAATCAGGAGCAGATGAAGAACTAGCCCAGAGGGGATTATGACCCCTATGACATTACCCTGCACCTGCACTTGATTACAATTCAGTATTAACCTAGGCTAACTGCTATGTAAATATATTGACTAAGTCTACTATTATTTACTAATTTTTTTTACAGAAAATTGTATTATCAAATGCTGTAGACAGTCTAAGAACTGATTTGAAATTGATGTCAGTCTTGTCTGGCATAGAAGTGCAATCATATGTACTTGATGACCACTGTTGCATCACCTATTTGATGCAGCATGATTCAGAGCATCAAATTAAGCATGGTCTAAGGATAAATCTTAAGGGTGGTGAGTTATATATGGAAATGTATTATATTTGTTTTGGTTTAGGATATTATTTAAATCCCTTATTTGATGGGGTGAGCATATTCCCATGTATCAGAGACCAAAAACCATAAAACTTGTCTCACTCTCTTTTAATTTGATACAACTTGGCATTTTTGAAATAGATATTTAATTTCTGTTTTTCTATTTTGTAAATCTATCTATTCAGTACCTTTGTAGTGAAGTCAATTTATTGTATTAAATAATAGCTGTTACCGGTGACTTTGTCTGCGAAGAAAATGAATTAAAATTTGTAAGCCAACTGTGGGTAAGCCAAGTCAAAACAGTCTTTTCTGATATCCCTGTCTGGATATCAGAAAAGACATTTGTATGTTCACACAAACTTTATTCAAGTTATATAGTAGGTACCATAACAGCTTTTATTGATACATAAGAAATAACTTTTTGTCACTTTACCAATTTCATTTGTCAATAACATTGAACACCATTTATTGATTTACACATTAAGTGGAACTACTTTTTGCAGACTTCTCTTTATATGTGGTCACCATAAATATTTTAAATTAAAAAGTGGTGTAATATAAATATATTATGGTATAATTTATATAGTATTATAATTTTAATTAATTGTTAAAATAAAAATGTACTATACTCTTGAAAGTCCAAAATTTGCCAGTTCTGGTAAAAAATATTCTATGTATTTTTTCCTATTTTTCATGACAGCTGTAAACATTTTCTCAATTTGAAGTAGCTAATAAACACTCTGAAAAGTAGTCTTTCAAGATCAGGAACATTATGGTCAAAGTAGTTAAATCCCAAACACTTCATTTTTATTTGTGTGTATAGATACTGTTAACAAAAATAATTATCTGTAAGGTGCCAATGAAGTAACCCAATCATCTCTTCCGTTGGGTTTTAACCTGAATGCTGTGATGGAGGACTTTGATAACATTATGGTGCCAGAGTGTCTTGGTGCGATCAGGAAGGCACTAGTGGCGTATTACGATCGGTTGGAGCAGTTTGAAGCTCTTAAAGTGAGTAGTATTCTTTTTCTTCATTTAATATGTTAATATAAAGAAAATATAATGTATTTGTACTCTCAAATAAATTATTACGATTGTAATACATACTTAATTTAGGTACACTTAATTTAAAACTTATCTTTGTAAGAGACTAAAACTTTTCCATTCTCTTTTATTATTATCTTGTGTGTGACGTTTGTCCTAAGTGGTGACGGATTAAGAATATGTAGTGTCACAACCCCTTTTCATCACGTGGGTGTCGTAAGACACGACTAAGGAACCAAACTACCCACGACAACAGCACTGCAAAGAGAAGGAAAACTTGACACAAACCAAAACCATCCTGTCTGGCCAGGGTGGGATAGTAGTCTAAAACCTGCTTTTTAAGGAGGCCTATATCCAGCAGTAGACTTTTAAAATTTGTTGTTGTGATTTATCTTTTGTGGTCGAAATCAATTAAGACCCGATACTCAGGATCCCAATCGCCAAGAGACAAGAAGACGCCACGCGAATTAAAGAGAGTAAGGTGTCGCTCGATCGTCGTAGTGTGTACAAGATATACTCATGATTACACTTTTAAACTTAACAAACTTTACTTAACTTACAGAAAATGTTAAACATCGAAGCGCAGCTGTTCAAGATTCTAGACGGCTCGCACATGCAAATAACGTTCGTGGCCAAGAACGAAACGGACGAGGACGTCGAACCGTTCGACGTGGTGCTCATGTTGGATTACAGGGTTTACGATATACGACCAAAGCAGTTCTCTTTTAAAGAAATAGGTATGAGTATTTAACTTGAAACAAGTACCTACTATTTGATATTTTACATGCGCGCGTGTTAAACTCAAATAATGAAATTCGAACTTTTTCCGCTGGGGCAAAGCATACTTATTTTACAGTTAAACTTAAAAACGTCTTAATCACGCAACAATTGACATGTCATATTTCGAGATTAAAGGGAATAAAATTATAAAAGTAGGTAGGTACTTCGGTACCCTATATGTTTTTGTAACTATGTCCTCATTTTTTATCACTTATGGAACCGTAAAATGTTATTTATCCTGCTATTTTTATTTTATACACGCGTAACTAGTACGAAATGGCAGAACTTAAAAAAAAGGAAACTTATAAAAACTGACCAAATAATATTTAAAAAGTAATGTTTCAGACATCTAACATACAACGCCATCTAGTTTAAAACTAAGCAGAGCTTGTACTATCGAATCCAAGAGCACAGCAGTCCCATACGCTACCACTGCATTACGGAGGCGGTCAATATTTACGTCAAATAATTACTTAAATTTATACTTTTCGTATTAGGTTTGCAATTTTATTACAAAAACTTAAATAGCTTCAAAATCTACAAATACGCGGCAACTTTACAATTGCTCAAAAAAGGAATAAAGCGTGCGTCGATCACACGCTTTTCTCGCTCTAAGTGACGCAATCGGCCAGCAGAGTCCACTATGATTGTCCATTGTTATAGATCTTCCTGAGGGAGCAGCGGACTTGCTTCGAGAACAGTGCATATTATTCAAACGAAAGACGTTACATAAAGCTTTTAAAGAAGCCTTTATAACCGGTGTCGGGCACTTCAAACTGGTGGAACAGGTATAGTATACTTCTGTTGTAGTTATTTTTCTTCATCTGAGCACAGAAAAACATGGTTGAAAACGTTTTATCTGGTACTATTAATATTTTAATCAGATGAGGTCAAAAGTAGTTATAGGATATCAAATATAATTATGTGATGCAGGTGGGCTCCCGGCCCGCGGAGCCGCGACGTCGGGCGCGTCGTCCCCGTCCGCAGCACTACAACAACGACGACACGTTCCAGCCCGAGGACTGCTCCGAACATAGCGACGAGGTCGACGTCGATTGATCCGTCTCCACTTACGTAATATTGTTGAATTGGGATAAGTGTAAATAAAGGAATATACAAACAATAATGATGAAGTTGATGATACAAGTAACGCCTACCATATTTTTTAAATAAAAATGTATCATTAATTAATTTTTTTGTACTTTTAAATTGACAACCTTGTGATGATATATTTGTTTTGACAGTTTCACAGTACTGAAGTGAACAATATGTTTATTTACTATGAGTGTAGCCTTTTCGTAAAAGTAAACATGTAAAGTTTATACATACCAATCTATAAAAAAACTTCGATTTATAAAGCAAAGCTTGGGAGTTAAGCTTTGTTCAAGTTTTACTTAAGTACATTTTTTTTTATGAAAGGGGGCAGACGAGCAGTCAGGTCACCTGATGGAAAGTGACTACTACCGCCTATGAATGCCTGCAACTCAGGAGTCATAAAAGCGTTGCCGGCCTTTGAGTAAGCAGTACGCTCTTTTCTTGAACGTTTCAAAGTCGTATCGGTCCGGATATTTCTGCATATTTTTTTACCAACAGATTCAGTTAAAGGAGTCTTAGTGGATCAAAGCTCTTGTTTTTTCTTAAATTATTGTTCATTTCCATTAATTATATATTAAGGATACAAAAAAGTCAAATTATCAATAAACTTTATTTCAGATAAAAATAAAAAAAATGAAATTTATACAACATTTTCACTATATTACATCTTATCGCAATTTTTACAAAGCGTGACATGAACTGTTACCTAGCGGGAAAGGATTACTGGTGGTATCATTTGTGCATTTCATCGTGATCTGATCTAATAGAGGCAGACATGTCATTACATATCCGTCGCAATAAATGTGGATCACCATTGGCGTTCACCGTAATTGTCACATGTTCGCTATTATAAAGGCCCTTCTAACTTGTATACTTCTACTTAATAAAAATAGTATATAATCAGTCTAAGGCAAATGAACAAGCATGACACAAAAACTATGTTCTATTAAAATGAATTAAAAATGTATAATTTGTGTTGGGTCAGTAAAGGTCCAGTTAGAAAAATAAAGAATTTTGCCATGATTATTTGTGACTCATTTAGTTTTTCAGAATTGAGTCCAACTGTGTAAAGTTGGTACTGCCATTGCCACCTGTAGAACTTTATGAGATACTAATTAACTACCCTTAAGTGTAAAAAAGAAACAAGAAAAGAAATCTTTAGAGATAATCCAAAACTACCGCCATTTGACGTTTTTTCCTCACTTAATATTCTTAACTTAGATTATTAATGAGGGTAGATATTAAAAAAAATTACGTTGACTTCTATGTGCATAGGAAATGGACCAATTGCTTCTAAAGGTACTAAAACATGCACACTATATATTGCACCCAGTAACATTACAAGCTTTAGCTTTCGCATTCGATAATTATTTTACACGCTTTTTATAAACATACAAACAGACACACCCAAACATTACAATCTTTTAGAAGTAAATTAAAGTAGGTAAAAGAACGTAATAGTGACGGTAATCGTAGAAAGTTATATTGAGACCATTTCAGGAACTCACACTCTAATTTTAAGCCCTTATGTGAGCTACGCAAGACATTCCGCCACTTGAAATTAAATAAATTGCACTATTAAAGGGCAAGATGATTAAGGACCATTATACCCAATTGAATAGTTGCAATATAGTATAATTTTCGGTCGAATCATGCACGTCAGACTTGTAGTCTACTTGCTTTAAGAAAATAGTGACGCATCGATACCCCTGCGTCCAACTGACCAATCACGTTCCAAGAAATTATCTTTTCCTACGAAAGCTTGGAACCAGATTGGTCAAGCACGGAGCTTGATCGATGTGCGTCACTATTTTCCTAACGGAAATCGATATTAATTCTTGTTCATCTCAGGAACACATACCTACTTAGTCATTTATTACTAAGTGCCTTATGACATTTCGTCATTAAGCAATTTCTTATCAGAAACTTACAGAAAACGATTCATTCACCAGGATGTCATGTAAAAAAGAGTTTATAATTTTTTCTCTATCTTGATCTACTTCGTATGAAATATGTAATGTTGTATCTGTTAGGTATTATGTTTGTAACCTACATATTTTTGAAGTATTTTTACTCCTGTATTTGTAACAATGTATGTTTATCAGCTAGAGTCACAGTCCGGGCTCACATGCCTCGGTTGGGCAGGGGCTTGACCTTGTATATGCGCACGAGCCAGTGTTCAGTGGTATACGCCTCTTCCAGTACGTCAAGGTTAAAGTCTTTGTTGCCGATCTCCGCACCGCGTACTCGGTCGTAGCCGGGCGGACGTCCTGCAGAAAGAGATAAACGATGTTGGAACTGCCTCACTATATACTCTCTACTAACTCGATCAGTTACAACTAAATAGACATTATTTTATAATATTTTTACATTTTCTGATCCATAACTAGAATGGTTACTTATCCCTGCATTTATAACGGTTTTATAAAATACTAGGTTCATCTACTTCTCTCGGGTTTATATTGTTTTTTTCTGTCGTTTTTCGAGTATGTAGGCTGACACAGTAAGTGGAGTAGTTAAGGCACTAGGTTACATATAATGCGGTGCGGACTTACACCCCTTTTTTTCCGTGCGGAAATCCCCTCGGATACCACCTATCGGTGGCATGTCGGACTCGAACCGACCGACTAAAACCGCACGCCGTCTCGGGTACTATAGTTAAACCGCCGTAAGCTTGGCCCTCCTGATGGTTTGCGGGACGCGGGGCGGGTGATGCGCTCGGCTATACATGACACGATGTACTAACTCGATATCTTCAGATTTATTTGTTTGAGATTTAATCTACACACGATGTAATAAAAATCGAATTTATTTCCATGTATTATAATGTCAGTATATTGTAAGTTTTTATGATTAATTGTAAAATTTAATACTGTAAAATAATTTTAATAAAATCACCTTATCTTCATCATGTAAATTATATTCAGATACAATTTAAAAATTAAGTAAAATAATAAATATTCTTTATTAGAACTTTAACAGTAGAGCCTCTGTAAGCCGAACTTCAAGTTTTTAAATCTTTTTGTGACGCAGAGTCGGCAGATTATCCATGTTGCAAAATAATACCGTGTGTAGCAGTCTTAAGAAAAATAACACGTACAGCCATACTTTCACGTCAGTCACTGCCGGCGGACAGCGACGCACTAGCTAATTGGTTGAATGCACCCCCGCCCCGCGTCCCCCAAACCATCAGGAGGGTCAAGCTTACGGCGGTTTCACTATAATAGCCGGGGAACCAGGTATACCCCAGAAAGGAAGTCGCGGACTTACCCCCCTCGGTGTAGACGAGGCCGAACTTGTAGTAGCTCATCTTGTACATGAGGCAGTTGAGCAGCGTGGAGGAGCCGTCGGCGTCGACGCGGAACTCGCCCGAGGGCGTGTAGTAGTCCGCCTCGCGGATGTGCGCGCCGCGCTCCGTGCTGCCACCGATACGCACCATCCACAAGAACTTGTTTATATCTGACAAACGACCACCACTACTGTAGTATAAACTAACCTTCGGATGGCTTTTGTGCGGACATCTTCTGCGCAGTCATATAACATCATGTTTTTATTTTTTTCCTTCTGACTTTTAAATATATTTGATCAATAATCAATTACCAAGCTTAATTTAATAGTGTACGCTTTAACAGAAACGACTTAATCTAAAATTTTTAGAATTAATAATTTCAATTAATTGACCAAACTTATCGACATACATTTTACGAATAAAAACGAAACTGAAAGAGATGTAAAGTCACTTGCGCATGACGACGCGTCGCCACATCCTATTACATGTTACATAATATACTATTACATAGTGTGCCGACGCATCATGAAGATCTAAAATAACAAAGGCCAGCAAAATGTTTACCCAGAAATCAGAATATACTTTCCCGAAGGACTTTGGTGCTCTGAATCCAAATCCGGCCGCAAATTTGCACTATCACGTCAGGGTTTTGTTTGCATTTTACTAAAAGTGCAAAAATCGCAAAACAAATTGAGGTTATGTAACCCTAAAAAAATTTAAGTACACAGGGTATCTTAAACTACAAGTCTTCAGCTTTCAAATGACGTTGAGTTGCTTAAATATCATTTTTTTCGCTTTACTACTCGCTTTAGCGATTCTGCGAGCAATTCTGCGGCCGAATTTGGATTCAGCGCACCAAAATCCTTCGGGAAAGTATACTCTGATTTCAGGGTAAGAAACTTTGTTAAATTTTGTTGGCCTGTGTTATAAATAGAACAGTTTCATAAGAAACAAACTCACCATCTGAGGAGTACCCCACAAGTCCTCCAAATATAACGAGCACGTAGTCCACGTCTAACTCCCGCATGATCTCGTAGGCGCGGTCCTCGGTCGACGCCATGGCTTGTCCGACCCGCGATATATGCGTGTTGTTCCACGTGTTATTATCCACTATGACTGTTCGATTTGCCATCGCCGTTATCTGATAGCCGTAGTCCCACCATGACATCACTTTTGAGTCCTGTATCATAAACAGAAATATAATAAATAAGTATTGAAAAGAAAGAAATTCCTTACTAGCAAATGTATCGGATATAGTTAAGAACTGCTAAAATTATGCTTTAAAAATACAAAAAAAAATCGGTTGTCTGTAAAGTCGGTTTACTGACGATAATTGAACGTGACAACGTCATAAGAAAATACTAATGGAATGGTTGCATTTTTCAAAAGAAAATTTTAATTTTATTTGTTAGACAGATGTCAAACGCTGCCGAACGCGGAGGCCGATTGTGCCTCTTTGTCGCTCGTTCCGCGCTCTCGCTTGCACTTCAAGCCTTAAATGGAACGCCTCAGAGCGAGGTAACGCCGCATGAGTCATGTTTTTTCGTGCGTGCAGCCGGCTCCATCGAATTATAAGACGTTGTCACGTCAAAAAATGACTTGAACTTTTGATGTGTAATATTTTTTATGATAACTTTATTTTCTTAAAGTATAGACTCGGTAACATATGAATTTCCTAGGCTTTTATATTTTTTTACTCAGAGGAGGGAGACCAAAAATATATTTTTTAGAAAAGAAAACAGTTATAATGATGTATGTGTGGTGACCTCGGGCGTGTTCATCTTGAGCCAGGTGTAGGCCTCGCGGAAGTCGTCGAAGATGATGCGCGCGCCGTCGTGCGCACGCGCGCTGAGCACGATGGAGGGCGACGAGTACGCCTCTGACGTCACCCACGTGCAGTGGAACACGTACGACACCAGCAGGCAGCCCAGCACCATCACGAACAGCGCGCCCACCTGTGGACCCATTTATTTTACCCACTGTTATGCATTTCATTTTATTTCACGAAATGCATACATCTATGACATGTTACGACTAGTAGTACGGTCTATGGAAAGAATAGAGTAAAATAGTATAGTATCTAGTACTTTGGCAGCTTCGGTTAGTCTTTCAAACAACAGTTACGAGTAAATTAGTTTTTTTGTCAAATTTATGATGTGTATGTAACTTAAAGCTTAGTAACAAATCTTCGTTTTTTTTTAATAGACTAATGAGCGTGCTCAGTACTAATTTAAAAAATATGTATTTGTTTTTTTTTTTTAATAACTTCCATCATACATTCACCAAATTATTGTTTAGAACAATTAATATTTTTAATAAAAATATTCTACAACAACTTCTTTTCAACTCTTTTTTTGGGATCGGAAACTTTCCGAAATTTCCGAAAATTATAATGTTCCTGAGTATGACTATACGCCGGTATTAAATGAAAATAGTTATACCTCCGACCGGAACACCATATTATTCTCATGTTTCTTTTTCTTCTCATGCTTCTCCACTTTGGGTTCGATGTCTTTCACGTGCAAACTCAATAAACTAGAAGCGGCTACTCCGGACACTATGCACATCACTGGCGCCAGTACCAGCATTAGACGGACCATGACACCCTGAAAAGAAGACTCCGTTAAAGTCATGTTGAGTAATACCTAAGTTTGAGCAATAGGCAGTATTAGTCAGCGATCAAAGTGTGAGGGTCACAGCGCGGAGTCCACGGAGTTGTGCACTCGACGTTGCTACGACGCGCTCCATGCTTCAGGTATCATCATAGACAGATATTATATGTATAAAACAAGAAATTTATGTGTGTTGTTTTGAGTTTGAGTAATATGCATTTCATACAAGTTTTGATCTTAGACTTTAAAACCTCCTTAAAGGTCTATCCACACTGAAGGTTACTGATAGGAAAATCCTTGAAATGTGTACACAGAGAGCCCCCTGACGGGACACGGACGCACGGTTTTGACAAACCTCTTGTGCATGGATATATGTTAAGGTGGACCAGGCTTTTGATATTTAAAATATTGTTTAATATTTTACTAACATTTTCAAAATTTATCGACATTTTCATTATTTACGATTATTTTACACATTTAATAGTAATAATACTAATTTAGTACTGCAGTGTGATTCTGTTGTTGTTGTCTTCTGTTTTCATTTTAAATATATAATTTAAAATAACTTTATCCTGTACAGGCAATGTTAGCATTATATATATGTTTCTGATTTGGTTAACCTTCTTAATGTTTATTCCAATGATAAAAACTTACCGCAAAGTAGATGCTGAGCACTCCATACAAGATGATGAATATGTTGGCGTCAGTCAGTTTACTGAAGCAAAAGTACAGGCCGGCGGGGAACAAGAACACCAGCACTTGCAGGTCGAAGTAGAACGACGACCACGAGGTCGGTTGATGCTCAGATACAGAAGCTAGACAGATATTAATATTTTTATCAAGATTGTATAACCTCGAGTTCCATGGTGTGCAAAAGTGACATAGGTTACTCTATAATAAAATCATCCAAGTCTAGGAAATTGTGCGCGTCTAATTTGTGCAAAGATCTGTCATAAAGTTAGAGGGAAAACCTTCCCAAGGTAGTCTAAGGTATGATCCACATTCCTACATATAAAGGTAAGAGGTTTTGTGCTGAACTGAAAATTTTCATTTTAGAAAAACCTTGATTATGACTTACCAATAATCGGAATGTGATTTTTAGCGTATGATGGATCTAACAGAGAGTAGAACCGTCCAGTCCATGGCGAGATTTTACCTGTAATAATAATAAGACTTTAAGATTCTGTTTCTCGCGCTGAGATAACATTATGTCCCCAGATAGAGTAAAAAAAAAATAAGTTAACACACCAGTAACTGTGAGAACAGCGGCGGCAGTGCCCAGAGTGGCCAATAATGTGGTAAGTAAAGCCTTGAACAGGAGCTCGAAGTTAGCTGGAGACAGGTGCTGCCGCAAGTATTGAGTGAACGCATACAGTTGGCATAGACCGAAAGTTCCCAAAGCCTTTTATGAAAAAAAAACAAAATGATGAGCGACTGTAGACATCATAATTTGTTATAGAATCATTTATGGTATGGTTTAATTATTAACGTGTTTTACTATATAACGTGACGATTGTTAAATGATTAATTTTATTTGATGTCTTTTTTAACTACCCTTTTTATGTACAAGAGAAACTGTCATTGTACAGTCTTTTCTTGGCAGGTCCAAATATATATTGAACCCCTATAACTTTATGTACCGTTTATCGTTTTACTTTATATTAGATATAGTTTAAAAATTCAAGGTTTTTGCACTTTTCCAACATATGAACTTTAAGTTTTAGAAGGTTCTGTTGTTGCCTGTGTATTTGCAAAAAAAATCGTAAAAAACATTCTTAATGTAATGTTTCTCATATCTGTGTGGTGAATGTTTACTTGACGTAAAAATACTTACAAGCATATGTTCTGAGCTCTGCACTGGCTGGAACCCGACGAAGGAGATTTGCATCGAAAGTATAGTACCCACACAGTACAATGTACTATAAGCCACATACACACGAGCAGAGAATCTGCCAAGAAGCATCAGAGCGAGTACGTGGAGAGGGATCAAGTTGATGAGGAACACGTAGCCTCCCCATGAGGATACCTGGGCAATACAGTCATATGATATAATATTTTAACAAAATATAATTTATTTTGTTATTATTATTTGAATTTAATATATATTTTTTCAAAATAATTGAATAAATAGGTAACAATGTTAATATAATAGATTGGTGCCAAAAAGTACAACAGATATTACACAAAAAAAAAGTTTGTATAATTATGTGCCGAAATATTTTTCTTGAAATCGAAATAAATCTTTTATTTGGGAACCTTATGGCGGGAGATCTTTCTAATTCTTAATATAGTGAAGAGCTACTCTTTACATAATCTCTTAATTATTAACATTTTAAAGGTCTCCTCACAGATCCAGTAATTGGACTTAAAGAAGTTCTGATAGACTTTTTAAATTGCTGTAACAGTGATAAGAAACAACCCACACACAAATACTAATCCTTTCATTTTTACTCAATAAAGTTGAAAACTCTTATTACTTGTAACAGATAAATGTCGCATTTTTGTGATTGCATACTCTTTCTTTTTTTTTTTCCGTGCGGAAATCCCCTCAGATAACACCTATCGGTGGCATGTCGGACTCGAACCGACTAAATCCGCACGCCGTCTCGGGTACTAATAGCCGGGGAACCAGGTATACCCTAGAAAGGAAGTCCCTGGTGCCCCGACATACCTCGGGCCATCTACAGACGAGTAGACGACGAGACCCCCGTGTAGGTATATGTAATATAATTATAATATAATATTTGTGTACGACAGTGCAAAAACCAATAAGTAAAAAACAAACAAATTGGTGTGAAACTGTCATCTTATCAATCTATGATTGTGGTGTGGACTTGTGTTATCATTACAGAAGTCTGTTTTATAATTGAAATCACAATCAATGCTTATCAATAAGTAATATTCCTAATTTAAAGTAAAAAAATATCAATGTTTAATATATTGATTGCTGTTCTACAATATTCAGATTTATTGTATTTTGACTTACCATGTAAAAGTAAGCGAGTGCAGTCATGGTGGCCCACAATATAGTGCCGGTATTAACAGCCTTTATCCAAAAGTAGTATGTGAGTAGCATACAAAAGATTGCAATGCCCTCATTGTCATAGCTGCCAGCTACAGAACGACTGATGTAACCGGGCACTATGGCAATCATGCATGCTGCGACAAGACCGGCACCTTCATCCTGAATAACATTTTTAGTTGATAAACTTCATGAGATTCAAATTAAATTTATCTATTTTTTTATGACAGATATTAAACTAGATAATCAGGATATAGAATTAGAATAAGGGTATAGAATTATATACAGAGGCAATAAAATTTGGTAGAATTTTTTATTTGCATTAAATTGAACTGTAAAGTTGCAGTCTTAAAAAAACTTTGAACCTTAAAGCTTCAAACTTAAAATAATTTTGATCTTGTTCTCGAAATTACCTTAAGTTCCTTAGTAAGGAGATAAGTGACAATTGTGGTGAGCGATGAAAAGAATGGTGCAAGGAACACACACACATTTCTGATGTCAATGGTGATGTTCAAAAACTGCATTACATTGTACAAAGTAGCTGACGTCACCATCAATCCAGGATAAATGGTACCTGCAGAGGAAAAATTATGGTTTAATCATTTCATTTTTATTCAGACCAAAGGATTTTCAATTATTTACTTTCTATATAAAATTTCCTTAAAAACAGTAAAGCAGTAAAGATGAAAGTTCTTCTACGGTAAAAATAATAATTTTAAAATAGTAGTAGATTATCTAGACACATCACATAAAGTTCCAAGCCAGGACAGGGCCTGTCAGCTCCTGATTGTGATCTTTATATGGGCATACATGTATATCCCTACTATGATCACATTACTGTGTGACTTTCCTAATTCATCTCTACATGTATACAATGAATTTACATTAATACAATGAATGCTACATTTTCTTTATCTTTATATAGTATAAAATACAGTCGCTTTTTTTCTTGTATGCTAAGATCTTTCAAATTACGCTACGGATTTTAATGCAATTCTCACCAATAAAGAAAGTGATTCAAGTGGCAGGTTTATATGTATAATACACACATATTATAGAAGAGGAAATAAGAGAATTGCAAAGATTTGTAATGTGATATAGTAAAAAAAATGTTTTTATTTGCTTAGATTGCAAACGCTGGCTAAACCTTAGATAGATCAAAATAATTTACTACAAAATCGTATATCTAAAATAGATCCATAATGGTGTATGTCTATCTCCTAAGGATATGTTACAGTAACCATTTTTATCTTATACATATCACAAAAAATAATGGGTAATTTACAAGCTATTTAGAACAATACAGTGTTATTCCTTATCCAAATTAATATGTTAGATACATTGTACATTTAATGTAGAGTAGATGAAAATTGCCTTTTACAGTATATCATTATAATGAATATCTTTATCTTAGCAAATATTAGAGATTTAAAATGCAGGAGCAGAGCGGCTGTGTCCACATCAGGTTGTAAATCCATACCTGGTGGCAGCGTCCAGCAAGAGCGGAGCAGGAACAGAGCAGGCCAATAAATATTGCACATAAAGATGCCCTGTAGTATAGTCTTATCATAATAATAGTATAAATAATTACTCCACATTGACACCACACTAATAGTATCTACATAGCACCGATCTGCACCAATTGAGCCTTACTTTGACACGATATACAACCCGCCTCATTTCTCATCAATGCAACGGAGCTTGGCAGGGTACAGATAGTATATTATGTTATTATTATTTAGGGGATTCTTGATGTGTATTTAATGCTATGATTTTATTATAACTATGCACCAGTTGTGTCAGCTGCATCAACAATATAGTAACTCTATACATACAAATTACATTTAGACAGCTGTTGGTATTCATAATATTAATGCCACTAAGTACACTTATGAGTTCATTCAGACATCTTTGCAATTGTTTTATTTGTTAATGTAAATAAAACATACAAAAGAATTTTCCTTATTAAACTATTCATATGTCTGATTAGGATTCTAATTGGTCTCGCACCTCAACAATTTAAGTACTTGTTCAAACAGACTAATATCTTTATAACAATGTAACATATGTTCATAAAAGTAAAATAGTAATTTTCAAGAAACAAATATTATCATTCTAACACCTTAACTTTTGTGAAGTTAACACTAAAATTGACAACTTATTCAAAATAATCATAGCAAGGGTAACGGAGTGGTTGATTACTAGACTATAAAACATTGAAAGATTAATCAAACTTACCGCCAATGATACGCCCCAATGGGTACCATGCCCGATCATCAAACCAATTGTGAAAATTATAAAAGCCTTCCTCTGTCAGGTACCTTGTGGTTCTATAGTTGAAGTATGGATCAAATTCGTGAATTACGCTCTCGAAACGCAGCACAGAGAACAAGCGTGTTGCAAACGCTGTAAACAAATTGTATAAGTAAAACAAGATAAAAAAATCTTATAGGTACAATAATGCAGATAGTAAAATATTAATTTTAATTTTTATACTGCAATACTGCGTAAACGGGAAGCGTGAAAACCGGCATTTCAGTTAATGAAAGCTTCTACTATTTTTTTATTCATCCCAATCTCATTTAGCATTGAGTGTTATTTCTACTGCATCATTTCAAGACATAGCAGTTATGTTTTGACTAAAAATAGCTTTAAAATATGTGTGTTTTTAATCTATGCACATGCCATCGTCATAACTTATCAAAATATGTATACTACAGAATGACCACGTAAGTCATGAACAACATACATACAAATCGTAAAAAAAACATCCAATAGACAAAATTGTACCAAGTCTCGGTTTTATGGGCTTAAAACTATCAATATGTACAAGTTAGCAGAGAAACATACTCACATAATATTGCTGCCATTGATAAAACCGCTAACTTAATAAATGTTAGTTGTTTATCAGATGAAAGCTGCGGTAGCCTCATTTTTGTTTGCACCTCCGCCGTCATTTTAAAATTTTAATGACCTTTGTGTTTCTAATATATAACATATATAAAATTAATATTCATTAAATATTCACAAATTTTATATTCATTCACCGGCAACCTAACACATTGGTTTGATCGCCGACGCAATTTGACAGTTCCTGAGCGGCGTGGCAAACTTATTACTAGAGTTGTGTAGCTCCTGAGTGAGTGATATAAAAGATATATAATATCATTCACGACGATAAAATGTATCACTCACTCACACTAGTTCTGAATATATCAGTAACTCACTAGATCACTAGATCACTAGCTCAACGACGCCGATCTTTGTTTCATGAGCGAGTGAGACTAAAGATAAATGAGTGAGATAGATGATGGTTGAGTTCACGCAGGTTTCTTTATGCAAAATGTACATTATTTCTATAGGATCAAAGTTTAATATTACTTAAGAATTAAGCCAAGTACAAGGAAAATCAAATTATGTATGATTTCTATTATACAACCTAAAAAAATTCTTATTTTTAATTATTATGTAAAAGGATGTTAATAATTATGTAATCTTATCAAAATGAATAAAATTGTATTTATAAAAAATTGGTTAAAAATGTAGTTTCAAAAACTGAATTTAGGTTAATATGAAAATAAAGAAAGGTTTGTATGGCGAGAGAGGCTTAAAGTGAGTGATATACGAGTATACTGAGCTAAACGATCTAGATGAAGAAATTTATTTATTATTTATTTATTTATTTATTTATTTTCTTTAAAAACAACTATTTTTACAGGCTTAGCCCAATGCAATAGTGTTATACCACCTACTTATTTATTATAAGAAATAATTCTTAATGCTGTTATTGTGAATTCACTCAGTGAGCAATAAAATAAATCTACTTCGTCCGCAATTATATTCAGAGTACGTAGTGCGCGCGTCAGCGGTGCTTCTCTCTGCAGGTTGGTGCGCCCGCACGGGACAGCCAGCAGCGGCGGCCGGCGGCGCCGCCACACGTATCTGTCCGGAACACATATGCTGACTCGTCCTAACACGTCTTCATTATGTATCCCACCCCTAAGTACCCTAAACAGGTACGAGACGAGTGTGAGTTCCCTTCTGACCCTCAGTTCATTGTATCCCACCATACCCAGAATAAATAACGTGGGATACATTAATGGATACAATGGGTATACTCCATAGTATCTGAAGTACAAAAACCTAACAAATTTATTTTGAACTCGCTCCAACATGAGGCTATATTTAGCTTCATGTGGGGCCCAGATGACTGCGTTACTCTCTAGCTGACTTCTTACCAACGCGTTATACAATGCTATAATTGTATTTAGGTTTCTAAAGTCCTTTACTGTTCGTAAAACAAAACCCAAATTCCTATAAGCTTTTTTACAGCATTTCACTATGTGATCACGAAATCTTAGCTCAGTGTTAACACAAACCCCTAAATCCCTAACCTCTGTGACCCTTACCATCTGTGTCCCGTCTAAATTATAATTATACTAATTAATTACTAATTAATTAAATTATTATTATTAATTATTATTAAATGAATTAATTGTGAGACCAATCAATAGAATCGGATCAATGAGCTAGTGAGCTAAACGAGTTAGTGAGCTAAATGAGCTAGTGAGCTAAACGAGTTAGTGAGCTAAATGAGCTAGTGAGCTAAACGAGTTAGTGAGCTAAATGAGCTAGTGAGCTAGATGAGTGATATATATCTTTTGAGCGAAATGATATATATCAATCTTTTCAGCTCAGTGATACATTTTGCGCATCACTACTTATTACCATATAAAAATTAAATGTACACACACAAATACTATGTTCCAAATCAAGTTTTACAAAAACTATCAAGTACCTCTCTCCTCTAGGAAACAAATTATTTTATATTATTCTAATTTTATATTATTATTGTTCCTTTGATTGGTTAATGTGAAAAGTTGTAGATGATGATGATACGAGACTACAAGACATAGTGATGAATTTATTCTTAAGATACAGAAGATCAAATGATAGAAGAACTTTGCTTTTAAATTTTAGAAGACTATTTGAGAAGATGTTTACATAAATTTCATAATTTTTTGTCAGCTTGTTTTACTGACCCTAGTTGATTTTTGAAGTTTCAATCGAAAAAAAGAGTCTTTTTTTAATTTGGACTGGGTAACCTTTACATTTATTTTCTCAACAAGAATGGGACATTCTATAAAGGTGTAAGTCACCGTTAGTTAATTTATATAGCAAAATTTGATCGACCTATGGAGATTAAAATGTTTTAAGGGACTTTCATATGTCGGCAACAGTTTTACTTTGTAACATTTGTATAAAAGGTGCCAGAGTACTTTCTAGACGTTTAACATGTACCTCGTAGTGTGGTGACCTGATCATTCCAGGCCAGATCGAACCAATGCCGAATAAAGTGTAATCTTGGTCTAAGGTCTTTTTAAATCTTTAGAGTTCCTTATAACAAAGCCCAACATCTTAAATGCTTTAGTTGTTATTTTATTTTGTCAATTTTGTATTACGAAAGAAGATGTGGGGCTAATATTTATATCATGCGTATATAACTTCTCTTTGAAATTATCTCTCCTTCAGTTACCTGCTTACCTTTTTTTAGAATTTATATCCTCATTTTTTATTTTTTACTATTTATGTGTCTTTAATACATTGTTTTATAGTATCCATTACTAAGATTCTGGTTAGCTTCAGCTAACAAACTTCCAAAAATTTTTTCTTTGACAAATATTAAAAAAATAATCTATTACAGTTAGGTTGCAGATGTGTTAGAACACATGTTTTGGGTAGATCACTTGTCATTGATGAAGATGATGAACAAGATGCAATTATTTAGTAGTTAGTTAATAATTATATCTCTATCTTAAAAATATTAAAGGACAAGGCAATCTGATGTCATGTTCACTGTATGTAAATTGGTGGTTTTAGTTTTTTGATTTTTTTTCTTCTTCCGTTTTACTGTTACCTGTTCCTACAAGCAAACAAAAAATAATAATAGTGTAAAACATTTTAACGATATATTTCAAATTAAAAGTTAGTCAATTTTATATCACGAAATGATTGGGAAAAATTTACATACATACATTTTAATAATGTGTGGAGTAGGTCTCTACGAGTTTTTTGTTACCAATGCTACCTTTGAAAAAGTGATTTTGCTCTTTCTACTAAATCTACTAGAAAGCACAGACATAGAGAAATTGAGCACAGAGTGAATTGAGTAATGTGTAATATAAATCCATAGGGATAATAAATGACTAGAGCAGGAAGCTGGTTGTAGGAGCATAATAGAGTTAGAGAGAGAAAAAATTTTGTGCCGGTCTTGCATCTCACTCTCCATTCTTCATACAATCGTTCCCACAATCGTTATGGAGATAACACTACATAAATTGTAGGAGACTGACAGCCAATCAGTGAGGAGAGGAGGAAGAGGTGCAAGACCCGCACAATCTTTTTTCACTCTCCAACGCTGTCACGGTTCTACTTACAGTCCTACGCGGCTAGCCGCCTCTAGTTATATGTTATCTCTATGGTTATATCAAACTAAACAATTGCAATGTCAAATATACCTACATCTATCTACACAGCAGATGTCATTGGATGTCATTTTCTTTCAGTCATCGCGATCTCTATTTGGCAATAAGAAATTATTTTTCTTTGTCTAAGCTTTGCTGTCGTGCCGTGTCCTGTTTAATTTATAAATACTAGAGTATAAAAATACCCAACCAAAAGAGTTTGCCTTACTGGTACCCACAATTTTTCACATACATTCGTTTTTGTAATATAACTTCCATGTAAATCTCATTAACGTGGGAAAAAATTGAGACAAATCCGGCCGCTATTATCGATGACTAATGATATGGAAGAAACACAAATTCGGATATAAATATTTCAGAAAAGTAATTGTGATATAGAAGTTATAAGGTGTAAGATTTTTATGTAATGTCTGACGGAGATCCATCTCTGGAAGAGGATGTGCCAGTGCCTCTACTTGAAATCGAAGATAATGTATACACACCGAAGATAACAGCTCCTATTTTCACGGGTGGAGTTAAACTACAACATAAGAAGTCTGATGAAGGGGAATTTGAATCATTTTTATCTGATGCCCAACGCAATGAGCTTGCACTTCAACAACTTCTTGGAAATGGAAGTGGTGAAGCAGAATTCCACGAGGTAATTCACATTTATAATAATGCTTTAGCTTGACTAAACTCCCTAAATCGAGGCTGCTTTCTGTATCTATGGGTGTTCTTATAGTTTTTATATTTACTATGACTTTCACATTTACTTTTTAAACTTGACATTTGTAATTGAAACTTTTTCAAGGTTGTTAAAATAGGCAACATAGCTTAAATGCAAATATCTAAATATTTTTACATTTCAAAAATGTGCAATGTAATTAGTCAGTAAAATTGTTGTTGATATAATATGAGTCAATAATTTATGTGAAGTTAATATATACTTCAGACTAACTGAAACTTTGCACAAATAAAAAACAGCCATATTTTTTTTAAGGGAATGAATGTAAATATTTGCCTGCCCTGTTGTACCCTACAATTTAAGGATTTACAATTTAAGAGTTGAATCACACATTAATGATTACATTTTGAAGTTACTGATTTTTACTTGTACAAGTAATATTATAGTAGATCAATACTACTTTTATTAAACTTACCCCTAAGCCATAGAGATATAGATATCTATCTCTATGATATATATCTATATCATAGAGATAGAGTTGTGAAGAACGTAATTACCTTAGTTGAATATTACCTTTTTAGTACGCTATGCATAAAATTGCACCTTAGTTTTTCAGACTAACAGTTTAAATGAAAATCTATGTTTAGGAATGAGTCTGTGACCACATCCAGTGTAATGGTGACCTTCTGATTGATTGCAATAGTCATTCTAGTAAGATGCACATTTTGGAAAATATAAGTCACATACTGGAATTTAAACATGTTACACTACTACAATAACTAATCTCTAAAATTTACAGTGATTATTATAGTTCAAACTAGCTGAGACCTGCAGTGTTACCGTTTGTTATAACCGCGGGCAACGCCGCGGGGCGAAGCTAGTCTAAAAAAAGTAGCTTAAGTTACTCCTTATGTCATCAGCTATCAGCCAGTGAAAGTCCCGTCGAAATCGGTCCAGCCGTTCCAGAGATTACCTGGAACAAACAGACAGACAGACAAAAATTGAAAAAAATGTTATTTTGGCATATGTACCGTGTAAACATACATATGCATTTAGTAAAAAGCGGTTATTTTAATATTACAAACAGACACTCCAATTTTTTTTTTTATAGTTCAAATATGTATTTACAAACTTTTTCAATTCATTTAAACAAATCTCATCAAAGAATGTATGTGATTACATTTAATTTAATTTATGGACAGCATGGACTTTATGTGTAAGTGAAAGTGTATAAAATGTAATTAAAGTTTCTTAGTGTTAAAAAGTGAGTTAATGCACTTTACTTCTTAAACGGTTAACAATAATTTAATACTAATTTTGAACAGATAATAATACTTTGCCACATCTCACACTAAGCTATCTAATCCCAAATAACACAGAGCCTGTATTATGGTAATCAGACAGCTTATAAACATACTCATTACTAAATACATACATAATATAGATAAATTATACCTGGCCAAGGAAAAATATTATGTTCATAAAGCAATAAAAAATAGATAACCAAATAGTTTTGTGATACCATATTTATTAAGTGTTACCTCTAGTTTTTCCTTCATGCTATTTTCTTGAAATATACACTGAAAAAAAGTCTTACATAAATTTTTGCATTTTAGGCACTTCCTAATAGGTTAGGTAAATATATATAGTTTTCAAATAATTGAGTCTGATAAAAAATAATGGTAGTTGTTATTTAAAACCACTAACTAGTTGTTACTATTTTTTGTTAATTAATCATGCATAATTTATACTATACATACTAATTTATGTACTAATTAGCTGAAATAAATAGTGAATTGCAATATTGAATTACTAGAAATACTTCAGTTCTCAATATAGTCATGATTTAATTATTCTGGGAAGTTACAAGAGTTGACCGTATAAATGTTGTAATAGTTCAATTGTACTTTAGTAACCACAAAGCGTCAGTTGTGTGGGTTCATACAATATTAGGTTATTAGAATCAGAGGCTCTAAAAGTAGATTAGCCTCTCAAAAAATTGCATTTTTTCTAAGACATCAGCATTTTCTGGGAATACTGCATCAAGTGTTATACCTACCAGATACTGGTTATTTCTAAACTCAGTCCATTTAGAGTACAGCTCAATTTGCCTTACTGTGCCATATTGATATAGTGCCATATTGTTGCCATATAGTGTTCTTCAAAGAAGAGTGATTAAAATCATCAATTGCCAGAATATTTCAGATTGATTTTAGACCTGGCATTGCATAGAGATGTAACTACACTCTGTATTCTCTATCACTTGAATATATTATGGGGAGAGGTTTTTGGATTTCTGGCATCATTCAACTTATTGGATAGTTGACACTCCACCACTGCGTTTTAAACGATTTTTTTTACTTCGCGTAAGTAACTTGTGGAACTAATTATCGCTTGTCGAACCGATACGTCCTTTCAGAAAAGTGTGTCCCACCTCAAAGGCTGGCAATGCATTTCAGATTTTTTGGTTGGAGATGTTCCTGTACGGCGGTGGTCACTTAGGCGACCTTTTATTACGAGAATATGCCTATATTCTGGTAATAAAAGTTCGGTCTCAATTCAGTTCCGATCAACTTTGGATCTTACAATTACTGTCATACAAGGTATTTTCGTGGTAAAGTATTAAAAATCCAACATTGATTGTAATGTAATTATATCGTATTTTAACTGAAAATTGAATCGGTAATCTGCTAGTCTTGGTAATACTTTACTATTTTACTACGTAAATACCTATTTGACAGTCAGATCGGAAGTTGATCGGAACCGAACTGTTATTACGAAAATTGGCCTTCTGCTCGTTTTATATCATAAAAACGTTAGTTGATGACTCACACCGAGTCGGATTATTCTCCAAACACGCCTTTACTGTCAGTTATCAGGTTACAGTTTGCCATTTCCCCGTGAGTTCCGCTACAAAGAGCAAAGCTTGGATAACATTCACTACAGGCGTTTTGGATGAACCTTTCGTTTTATAATTCGTTTAACATTTCTATAGAATGCCAATGATGGTTAATAAATAATATTATTATTTTTGATAGAAAATATATTTATACTGAGAGTTAGGAACCGATAAGTTAAAAAAACTAGGGTAGCTTTAAAAAATTAGTAACTACAATTTTTAATAATTTTTATAAAGAGTATTTCTACGAGTAGAGGTTGAAAATGCTACTACGTAATGTAAGGAGCATTTGTGCAAAATTTTATGCTTCTAGGCCCAGTGGTTGCAGCTGTGCGTTGAGCCATCAGTCAGTGAATCAGTCTCTCAGTTTCTTCTTTTATAGATGTAGATAAATGATCAATATTTATTGTTGGTGAAAGCTAAAGGCATCGGTCATGCACAAATCCCCCCACACACTCATACACACACATGCACACACACACACACACGTCCACAAATACATTCCATTATCATAATTTATATTGTAAAACCATTGTACCTCCAATTAAGGAAGGCACTGACTCCTAAGATACGGGTGGTAACCTAGTTTAGGAGACAGAGCACTTATCAAAATGTAACTTTGATGGTTCAATAAAATTTGTTTGTTTGGTTATTGTACTATTTTTAGTGTAAACTACACTATTATAAGTACATATAGGGGTTGAGTTGTACAAATGACGTATACTTCATTTACATTAGTCACGTTAATCTCCAAGGTATTTAGTAGTTTACCCAATAATGATAAGTGCTCGGTTTCCCCTCTAAGGACTGTAAACACACTGGCGTTTTTTTTAATATTCAAGTTAAGCGATTTTGAATCACGGATTTAAACGACTTGACGCTTAGATATACTAGCCATACCCGCAGAGTCACTCGCTTTTTAGGGTCACGCCACCGGGCAAGGGTCGTAGTGTGATGTCATATAGCCTACACCTTTTCAAATTAAGTACTCTATCTAACACAAAAAAACGAGTGTGTTTTAGACCACACAACTGAAGTAGAACTTCTTTAGCTCCATCTATATGTATGTATGTATAATATATGTTTTTGTAACTGGCTGTTTATGTAACCTCTCTCTTGCTGTACAGTAATATACGAAATGTAACTCTCTCTCTTTCTACCTTAAGTAACTTATATCTCCCTCTCAACTTTCGTTCGTCCCTCCGATCACACTTTTCGTAACGCTCTCGTTACGCATTCACCAACTTACTCCCCAAGTCAAGCGTGCGTAAAGAATATGCGATATTTTCAAAAATCTCTCTTTAGCATTTATTAAATTAGTATAGAACTATAAAATAAGTATAAAGATCTATGAAAATTACATAAGTAAATGTTAAACACAAAACTTGGTAGACAGTAACATAATAAAGACTAAATGGTCTCGTGCTTAGCATATGAATTACAACGCAAAGCATCACATCCGCTATTATTCTATCCAAGTCAGTTATTAATAATAATATTACAATGATAAAAGGTAATTATCATAAATCTAGATAGTATTGATTAACCAGGCATTTGTGTTTCTAATAAAATAAGTTTTAGTTAACATTTGGATCAATCAGGTAAGGAATGTGCGGTACCCTCCCAAATAAAAAATATTTTTCCAAATCGGTACATAAATGACAAAATTCTGAGGTAACAAACAAAAATATAGAACCGAATTGAGATTTTTTTTTTTGAAGTCGCATAAAAAGATATGATTATTCACTTTTAAAAAGATATGATTCAAACAATTTACTTGTTAATATAATTCAAATTCTAAAATTATTCGTTTCATAGCCTTTTTTTTGTTAACGAGGTAGAAGGTCCTTCGCCTAATTGGGGTGAGGGGTGAGGAGGGGGGGGGGGTCTGTCGGACTCTTACCGCCTAGAAACCACCCCGGTGTTCCTTCTGCTTGCCAAAGGCCGTGGGCGTGAGTGGCGCAAGGGCATTCGTCCGCCACACTCGTGGCTGGGCACGTGGCAAGACGGCTCTCATCACCCTTCGGTCGCAGTATTTTAGAAGCGTATATAGAAAACTGTGCTGCCTCTCAGGCTTGCTTCTTAGCCTAGTTTGGGATTAGACGGACGTGTGTGAGTTTTATGCCAAGTTCAAGTGTCAAGTTATTATTATTTAAATTTTTAACAAAATGTTAACAAATTATAGAACTATAGATCAACACACGCAATATCACCATAACAATAGGTTGCTTTGTTGAAAGTAAAATTAGAACAATGGATAACAGGTAACACAGGTAATACCCGTGTCGACCTATATGCCTACATACACCCATTTTCATATTGTTCAATAATGTGAAAAGAAATCGAACAAAGAAATTTATAGATTTCATTGAAAAGTAAAAAAAAATGTTAATAAAATTCTTTGAACCCCTTTTAAACTAATATGGCGCACTGAAGCATTTTTAAACGAAAACTGCTCTAGAGTTCAAAATTATGTAGAATCGGCTAAACAAAATTATAGGGGTTGAGCATATGCCGTTTCCTTCTGCAAGCAAGTTATGCTTGTTTAGGAGACGGCGGGACCAGGAGAGGTTTAGAACTCTCTCGGTCCGTCAGGCCCGGGAACTGGCCAGTCACCACAGACGACTCAGGCGCCGGAGGACGCAGAACGACCTCCATCTTCCATAAGCGCAGACCTGGGGATGACAGGTTAGGCCATCTGTCACCCTAGCAGAAACAGGTGGCGATGCGCTGCGGAGCGCGCGCGCCCTTTGGGGAGTAGCATGGGAAAACCTTGGTTCTCATACACGAGGAAGTCATCTACAAGCCGTAGATGGCCCGGGATCCGTCGAGGTACCAGGGACTGCCTTTCTAGGTTACATCTGGTTCCCCAGGTACCTGAGTCCGGAGTGCAGTTTTTAGTCGGTTTGAGTCCGACATAACCACCCCATCGGTCGAGCGGTCGTCCGGTGGGGTGTATCAAGGGGATTTTCGCACAAATAAAAAAGGGGTCTTGTATTTTGACCTTTCATGGTCTACAAAAGTGTATAAAATTACGGTTCAGGTTATTCTGGTCAATGAACGTCAGGCGACCACTAGAGGTCAAAAGCTTTACAAGTATTGGATAAGTAAATAAAAAAAAACTACATATCTGACTAATTATTACGTACTGATAAAGATTGACGTAGCGGTCAATATTATCTTTGAACAACCATGAGAAGTGGTAAAATCGACCTAGCGTTGGCCTTAACTTTATTATGTGAATTCAATTTTAATTGCTATTCCATTGCTATGGAAATGTTTTGAACGATATTCGGTACAGCGCAAAGTCGCTCCGTGTGTATCTTTGCCTAAGCAAAAATTTGCTGCATTATTATCATAATGTTCACATTTAACATTGAACAGTTTCCGAATACAGTCATACGTTTGTTTAATAAACTCGGGTTTTAAAACAATGTTAGTGGTGAAATTGAAAAGCAATATCGCTCTCGGGATATCAGTGCCAGTAATGTTTCAAAATGTATCTTAATGCAAGCTTGTTCATTATCTTCCACTCAATGTTCTTGATCAAATAAAGATGATTCAACTATACGCTTGCTAAGACCAGTGAGATATCAAGGTCAGTGCCTACGTGTTTGCAATGTTTCTTGATGTTCACACAGTTTCAGTGTCAGTCTACAATGATCGCGAGGTGGTTTATAGAAGCAACATGTTACTCAGTGTACGATTTTACATTGTTCAAAATTAACAACGCCAGGTGTAAAAATGCGAGGTGTAAAAATTCTAAAGTATGTCGATGAGTTTTAATTAGCAGTGAATTATCAACAACGTGTACTACGTGCTCAATATATTTAAATAATCTGATTATTTCTGCATGACTGCACACATTGACTATATATAAATTAACATTACGAGTAGAAAATACATTGCAAAAACTTCATATAAAATGCATTTTTATTCGCAAGTTGTAAGAATTGGTCGTGAACAAGTGATTGATTGGCTTACTGTTTGGGTTAGACGGAGAGAGAGAAGGAGGAGAAGATTGGGGAGATCCAGGCAATGTCTGTACTCAGCACTTATCGGGACAACCTCTCGCAGGAAATGAACACGGACCGGTAAGTCGGTGTGCTTAGTGTCAATAAACCATTCACTGACGTGTTTTTGTTACTCATCTGTTCATATTTAGATCACATAATAGAGTTACAGAAAACTATTTGACTATTATGATAACCCATTCAGCATACATCTTGTTTAACAAAATTCGTATTAGCCTAAAATTATAGTTTACTAAAGTATGATAGTGTGATTTGTTTATTGAAGATAGATTATAAAGTAAACGTGATCCGCTGAGGCTATTTTGATAATGTCGACAGTGACAGTGTTTAATTATAATAGTCAAGTAGAACTACTAAAATCACCTTGAAGAAATGTTCCCATTTAAAGAAGGCTTATAACGGTTTACTCTTTTCTTTGAAGGTTACCTGTTCTATCGTAACATTTTGTCCTTCGCTATAGATGTTGTGTTGTTTTTTCATTATTATATTTTTTTTGCTACTAACTATTTAAATTGAATATGTTTTTTTTTGTTTTTGTGTTAATTTAATTAACAGACGAAATGATGATCCTTTAAAGAATCATAATGTATATAGAAATATTTAAAACGTACTAAATAAAAATATAGATTTGTTTTTATGTTCTTAAATTTAAATAAATTCTACATAACATACTAGTACATTTGGAGTTGAATTAAAATAATAGAATAAACACAAGACATAATTACAAAAGTTCTTGAAAGTTCTACTGGAAACCTATAAAGAGTGACTTGTGGATATTAGAATGTCAACGAGAGACTAAATAAAGAGATAACTAATGATTGCTACCAACATGTGTGGTTGTCGTTAATCGACAAGTCGGGTGATGAAACTTAATAAAAGTTTGTAAATAAATAAATAAAAACATGCGTGATTGCCGTTCGACTACCCGCCAATTAATCCGAGCCGGGCGATAAAAATATACTAGCAAATTTAGGATTTTGACTACATATAGTGCTAAACTGGAGGGCGAAGACGATGTATTGTTAATTGCCGCAGCGGTATTGTCGCTTGATTATTACGGAAGCTTATACTAAACAACCCCATCGGCACCAGCCGAATGAAGAAGCATTTGTGGCTCAAATTACTGTCGCGCACGATTGTGCGTAGTAAATCTAAGTGGCCATCACGAACGAGAACTTTTCTGTGTAAATTAAACTAAATAAGTAGAAACATACTTACTTCGTTTTTTAAGTAGTTGCAGTAAAACTTTTTTACCCTGATATGGCACGCTTGTTCAAACAAATTGTCCGTTGTAATTATGGAACTAATCAGTTTCAAAGAAAACAGCCTTAGTTAGATATTTGTGTTCATTCCATATTTTTAACCAAACGTATTGTAGCCGCGACTATGTCATGCATAGGGTATATGTCTTAAAAAATGTTTTTCTCAAACACAGTATAATTGTTTGTATTGGGAACTTTGTGTTTTCTTTCACTTCTAAAGTGACAACGTGGACTGCACATGCTTTTCGTATAATGTGTTCTAAGGGACTTCATTAGGTTATGTCGACTAATCTCGACTGATAAAGCAATCACTCGAGTCCACAATTAACTTATCTTTTGTATACAAGCTGCAACTAAAGAAAGTTTATAAGTAGCAATATATCAACCTATCGTAGTCCCAACTCCAAACTTTATGTCTGTACTAAATAATTTTTGGCGCCAATGGCTAACGGCCAATAAAATGACCAACGAAAGCATTATTGAAACCTCATCCCGCTGATTTGCAAACATGCTATCCAAAAGTGGATGAATAAATTGTATTTGAGATAAATAAAAAGACAGCCAGTTAAGCAATTGGCAGACTCTGTACTGTATTTTCAGATAGGTCTGTCCGGAGACACGTCTTAATATTCTGTTTGTATGAAAAAAGGGAAATATGAAATAAAAATGGCCTACAGGTCAGAGCTTTTTTTGGCCTTCTTAGTATGTTGTCAACTTATCGTAATCAAGGACCAGGTCCTTTTAGCATTCCTTCTAGAATGTAATATCTGACATGGCAATACCACGCTATGATGGAAGACGAAATTGCTATGTATACCACTGCTACTTTCTGCCATGCGTTAAACCTTGGGGTAAACTACGTAGCTTATCAATATTATTATTTTAAATTAATATGTTTACAAACGATAGTGCTAATTGTTACTATGTAATATAGGATATCAGGGGGACTGATTGTGGCTACGTTCAAAATATTAATATAAATGAACGAAAATGTACTATTTAATGGGTACTTCGAAAACTAGGATCAAGAACGTCGTAAGAATGAAAGTATAAGTAAGATATTTTAATAGAAATCTGGTAGTGACATCTTAAATTACATTTCGATTCATGTAGTTGAATGACAGAAAAAATTAAATCGGCAATTTAGTTAATAATATGATAATATAGATTATTTATGAGACTTCAAACGTAGCACATTAATTGAGCCAGGCTGAATAAAGATCGAAAATTTATTACAATTTATGAGCGTCCTTTAATGTAGTACTGCAAATCTACTGTATACTACTTAGGTATATGATATGGAGTGTAAATCAGATTTATAAAACTTCACTATCGGATATTTATCTGTAGAATAATGATTTATTCCCGCTATGTAATCTACTTGTGATTTTACTCGTGCCGTCGAACTCTTGTTTGTATCTATTATAAATAACAAACAATAAATGTACTTCAATTTCCTCTACGCTATTCTTACGATGGGCAGGACTGCATGAAATGTTTCTTTATATCTAGGGGCTAGATATTTGTACCTTTCTGCATGTTTAAAATCATTGGTGATTAATTTCAAAGGCTTTTGTCATTTTCATTATGTATTCAATTTTATTGACAATAGAAACGAAAAATCTAGAAACGTTCGGCAAACTTTGAATTTGCGAGACTTTTCGATTAATACGGCATAAATCCTATTCAACTGTGTACTCCAAAGTATTTCTTCTTATAATTATTTGCTAAAACATCAACATCTTCAATGTAGGTACATATACATGCGTATTTATTGATATGATATCGGTACACAGCTTCTAATTGAGTACGAACACAATACGTCTCGTTAGTGACAATTGATCAATTCTAGCTATATACGCTCGATATGAACTCAAATACGTACATTAACGACTTTTTATAGGCAGTACACAGATCACAAGTTTTTAATGACTCGATATGAATTGTGTAGCGTTGTTACATAAACGTCAAAACACCCGATGCCGTGAAAATGTGTAAGTACCTACTTAAAATTTACGAATCGGCGATTTTAATAATTTTCCCGTACCCAGTGTGAATCTCACAATTAAAACGAATCTAAGGACACTTCAAATTCTAAAATCCATCGAACGGTTTAGGCCGTTTAGCCGTTTAGCGTGCAAAAGAATTTATGTACATTATCATCATCATCAGCCTATTGCAGTCCACTGCTGGACACAGGCCTCTCCCATTGATATACTTATATACAATCGAAAAATATAAGCCTCTTGACTCAGTCAGACAAAAACGGTACATTTTAAAATGATCGGATGAAACATTTGAAACAATGTTATTCATCGTTTTGATTATCATTCTTTACGTACTACCCGCTTATTTTAAAATTTTTAAAACATTTTTTTTTTGTTTTAAAACACTGGTTTTACTGAACATAATTAACAGAAGAATGGTTTCTAGTGTTTTTATCTAATAACAGTAATTATACTAATATCCTAACATACCTACTTAGTGTCAAATGTGTATGTGTCCCCAAGTGTAGAATAATTTCAGGGACAACGGTAGCGAAGCGTCAACGCGTGCTGCCGAGGAGTATGGATGTGACGAAACAGCCACAAACATTCGCTCGAACGGCAATGGCAAATCAACAGCCAACCATTGCTCGTGAGTAACCTGGCCAACCTTTGATTAGACGTTCATTACTCAAAATAGTCACTTGGCACATTTTCACTCATTGTTTTTGTACCTGGGTGGGCACTTTTGAATACGAACATAAAGTCGTCAAAGAATAAAACATCCACCACACATAATGTTATAATCCTGCTAAATATGCATCACATCACATAAGCTGTTCAGGAATATTATTCTCTCTGTCTGTATTTGTCCCCCTATATCCAACAATACATACTTGATCAATGTTTGTGTTGTTATGTTCATGTTTGAAAGTGTGTGTGTGGGAGGTGGTGGTTACCGCATGGAATTTATCTTTAACAGAATAACATAAAGCATGATATACTAAATGATAAGGTTAGCTTGACCTGCTTAAAGGATAAGTTAATTTAAAGAAAGTTGTAACTTGTGTTGTGTGTGCTCACAAACTGTTACTTACAACGGTAAAAGCATTTAAGTATTTGTCGCAGTTGTACAATCATTTTACGCTGCCCTTAAAATTAACTAGAAGACAAGGGTGAAAATGCACAATTGCACTTAGTTTTTAACATCTGTATTTAAATAAATATGTTATATACGATCCTAAATTATCAGCACATGTTTTTATAACACTTTTATAAGATACGCAAATGTTCCTTTTATTGCGAACGAGTAAGGTTCTTTGTGTAAACTACCATCTTTGCTGCAGCCCAAGGCCGTGATATTTAGGTTAAATGAATTGTCAGAGTAGATAGATATTTCACTTTGCACTTAACTATTTAAATGTGTTTAAAAATTGAACTTTAAAATAACAGAATAGTGATGGGCGGCATTCTCAATAATCCATCCCTGACGTTCCACGATGGTGTTCGAACTATAGACTACGTACTCGTGTGGGAGGCGCACAGCGAAGATGCCGTTACACCGGAGTCTATTCGGCAACGTAAGATCTACGAGGACAACCTTGAGAAAGAAGGACTGCAGTTAGAGAGAGAAGCACCTGAGAACCTATTTGGACTGAATTTTGTGAAAGTGAGTTATTTTTTGTTGTGTAGAATAAATGGTGTACGAATTTTATATAGTGAATGCGAAAGTGAATTTGCATATACGCTGTATACATAATATGTTTTATCCCGAAAAAAATGTGGTTACCGAGAGTTGCAAAAATTACTTTTAGCGTAGCGAAATCTTGGGGAAAAACCCGTTTGTAATGAATGGTTTTCTACTTGGTATCCAATTTGGTACCAGAGATAAAAACCAGTATTTCTTTGGTGACCTCTTACATAACTACAAATTTGATTTTAATAATTTATTTTGTAGCGTACTGATAATATATCAACAAAATATAAAGCGTTATTTTAGGGCAATTATCTTTCGTAGATAAAGAAACTCGATTCAGACGGTCAACCATTTATATTTACTATTAATGTTACAGATCCACGCTCCAGTATCCGTACTAAGAGATTACAGTGAGATTTTGAAATTAAGGATGCCCATGAAGGTGTGTATCTACTACCTGCATACATATGTATATATAATTTTACGACATAATATAACTAATGAATTCCTCCTAATGCAGGACTCGTGTAATGGCTTTATATCAACCGACACATAAAAACTAAATAAACGAACGAATAAAATTTATATCGTTCTATTAATATTGTAAATATATCCGTTCTTCAAAATGACGTTGATAAATGGACTTATTAAGGTTGATAATGCACCGTTATTGCAAGTTAACTTGAATGATGTCCATTAGTATTAAATTGGGTCTGTTTTTTACAAAATATTAATGGGGCGTATAAATTGTAATGTGTTTTTGTGTGTTGGTTCTACCCCCTTAGAGTTCCTAGGGCTTTTCGCTTCAAGGTAGAAATGGTGTTACCTTACTGTTAAATGTTGTTTATATATGTAGCTGTCTTGTCTTACTATTAGATTGTTGTGTTGTCTTATAGTAAATGCATAATACAAAATGTGAAAATAAAAATACCTCCACATGTTTTTTGTCGGTAGTTTTGAATATTGCAGTAGATGAGTAGATATTGTGTTCTTGCGTCTCGATAAAAATGTTGTTTATTTATTGTATATTATTCTGAATTCTTTGTTACGGGATAGTCATGTATTTTAATAACTATAAATATTTTGTTATTTTGATGGTATATATAAATATACGTTCAAACGTATTTGACCTTGCATTGCGGGTAGTTTTGCAAGAGGTCGAATAAAATTCCATGACGGAATGATGGCTATTCACCACAACAATAATTTCTCAGATTAAGTACCTCTTGGTGTGAAACAAGAATGTTGTATGACTCCCTCACTCTTTGCTGTCTATTTTAATGTTTAAAATGAATAATTTCTAAATTGTTATGGTCAGATTACTCTAAGCGATTGTTTCGTCGAAAGGGTGTTTCATTTTAAAGTTTTAGAAATGCTAAATGCCAATCTCAAGGTGTGTCTTAAGACCAATATCTGCAATATTAATTAGACCAGCTTAACAGCTCATGCCGAAACGTTGGCCATGAGCGTATCAAAGGATCTTGTCTTAAATATACATTACTGTGCTGAGGTCTCGGGTTCGAATTCCGGGTCGGACCAAATGTTTGTACGATCTGCATAATAAATATTTGTTTCGGAGTTTGGGTGTTTTCTATGTATAATACGTATGTATTTACAAAAAAGTGTAAAAGTATTCTATCAGTCAATCTATCTTTCATAGTACAAGCTCTACTTAGTTTGAAACTAGATGGCGTTGTGTGTCAGATGTCGGAAATATTATTATTATACAAAATGGCAGGATCAAATTCCAAATATTGACTCGAGTAGAGCTCTGTAAAATAAGTAAGGGTCTGCGTAAAAATTTTCAAAGAAATGCAGCATGGAAGTCGGAAACCTAGGAGACATTCCCGCCACTAGTAAATGTAATATTGTTCGCTGTTAGATAATACTAACCATCCATCGGTTTTTCTTTTAACAAAAAGAAGATTATAAGTGCAGTGACTAGCTATCAGAATGGGTCTTACAAATGTTATTTTCTATTAGAGTATTGGGTGCTGTTCCGTGTGGTGACGGATTAAGAATATGGAATGTCACCACTCCTATTCTTCCCGCGGGTGCCGTAAGAGCCAATAAACTATGCAGAACAACGGCACTGCAAGGAGAAGGAAAACTTGACAAAAACCCTATACCAACCCGTCTGGCCAGCGTGGTATAATAAGCCAAAACCTCCACTGTAAGGAGAGGTCTATGTCCAGCCAGCAGTGGACTGTTAAAGGCTGTTGATGATTGTTGAGTATTGGGATATAGTCTCATCATCTTCATATCCATTTTTAGATTTTTATGATTTCTCATCTATTTTGTTTGTTTTGTTGTGCAACCACAATTAAGCAAATGTTAAATCCGGAAGACAAGCTGCGTGAAAAGAAAAACGCATTATACAAAACATTCAAGTGGCCAAAAACTTATGTTTGCACAAATACCTACGTTTTGTCAATTAATAAATGTTGGCTAGCCAATAGAATCAACTTTAGAAATAGTAGCTCGTCGTTGTGAATATGTTGTCTTTAAATATCAAGGTTTAATGATATTTTCACGGCACGACAGTGAGGTTAGTGGAGTCGATTTTCTCCAAACAATTTATTTTTAAGATTTGTGGAGAAAGAGTAGGTAAGCATATGAAAGATTAAGATTTAATTCAGTTCTAATTTCAATTTGTATTATTGCATATTCTGGTAAATTCGTAAAACGGCTAGGGTTTTTTTTAAGATATTTTTTTCTTCCCATCTTTTACTTTTTTTTTCCTTTCTGTAATGCATTTCTTAAATTAATATTTTTTAGTTGTAAATGAAACAACAGACAAGAAACAATAAAAGAATAGATTAATTCTGTGACAGTAAGAACAAGTCTAGAAAAGTCAGAGTCCACAATTGGTCATGCGCGTGAGTCATAGGATGAAATAATAATGTTTATTCCTTAATTGCATATATACAAGATGTAAATGTATGTTGTTATATAGAGCTATCTGTAAAGCTATCATATCCTTAATAAAGGATGCTGGTTAGGTGGTCTTGATATCAAAACAAACCATATCAATCAAATAAATTGAATAAATCTAAATAATGTAAGGAAAATTTTAAATTAGAATCGTTAACGGTAACATCAAGCAGGAAAACTAAATAATATTTCCATATGATTGACTTTAGACACTGCGATTTTAGGGGGGGTTAACTCAAATAGTGACAACGCACTCGTGACTCTTAGTTACTTACCATCACGCGACCCGTCTGCTAGTTTGAGATCTCTGGCAAAAAATAAATAGAACGGGCGAATATTACATTTATTATTCTCCCCTTATGACCTGCCTGTAGTGGGTGCGGCCAGTCTTAGGTAACTCGATTGAAGATCACACAGAAAGCTGTCCGTCTACTACGGCGAGCGATATAGAAATCCGTGTCGTCCAATCGTGGTGTCATTCTGGGCAAATGCTTTTCAGATTAGGAAGTATTCTTTTAAAAAAATAGGTGTGAATCTTGAAGTCTATCTAGCAGTTTTCTAGGGTATATCCTCAGATGACGTGTGATTAAGCACATGGATGTAGCCTCAGCACAGCCTATAACAATGATATATGTCCGTAGGAATGCCGTAAGCTAAAGAAATCACGTCGAGCGAATGCAATACTGAATAACGCTGCAATGTATTTCTCTCAGGTATGCATAAGGTAAAGCATGGCTTCGCTAACTTATCGGGCGCTTCAGCATTGGTGTTCCATGTTGTCATTCAACTAAAGTGTTTTAATGAATGATATTTCGTTACCTACTTGAAATTGCGTCTAATTTTTTTTTTAATAAAACTAATTATGACTATAAAACTCTGTAGGTATTGGAACGAAGTTCCTTATCGCGCGTTTCACGCTCTAAGGATATGGGAGCCAATCCAAAAAATGTGTAACAAGACTTTTTTTCGACATTTCTTGCTATACATCTACCAAAAGCGAAAGGAACTTCGTTGCGGTCGGGGTCCATAGACCCCTTACGCTTTTGTTACAATACTTAGGATAAAAATCTGTCTAACTATTGCTCTGTGACATGGAATAACCCTATGTGGTGGTATATTATAATGTACTAACTTATAAACTTTGAAGCCCTTTGGTAAATAATTATGTTTACGTATGTGATACTTAAGGTGACTATTAGACGGCGCCCGAGCGTTAACTACTAGTAGATTCTACGTATTGCTAACAGTGTTATTACATGTAAATATGAAATAATATTTAGTTGAGTAGTATAAACCTTTGTGGTGATGGTTTGAATTGCTACGAGCTAACTGTGATTAGAGCTAAAACTAATTGTAAATGTACAAATGGAACTAAAAGTAATCCTCGATACTAATGTAATCTACCCTTTGTAGGAAAACCACGACACAAAAATTTTATCCAGTTTAATAAAAATGTACCTTTTTTTCCTTAATATTTAGCTATCTATTTACTGTACAAGAGTTTGGCATTGAATGAAATTGGTATTCTAGCACTGTGTATTTGTAGATGTCATCCCGTTTTTATATTAATTTTAATTAGTACGCTATTATTGACACCGTTTCGATAAATCACTACTTGAAAAATAATTAATAGTTTAGAGCAAAGATTCCCAAACTTTTTTGGGCAAGAGATTATTTTCTAAAATGAACTGATACCTCAGACTCATAGCCAGGTTACTGTACGCTTATCGACTTGTTGAATTTTTATAAAGTACAACAATGGTACTTCCTTCTAAGATATCAGTCATTCTTATAGCAAATTGGTACACGTAACACAACTAATACAGTATCTTGAAAGTTTCAAATAAGAACTTGTGTTAATTAATAGGGTCGATTTTTAGACTTTGTCTACCCCATAAATCAGTTTTCATTTATATTGACTCCTGGAAAACCAATTTGGACCCCAAGGGGTCGATATCGACCACTTTACGGTTGATAGAGACCACAATATCGTTTGAAAAGTTTTGGTGTTTATATTAATTATCAAAAATAGTTTTTTTTCTAGATTAATTTTATAGTAAAAAGAGTTTTGCTGGATACTACTCGAATACAACCGTATTTCATTAGTCTAAAGTAATTTATTCCATTTACATTATTTTTGAAATAAATTGTGTTCCAAAGTGAATGTGAGAGATTTTTACATTAAAACCAAGTTCTGATAAAAAGTTACAAAAATGAGAATGTTATGCTATATTAAGTTTAGGTACCTAAGTGTTTTCAAAGTAATTATCATTAAAGTAAGTTCAATATGGCAGTTTGATTTATAATTGATAATAATTCGTGCACACAAAAAATGTAGTATGTATTACATATACTAAATACTGTGTGTATTCATATCATCGTAGAATAAAGATTAACCAGATTACGAATTGTAATCTAGACGTTAAAATTAATTGTAGTATATAATAACACCAGTGTAAATATACTGCTCTGGTTGTAGATGTTAGATGTTGGTATTAAACATTTGCTAGTAATGTGCATAAGTTGTCTGTAATCAAATTTAAAAGGTTACATAAAGCATAAATTATTTTAGGGAGCTTAGTACACCATCAAAGATTATTTACCTAAATGACAAGGCTGCTTGGCAGTGACATAAATTGCGCGTTTTTATTAAAAGACGATGAAGATCATCGTCACATCACATCATTAAATAATTACGAAAAAAGCTACTACTACTACTACTATTTTATCGTAACAATACATACCTAACAACTCAGAATATACTACATAAAACAGGGAAAGTACTTTCCGTATCTAGTATTAATACAGTTATATTAAAACAAAACACGCGTTAATGGTGAACCGAATTAAAAAACATAACGAATTTTACTATAAATCACTTCATATAGTTATAAATCACAACATCAGTATAAACTACTCAACATAAAACATACATACATACATACATACCTAAACGGACTCGTTAAAACGATTCATATGTTAAATTAGTAAATACAAAGTTTAAAAGTGCATCTACAAAGCGTGTAAAAATAAAAATAACAAAACCATTTATGCTTTAAACTAAACTATCTAGCTATATCATTGATCTTTTAATTTTAGAGAATATTGATTTTGAAAATAGTTTTTTTTTTTTTAAATGTAATGTAACAAAAAGTAAAAAGTTCTATCTATTATAGTGTTTAAAACGTTATTCAATTCGTTATGCAATTTGAAGTTGCGATTGCCCCGCACTGTGGGCCAAGTGTGAGTTTATTTCACTTCTACTCGATCGACCGCGTTCGACGCTACGATTTGCCCGCACTGAAATCTCCACCAATCGCAACGCTCAACGCGCTCGCCGTCAAGAGCGAGTCGATGTGAAATAAACTTGCACTTAGCCCTCTGAACGCTTCACCAATTGCAACGCCTAACTCGTGACGGTCGAGTTGATGTGAAATAAACACACGATAGCGCCTCTGTAGCGGTTGAGTGTTGGGCCGAAATGATTCTCATTCAGACTAAGAAATGATTCTGACACACAGCTTGCGCCTCTTACACATTTAACCAGCCTTTCAAACACGCTCGTGGTTTACGGGTGCTTTTAACGAGGCTCTTTTTCAGTAGCCAGTAGTCCACGACTTAGGTATTGTTCTTTGCTAGAATATAAGCATGGCAATGGCAAAGCATCGTTACAAGCCCGAGTATCATTACATTTTAATGTCTGACGGTCTAATATGGTTGAATGTGACTAAAATATAGGGTTGGATATATTATGTTATACATACCTACAGGATAGAATAATACGCCTTTATAAGTTTTTGTTTTTATTTTTATACAACTTTGATCTTAGAAAGCTTCTTTATAAATAGCGGTAGAACCACATGTTTTTTGTATTTATTCTTTCTAAATTGTGCTAAACAAAATTTTCTTTCGTAAAGAAAATTATCGAGACAGAACTTACCTCGAGTATTTGTGGTAGGAATAGGTGTATCCGATTAAAGATGAATTATCACTTATAAGTCGGCAATAACATTATTCAAAATCCTCTTGTCACATTTGGCCACATTAGAATTCTTAGAAATGAGCATCGTATCTGACCTTGCTACAAGACGCTAATTAACAAAATGGTAACCAGAAAGTCGTATATCAGTACGTATATGATGTTTTTTGTACAGTTTTCTACTCTAAAAGACACCCAAGAGAAGACGAATAGTCTAATAGACAAGATGGATGACTGTTGGGAGCGAATGATGTCAAGAATCAAAGTGGATACGGAAATGTTCCCCGAGAGGAAACATCGTCTAACCGCTATTTACTCCAAAGATAAAGAATATTTGTAAGTACACATAAAACTGGTTTTACATTTAAAGTGTTATAATGCTTATAAACAACTTGCGAGTCTTACCTTACAGCATCGAAGTGTAATTCAATACTGTGTGTGTGTGTCAATTTATTACGTACCCTAACACAATGTACGAGAGAATCTTTTGACTCAATGCTGTAGTTGACACCTTAAGACACCAAAATTATTAGAATTTCAGTCCATGATTGTTCTAATCGCAACAGCGCTTCACTTTTGACTTCTCTTGTTCCAGATTCGATACGACAGCAGAATGTTTCTGGACACCATCCATTCGCTCGCGAATAGTGCAGTTCATTCTGGATAGGAAGAAATTTACTACCTCGAATGACGACTTCGCCTTCGGTATCGCAAGACTGATCTCTAATAATACTTATAGCGCTGCTTATCCACTTCACGATGTGAGTATCAAGTGTCAAGACTTGCTGGATACTTGTAGTCAAGTATCCAGCAATTCTTTAGATAAGTATCTTGGAGTATTAAGTTGAACTAGTCTTTAATCTTTTAAATAATATTTAGAAACAAATCTAGTTGTAATAAATCTGGCTCTGTTGGTCTTTTAGAGTCATCATCATCATTAGCAAGCCATTGGCCGTTTCCAATAATGAAAAAAATAGGGAAAAGGAAACTAAATACAAAAACAAAATCGAAAAACAAGTCTAATTAGCCTTTATCATAGGGGAAAACAACAGTTTTCTGTGAAGCCTTTTTTTTGTTGGTGGGGTGGAAAATCCCTTCGGATCTCAGGCTCTTCGGGGACCAGAACTGTCTGAGGCTGTGGTGTTACTACTAAAAACAACCCCGATGACGAGTCTCAGGCGCCCTACTCTGGGGAAGACCGGACCATGTTAATTCAGGTCCTCCCCGGATCGAGGCCGCGCCTAGCCAGACCCTATCATGTAAGAAGCCGCATGCTTCCGCCTTGACTGGTAGGCGCGGCCCAATGATTAAGTGTTGCGGTCCGATCGCATTTTTGCAACCAGGTCGCCATTCTATCGCCTACCGCAGCAATTAATCTACCACTAGAAGTCTCCACTCTGGCAGCTCCCGACCCCGTCGACGGCTGATATCGCCACCGACGTCATCTACGCTCGGTATGGGCCCTTTCCCGGTCCCGTTCACCGGTCTCTTTCTGAAGCATTCCAGTCTCACAGAAAGAGATTACTTAGCATTAGAAGGCGTACTTAAAATTACTTATAACATAAAAAATATTTTCTAATTGCATGAAAATCTAGCAGAATGTATTCCATTAGTAATATTACATTTACAGGGTGATCTCAAAACGCCAGGTTCCATGCGACACTTGTTATATACCGAGTGGGCAGCAGTCTCCAAGTGCCTCAAGTACCAGCCACTTGATTATATTAAAGATTATTTTGGTGTTAAAATAGGTAAGTACTTGGGTTACCTTTTATCTTACTGAAAAAATACTACGTTGTATTTTTTTTAATACCCTGCATTAACTGATAAAATTCGTACTCCATGTGTAAAGTATACACATATATCTATATTACTCCATGTGTATAGTATACACATATATCCATATTACTCCATGTGTATAATATACAAGGAGTAGTATAGGCAGTGAGTATAGACTGCACTTTAATGCGCTGAGTTGAGAATTGCGAAATATCGCAAAAACAAGATACATGAACTTAACATGTTATTTCCGTTTAAGACTAGTTGCCATAGGGGCTTGGTTAATATTAAAATTAAGAGATTTGACTTGGCAGGATATTTTTATTAATTTCGAACAAACTGCGCTATCGTGGAACAAAATATCCAAAATAAGAATCTCCCAATGTAACAATACACGTTAGCGTCGTTACAAAACTAAATAGATGCCAAAGGACATTCGTAGTATTGTGCACGCTAATTGCGTAGGTCCCCTTGCCATAGTGTGTAAATTGTTGAGGCTAGGTGATATCCAGGCCCTAGTGACCTAGCTCCTCGAGCTACTAAAGACCCAGTCTCTTCTGAGACTTGCCAGTAAGTCCCTCTTGCTACTAAGACTTATGGCAGTGAGTCCACCATCCTATCTTACATCGTTTCCTTCACTTAAATTTAACTTCTTCTTTCGTTCCGTAGTTTTTTGTTATAGGACCAAACTGGACTTGCCATACTTGTTGGTTCCATTCAAATTTGAAGAAAAATACCACCTCTAGGGGTGAAATTGGTGGTATATTTTTAAAAGTTAGTTACGTCAGTTACGACATATCTGTATACCTAAGTACTGTGTTATTTTCCAGGGTTATACTTCGCGTGGCTAGGTTTCTACACTCACATGTTGATTCCCGCGTCGATAGTGGGCCTCATATGTGTTATATACTCTGCTGCTACCGTTTATTCTAATTTACCCAGGTATGTTGAATTATACGCTTGCTTGCATACTTAATTTACTTTGTATACTGATAAAAGACTTTATAAAGAGAAAAAAAATAAAGCTTTGAATTAACCTAAACAGGTTTTCTCCGTGTAGTGACGGATTAAGAATACGGAGTGTCATTACCCCTATTCGTGCCGTGGGTGTCATAAGAGCCGACTAAAGGAGCAAACTACGCAGAACAAAAGCAATGCAAAGAGAAGGAAAACTTGAAACAATCCCTATACCAACCCGTCTGGTATAGTAGGCCAAAACCTGCTTTCTAGGGAGAGGCCTATGTCCAGCATACGGACTGTTGGAGTCTGTTAATGACGATGATTAGGTTAATTCCTATTTAATAGTTTGTTTGTAGCTTCAAGTTAAAGAGAGATTGTGGATTTAAGCCCAGATTTACTGCGCATAGCAGAGTTAATCACTTTAAACCACATGAACTTAACGAGTTATGATGGGAATCATATATCTCTGTCTCCATCTGCAGGAAAGGAAAAGAGAATTGCTTTTGCACAATTTTATTTTAAATATTGTTTGCTGTATAAATATTCTATGAATACCCACGAATTCGTCTATATACAGTCGCATAAGTCGTATAAGAAATTGATTTTTAGCGACAAACCCGCCATTTATACCTGGGCATAAATTTAATGTACTCTTATAAAACATACTGGTTTACATAAATAAATTTTATTATATTCATGTTTATATTTCGCAGCGAAGAAGTATGCAACTACAAGTCTTCTATAAAGATGTGCCCGCAGTGTGACTACTTCTGCGACTACTGGGATTTGAATGCAACTTGTCTGCAATCTCGCATCACGTACCTATTCGATAACCCTACCACTGTGTTCTTTGCCATATTCATGAGCTTCTGGGGTGAGTATAGTAATTTTTTTTTTATTTATATCCATTAATTTTTGAAACTGTTACTTTCATGGCCAGCGTTTGAGGATATGATCAGCTTAACGCACGAATACTTTATACAATACAATTAAACGTATTTATATTAAATGTGGCGCTATTATCCACAGTTACTACTACTAGTACAACAGTTACTACTAGTACTAGTTATGTTTTACATCATGATGGTAGACAATCATTTTGTTTAAAGGTGAATAGAAGAAAAAGATGCAATGAAATGTCGTTACAACAATTTAGAAAGCAATATATAAGTTCCTTATTTATTTATTAAACCCTATACGTCATTGATTCGCTACATTAATAATAGGGTCAAACGTGCTACCAGGCATTAGTACCTTCAGTCAACGGGATCCTACCAAGATAGTATAGAAGTGCTTAACACCAGTTTTCTGTGAGGGAAACGTACCACACCGGTCGATACGACCCATTTGTGACGAAGCATAGCTCTCTCACGTGTGTTAGGAGGACCTGTAATTTATAATTGTCTCTAATGTAGCCATTTTAATATAACATAAAAGTATGTGTACAGTAAAGTGTGTAGTATGTGTATAAAGGCTGTTAATGTGTGTGATGTGATTAACTCTGCTAAGCGCAGTAAATCTGCACTTAAATCTACAATCTCTCTTCAACTTAAAGATACAAACAAACTATGAAATATGAGTAAACCTCATCATCATCATCAACAGACTCCAATAGTCCACTGCTGGACTAGACCTCTCCCTAGAAAGGAGGTTTTGGCCTACTATACCATACTGGCCAGATGGGTCTTTATAGGGTTTGTGTCAAGTTTTCCTTCTCCGTGCAGTGCTGTTGTCCTGCGTAGTTTGTTCCCTTAGTCAGCTCTTATGACACCCACGGGATGAATAGGGGTGATGATACGCCGAATTCTTAATCCGTCACCATGTATGTATATATTACAGCTGCATGTTTCCTGGAACTGTGGAAGCGCTACTCGGCTGAAATGACGCATCGTTGGGATTTAACAGGCTTCGATGTGTACGAGGAGCATCCGCGCCCGCAGTACCTGGCGCGCCTGGCACACGTCAAGAGGACACAGGTAGGCCCGGACATTACTATCTTTATCTCTATTAGAATAAGGTTGCTATTAGCTTGATTGAAAGCTAAGATTAATGTGTATTTTTAGTTATTGATGTCACTAAAGTACATGATGATGAAAGGCGGCTTAATGAATTTTGGCGTTCGAGGTGTCGGTCGATTCACCTTAATTCTGGAGTGACACTGAAATTAAAAGCGCCTATTTGTAAATTTAAATAATACATTTTCACGCAGTCTGGTTTTTTTTTCAATGATTAGTTTATTATTTATACAAACTGCCTTTTATCAGAATGGAAACTTCGTGATCAATAGTGTGTTAATTAAGTATATACCGCTTAACATGATGTTCGGGTATCCCTACACATACACACTATTTCGGGGATTCCCGACTAGGTTGGAACCTTTTGCAAATGGTGAAATAACATGCGTAACCCTAGTTGGGCATCCTTGAAATACACACATAAAACTGGAAATATTTAATGAACTAACAAATGTATAATAGTGTCCCTCGCGTCGATAGCTGAACGTGATAACAGGCGAGCGCGAGCCGATGGTCCCGTTCTGGCGCATGCGGCTCCCCGCCACGCTCATGTCGTTCAGCCTGGTGTCGCTGCTCGTGCTGCTGGCGCTGGCCACGGTCCTGGGCGTGGTGCTGTACAGGATGTCGCTCATCGGGGCCAGCATGCTGCGGGAAAACGAGAACGTGCTCATCACGTACAACCCGATCATGTTCACGACCGCTACGGCTGCATGTATCAACTTGGTGTTTATCTGCCTGTTTAATTATGTGAGTAACAGCTTCCCTGAGATTCTTACCGTTATCATCTTAATTGACTATAAGACATGCCCTCTTCGAATGGCACTCAGTGATTCCAAGACCATCAGTCTAGTTCGGAAATTGTTATTTGTTGCCCTCTGAAAGCCTAACATCAGCGATTGTCGGCTCTCGGAATATATTTGTGCATTGTTGTGTGACGTTATTTTGTATATAGTTATTTGTAAAGTGGAAAATGATATTTTGGAAACTGTATTAGTAAAATAGTTTTGTGTACTCAACAATATACATAAAATACAGTCTGCAGGGATGGCGTAGTGGTTCAAGGTCGCAACGCCGCTTACTACTACGCTGAGTGTTGTGGGTTCGATCCCCACACGGGACGACACTTTTTGTGATCCACAAATTGTCGTTCTGAGCCTGGGTGTGTGTTTGTGTCCGTTTCATATAAGTTTGAAAAGGATATATTCCTAGTGCGGGAGCTGTCATGATCACTGCCGGGTCTGCCGATTTCTAAGGCATCTAATTTTTTTCAATTTAATTTTTATTGTAGGATCGAATACTTTTAAATAGTAAAACCCTTTGTATAATATTTACAGAAAGAGACTAAACTAAAACATAAGTTATTTTTTTCTTCAGATATACCAATATCTTGCCGAATGGCTGACAGAGAAGGAGCTCCTCCGTACACAGACCGAATTCGATGATTCACTCACTCTGAAGATATACTTGCTGCAGTTCGTGAATTATTACGCGTCTATATTCTATATTGCGTTCTTCAAGGGCAAGTTTGTGGGCCGGCCGGGAGCCTACGTTAAGTTCTTCGGACATCGCCAAGAGGAAGTAAGTAAATAAATAATTTTAGATGAAAGCTATCTCTTAATCCGAAACTTTCTAAAACTACTAAATAGTTTTAGAAAGTTTTATTAAGTCTAATTTAGGATTAAGTTAAATTGGTTCCAATACCTTTATGGTTTAAGACATTTTTTTCTCAAAAGAATAACTACATTCATTTGTCAGAGAAAATACAAGATACATATTGTAAACTACCTTTTTCCTGCGGCTCCGTCTGCGTATAAGTCGGTTATCGCGGTAAAAAGTAGCCTATGTCTAACCTCAAAAATCAAGGTACGTCCATACCAAATTTCATCTAAATCGGTTCAGCGGTTTAAGCGTGAAGAGGTAACAGACAGACAGACACACTTTTGCATTTTAATATTAGTATGGATAACAAGTGTCGGGGCGGCTTTTCAATGGCGTATTCTTGTTTTTTACATCCAAGTAAATAAGTGGTCTGAGATGTAATAAACTATTAAATAAATAAAGTGGGTAGCTAGCACAAAACAAAACCAGCCGGACCGGACCCAGACATTTCAAGAGTATCATTACTGCAAGTTGTAAACAAATATAGCCGTATTACGTATTGTAAAGCGATTGGTATCATATTTCTATCGGGTAACTGCTATCGTTAATTTTTATTTTCTTTTATGTATATAATATATTTTATTTAAATAAACACTAATGCCTGTATTCTCGAAGAGGTAGTCAAAGATTCTATTAAACTCATTTGACAATCAGAATTACGTAATAGGGGTCAGTCAATAAAACAACACACTTCGTATTGTAGAATAATTCTAGAATTATTAGAGAAGGGAGGTAATGGAATTTAATGTTGGTTATACGGATGGCGTCAACGATGTGGACTTGGTCCCGCAATATGGTGCATTTATTTTCTTTCTTGTTTCTGTCTCTGTTTTGAAATCAATCGATGACGATGATTTGAAGACCATAGGAGCATCAAACCACATTTCTAAAAAGTAATAAAAAAATGAAATGATTTATAGCCCCTATTAGAAAGATACCAACGTTCAGAGAGCGTTCAGAGAGCGAACTAGACATGTGATTTGGCCATAGACAAATATAAATACCATCAAAATCAATTAAATTTTAAATAATATAATCGTACCTGTGACTAATTTACAAAACCACTGCGACTTATTATTATTACGCTAAAAAAGTCGTAATCTTTGATAAAAATAATGTTGATTGATTTTGATGGTTTTTATTTTATCACAAATGAACCCTGAATCACTCTCAATATTGTTGATTCCAGTGCGCACCGGGCGGATGTCTGCTGGAGCTTTCGATCCAGTTGGCTATCATCATGGTGGGCAAGCAGTTCATTAACACCATCGTCGAGATGATGATGCCTTATTTGCTCAAGTGGTGGAATGTTATACGAACCATTGGGAGAAAACAACAGTGAGTATATTAAGTTCTAACAATTACGTAGCGTTGATTATAGTAATCGAATAAATATATTGAGAATACAAACGCCAATGTGTCAGAACGCTTATGCTCATACCAATGCTTATTATACATTTGAAATACATTTGAATAGTTGAGAGTACAGTTGATATAGAATGAATTTAAATGTTTTATGATATCCTTGTAATCTGTATGGTAGTTTTATTTTACATATTATTTATATAGGCTAAGAACTCAGTCCTCAATAAGCGCAGGCCAGGGGGTGGTAGGTGAGGTCACTCTAGCAGAAGAAGGCGGCGGGGTTGGCGCCACCACCTTTCGGAAGCACAAAGGGGACATCCCACATTGGAGGGGGTCATCTACCCGCCGTAGATGGCCCGAGGTACGTCAGGGTTCCAGGGCTTTCCTGTCTAGGGTATACCTGGTTCCCCGGCTACTGGTACCCGAGACCACCGGTTTTTAGTCGGTTCGAGTCCGACATAGCCACCGGGTGGTTCCGAAGGGATTGCCGCACAGAAAAAAACCAAGGCTAGGATCTTCTAAAAATGTGACGAATTACCATATGTCAAGTTTATTTATTTTGTCCACAGAATAAAGAGCCCACTGCAGTGGGTAAAAGACTTCAAGTTGGTCGACTTTGGTAACATGGGGTTGTTTCCTGAGTACCTAGAAATGGGTGAGTTATTTACTACAGTGATCCAGATATAAATAAGTAATGAGACATAATTTATTTTACATATATATATATTTTATACACGTTGCACGAGTATTTATAGTAAAACGAGACGTCATTAACTTACTACAGATATATTATGGAGATACTGTGTACCTACAGCATTCTTCCTCTTTAAAAAATAAACAAATATGTCACAATCTATTTTACACGATCTTAAACACCATACGTGCTCATTGGGGTTGCTTGTGTAAGGCACATCGACGCTCGGTTTGCTTGCAATCAGCTGTTTACGCGTCCAGTTCTTTCAAGGCCAGATATCCTAGTACACCGGTTGCCAACACAACGGGAGTGATTACAATCCAGGCTGTGTTGTCCAACTTCTCGCTTAAGTTGTTATTGACAGTCTGAGCAACTATGTTATTGAAGTAAGAGGAAGAAAACATCGTCGAACATAAATGCTCTCTCACTCGTTAATTTGAAAACTTTAAACTTGTTCGTCTTTTGACTGTCTATAAAGGTTTTGGAATTAAAGCATTACTATTATTATATACTTATATGTGTAACATTTTAGTCTCATTTCCCGGCATCTGTGTGAGTGATCCGCGTCGTGGTAAACGTAGTGTAGGACGCCCACAGGCCAGGTAAAGTGACGATTTGCACAAGATGGCTGGCAGGAGCTGGATGCGAGAAGCCCAAAATCGATCTAAGTGGCGTGCAATGGGAGAGGCCTATGTCCAGCAGTGGACTGCGATAGGCTGATGATGATGATGATGATGATGATGATGATGTGTGAGTGATTGATTGAGTGATGACGTAAAACAAGAACGGAAGTGTGTAACAGGAAACGCATGCTGTTTGAATCGATCAATGTGCGTGAGTAATGCTGCAGTTGTCTTTGGGTAGTAGGTGAGATGGCAGATGATACACATTATGCTGTAGTGGCGGCATTATATAATTTGGAGGAGTATAACAAAATGTGCTAAGCTTTTCTTTTTAAATAATTAAGTCCACGTTAGAAGATAATAATATAAGAGTATAGTGAGTGGTAACACCGGTGATGTGTCAGTCCTCCAGTACGGGTTCGTGACGATCTTCGTGGCGGCGTTCCCTTTGGCGCCGCTGTTCGCGCTGATCAACAACGTGCTGGAGATGCGGCTGGACGCGCGCAAGTTCCTGGCCTGCTACCGCCGCCCCGTGCCGCAGCGCGTCAACGACATCGGTGTCTGGTACCGCATCCTCGACTCCATCGGCAAGCTCAGCATCATCACCAACGTCAGTCTACCTCCACCTCCGCTTGCATCTTATCCTTGTAACGAATTTTACTTCCGACGCATTTATTTACACTTTGACTGGACGGATGGCTTAGTGGTTTAAGCGGTCACTTCGCCGCTTCCTAATGCGCTTAGTATTGTGGGTTCGATCCCCACAGGAGAAAACACTTTGTGTGATCCACATCTTCTTTGTGTCCATTTCATGAATGTGTGTAAAGTCCTCCGCGACGTAGGATACCTACAATCTTAATGCGGGAGTTGTCTTTAAAAAAAATCAAAACCAAAATCAAATCATACGTCAGAAAATAATTTTGCATTATTTATGGCAAATTAGTAACTTGTTGTTGTAATAACTTGTTCCACTCTAGGGTTTTATAATAGCCTTCACGTCGGACTTCATCCCCCGGCTGGTGTACCAGGCGACGTCAGTGAACGGCACGCTCGCCAACTACGTGAACCACTCACTCGCCGACTTCAACATAACGGTCATTAAGAATCCGCCCCTTCATACTACATACAACGAGACTATGTGCAGGTATCATATCTTCATATTAATTAGTGAAAAAAAAGTCCCACATATTATGCATAAAAAAATGTAAAACAAAGTTATCAAGTTATTTTGTTATGGTATAGGGAATAAACCAACAGACGGGTCACCAACGACAGCGATCGCGTTCGCCGCTACGATTGTTGAAGAGTTTAGTACGGGCTAATTGCAACGTTGAACGTCTTCACCGTACGATCGAGTTGATGTGATATAGACTCACACTAGGCCCTCTGATCATACGTCGCCCATGTACATGTAACACAAGAGCTTAGCTGTGAAGGACCTAAATAAAAATAAAAAAGAGAAGCGCATTGTCGCCTATAAGTACCCCTCTACAGAACTTGAGGGGAGGGGAAAGGTTTTTTTTGGACATCTCGCACACAACGTCATCTAGTTTCAAACTAAGCAGAGCTTGTACTACGAGTATGCAAGTTAGATTTACTGATAGAATACTTATATACGTTTTTTTTTTGTAAATACATGCATGTTTATACATAGAAAACACCCTAACTTCGAAACAAAAGAATGGCGTGAGGGGTCTATGGACCCCCCGGTCGGAACGAAGTATAAAAAGAAGTGTCTGAAAAAAGTCTTGTTACACATTTTTCGGTCTCGCTCCCACTCGTACAGAGCGTGTAATGCGCGATTAGGAACTATGTTCCAATATTTGCAGATCATACAAACATTCCGACCCTGGAATCGAACCCGAGACCATAGCACAGCACTTCCCTATCCGACTGTACCACTGAGGGTTAAAAGCAGCGAAAGACCTGCAGGGGCGTGCTATCACTTCGGTCAAGTCCATATATGCCGAAGCATCGCTCTGCAACAAATAAATCTGCCTCGGTGGTGCAGTTGTAGTGTAAGCGACAGCTGTGCTGAGGTCTCGAGTTCTATTCCCGGGATGTTTTTATGATCTGAAAATATTTGTTTCGGAGTTTGGGTGTTTTCTATGTATAGTATGTATGTATTTACAAAAAAGTAAATAAGTATTCTATCAGTCAATCTAGTATTCACAGTACAAGCTCTGTTTAATTTGAAACTAGATGGCGTTGTGTTAGATGTCAGAAAATATTAAATATTATATTATTAAATTCCTCGCGAATTAATAGCTACATTAGGAATGATGAATAAGACATGTGGTCCTTGTCCCCAGCTTCCCCGGCTACTGGTACTACGGTGATGACAACTACCAACACAGCAACTGGTACTGGCACATCATGGGGGCAAGGCTCGCCTTCGTGGTCGTATTTGAGGTGAGAGTTCACCCCGTTGTGACTTATGTTTATATAATATAGTATTGGCTATGTACACACGATACAATGTATATAACGCAGGACAACAGCACCCCACTACCAACCCGTCTGGTCAGCGTGGTATAGTAGGCCAAAATCTCCTTTCTAAGGAGAGGCCTATGTGCAGCAGAGGATTATTAAAGGCTGTTGATGTGTGATGATGTGAATGTCTATATCTATTTTATGAATAATATTATATTAGAAACATTGCTGAGATATTATTTACTTAATATTATTTGTTTTTTGATAAATGCAAATCAGTTTATTATATCGTTTGCTATATCAGTATATACTTTAAGCCCAAAGTACATTTTGTCACTTTATTTATATATTTATAATAATTATATAATTGAAAACAAAATGAATATACTATTTTCATATATCGTATATTTATTATTATTATTGTTTTCCCAGAACGTGGTGGCGCTAGTGATGATAATCGTCCGTTGGGCCATTCCGGACATGTCCGGGGACCTGCGCGACCGCATCCGTCGCGAGGCGTACATCATCAACACGTTTATCCTGGACGAGACCCGCGGCCGCTTCACCAACCGCGCCGAAGGTCACTCCCACTCTTCCGCCCCTCCGTCCGCTAACTAGAGGTTACGGTACGCACGCACGAGCTTTATTCATTCTTTCTTTGGACTAACAGCGGGGCTGGTTCACTGGCCCATTCAATTGTACCTATATTGTAATGCAAGATGTGTTGATGTAAACATGTTTTTTCTAAACTAATATGTTACTGAACTCAGCAACAGCCACTCCGAGAACTAGGCTACAAAGACCTTTATAAATTATTCCCAATTTATATGTAAAGGCAAACTCACTCTCCTACCATTGTTTCACTTTTTTTCCGTTCGTCCGTTTTGCTCTTGTTTTCACTTCTTTGAATCTCCACACTCTTGCATTATAAAAATTAGACACGCTAAACGATACGTTCAAATTTGAATTACCATCTGGGAGTGAACCAAACCCGATTGAAGACTGTGTTTTGTGTGTTTGATACGCTGATGATGTAAACATTTGAAATAAGTGGACTTGAAATATTCCACTGAGTGTTACCTAACAGAGAATTTGATGAGAACGTGTGATTTCGTTTGATGGTGTGTAAAATTATATGTTTGGTTTGTATGGCTAAAAAGTTACATTTACATGATATAATTTTAAAAAATTGCAATAATCTCTGAACCACAGAAAAATAAATACAGGAGGAAGTATTCATGTCCTTAATTCGATGATTGAAAACTTTACAAATGCAATATAATTAAATATACAGCGTAAGACATGATTGCCAATGTTAAAATTGATTTAAAGTGGCGATGATTGGCAGATATGGGCCGGTTGGACCAAATTATGTGTTAATCAATTCTTTGTATATCATTGTAATCACCGAGTTACCATAGGCCTAAACCCCCTCCTAATTCTATGGGGGCATATAAAGGTTGGCAACGACCTTGTAACTCTTTAGTTGCATGTGTCATGTTAGTTTCTTTCCATCAGGTGAATCTTCTGCTTATTTGCGACGACGACGAATTGCCCTCAGAAGGTTATGGTGGAATTAATTTATTAATTTAAAAAAAAAACTTATTTTTGTTAACTATATAAAAAGTAAATAATTTAAAATATGTTACGAAAAAGGTTGCTTCAGCTTATAAAATTAAGTAAGTACAGAAGTTATCGTGCTGAAATAGACATTTTACTTACTATAACGGCACTTTTTCTAGTTTTTTTTATTCTGCCAGAATTTTAAATCTACCCCCATAATTTTATTTCATGAAACTAATCCCGGAAAAGGATTTCGCTCTATCCGGGTCATAAATAGATTTCGCCATTCACGAGTTGATTTATTGACCTGAGGGCTTAGTGCTAGTTTATTTCATATCAACTCGCTTTTGACAGTGAGCGCGTTCGGCGTTATGATTGGTGAAGATCTCACTGCTAGCCAATCACAGCGCCGAACGCGGTCAAACTCACACTTGGACCTGAGACTAAAAAAAATGCAGAAATGTTTTATATAGTAGAGATTGTATTTGTATTAACAACAAACCATCACGTAGTGCGGAATTGGTAATGGTTAAAGCTTATATGTTAAATAATTGCTTATTAAATACTTCCTTATAAGGAACATGCGCTTAAGATATATTTTTGCTAAGATTATATGCAAGCTATTGGTTCTTATATCCTTTTTATCCAATAATAAACATGATGGGATATAACATACAGTGGCTTATAGTCCATTCGCGTTATGAAAATAATGACGCATTGATCAAGTCCCGCACTCTGTCTCGGTTTTAAGCTTTCGTACTTAACGATAATTTCTTGGAACCTGATTGGTCAGGGGGCGGGGCTTAACCGTTTTGTCACTATGTTCTTAACGCGAATGGACAATAGTTCAAAGGGTTCAGAACAAAATCAGTAGCTACTTATAATATATATTAAATATTCTTTACCCAGGCAAACAAAAAAAAAAGAGTAAAAACTTTTACGACTTGTTTACATATTTATAAAAAATATACATTTTATCCGTGTGTATTTGGGGATGCTCTGATGACTTCATGACTACATTAACCCGACGGGGGATCTATATCAACGGGTGAAGCAACTTGTCGCGACTGGGCGATCGCTAGCAGTGTTAATAGAAGGTCTAAGAAGGTAAAAGAAGAAGATCCCTGAAATACACGGACAAAATAATTATATATCTTTTAAAAATATTGAAAAAATTAAGTGTACCTCGTTTTCGAAACTCCCCGTCGTTGTTAAGAATAATTAATTTGTATAATTGTGTATCATACACGTCTAATACAGTCTTTTTACAGTAGTTTTGGGAACTTCAGCTGATTTCTGTCTCATCCTCTGTGGGACCATATTTAGACTAGTTAAAAACTTAAAAAATAAATCCTAAGATGATGCTGAATCTTCTGGAGTTCCCGCAACACATTTTTATTAGTAACTACAATTATAATCCGAACTAGATGCTCGCTTTATACTAAGTTACTATAAGTTTATGAGAAGCAGGTACATCGCCGGTACCCGTCGTTGTGTGAGTGAACTTTTTACAAATATCACATAACAGCATGCTTTGGTAACAGTTTCCTTATTAATACACAAGACTTTTGCGGTTTTAAAGGAATTTTCACCTAAACAAAGGATTTCATTACTACCTGCCGTTATGTTAAAACGTCGGATTCGTCACGAGTTCGGAGTCGTTACGATCAAGTGGTTAAGGGTTTAAACCCCGCCCGATGCAATACATCGACGTGAACCTACTCTACACAAACAATATGTGTAATTGGAAGGGTTAACAAATATTCTAGTAATATGTAACATATGTTACTAGTGTAAAAAATATTTAAAACATATTTACTTTGGTCATGGATCGTAGCGCAATTAAAAAATATTGACAGAAAAATACCACCCTTACTTGTTTTCAATATGTAGAAAGCTTAAATGCATTACAGTGGCGCCGATGTTATAATTATTTAAAAACTGGTTTACTGGCATACTCTAAAACCGTGAAAGTCTAAATCTATCAAAAAAATAACATAAACATTTGCAAGACAAAATATACTAACTAGAGAATTAAAGTGCATTCTTGGAGTACAAGCTTTACATTGTTGTTAGCACTACGAAATTCATTTATCGTTCATAACAGAAAAGAAGGAGTCTTACAGTCCTCGCCTATGATGTGTCACATCTGACATTTCACCTGCCATGTGACGGCCAACTCTAGAACCGGTCGCGCTTCTCTGGCTGTCTGTTACACAATTCCGTCCCTTAAAGCGAGAGCAAAGATTTTACACATCAATAATATTTTATCAACGCAATTTTTGTGATAGTCTTTGTTACGAGCAAGTTTAAATAGGCTATGAACACAATGACGGGCCTGTTGGCCTAGTGGTTAATGATCTTGAGTGCTAAGCCAGAGGTCGTGGGTTCGATTCCTACCCAGGGCAAATAATTGTGTGATGTTCTTATCTATAATATGTATGTATCTAGAAATATACTTACAAGTATGTTTATAGGTAGTCCGGTTACCATAGTACAGGCTCTGCCTAGATTGTGACCAGGCGGTTGTTTGTGAAGTGTGAGGTTATTATTTCTGATGAACGATAAATAGATTACATATTTAATTACTAATGTAATATAAGTAACTGGTTGGATGTCACACGTTAGTCGTGTGATTTCTTCTAAACCATTTCATCTCGTTAATGCACTTTTATTTTCATATATTTTGTCGAACACATTTTCGCTTCCGCAGACAAAGTTGTGTAGTTAGGCTATAACACAATCAAATAGGAATGACATTATATCTTACACAAGATAAACAGAGCTTAGAGTGACAGTATTTAGGCGGCTTATGGCAGCTTGTAGAATAATTGAACCATCTCACAACATATACGTATAACCGTTCTAACACATGCTTTGAATGATAATAATAATTGTAACTAATTATTTGTCACAATATTTTATTAATTTAAAAAGAAGAAATAGTGTTATTTTCTAGAGGATTGAATTGTTTCACTATATCAGGTCTATGATCAGTTGTACGAGACAAATTAAAGTGATAATTCTCAAAAAGCAGATAATTCTCAGTCAGATAAAAAAAATGTCGCTTGGAATGCTTCTGATAAAATACCTATTTATACTTGCTATTTATATATGAAATCAATTATATGAAAAAGGTAAATAGTGCTGACTGAACTTTTAGATGTTATATGCATGTGTAATTATCAAATGTAAAAAGAAAAGAGAAAAGTATTTTATGGTTATAAAATAATGTTCAAATCACCCAATTGAATGTTTAGAGTTGGTATACAAGAGAATCATGGATGATATTGTTTAAAGAACTCTATAAACGACAGTTAATAATGACTTTATAAAAATTGAGGGTACATTCAAATTTAGAGATTTTGAACTTAAATGATAAAAACTATAGTAAAATGTTACTTAATAAATTTATTACTACTAAGTGAAATATTGTCAGCAATTTAAACTGTTTAACATAGATATTTATATAATGTACGTATTCTTATTTTTTGAAGTCAGGGAAATTATATTACCTTCAAAACCTTTACAAATACTATACGTTTATATTAATATTGTTTTTAAAATACAGCAGCAGAAACGCCTGAGGCAACTACAGAACCAAACTGGAACCATATTGCGTCGCTGTCAGGTTCAGACTTCGACTTGGCCGCGCATGGTGACCACCTGGACATAAGCGACATCGGCAAGCACGTGGTGGGCCAACACGACGAACAACCGCCTCCTGCGCATGTCTAGGACCCATCGCTTATAAGATGGATGACTTAAGCTATGAATTTATTCTATACCTACAAGTTTACTTTTATAAGGAGAAAATATCTTCTAAAAGTAAAAAATCGGTTATTATATTTGAATGGCATTTAAAACATGATACTGAAATATTTTCTCAGTATGTAATTCTATGTATAGTCATTGCACGCAATGTTTAAGCCATGTACCGCTTAGCCTAGTCGACATTTGTCGAGTGACACATGTCACCGGTGGCATGTCTAGCGACATCGTAAGTAGTTATACTACAAACACTTTTGTAATTTTGAAAATGCTTTTGTATCATGCACAAGCAATATATCAGCCTATAGCTGCTTGTAATATTACGTGATTATTGTATAAATTTTACATGTGTAAATCAGGACTTATCGCGATTATAATTAAAAGGTACCTTTTTAGTACTGACGTTATGATCGAATTACACCGATTGTCGTCTATAAAGGTCTACTATGGCCCGATTTACATATCAACCCATAAAAATATTTAAGTATATTTCAATAGATTTATAGCTTCAGCACAGAATATTATAATCAGTATAGAATAATATCAGTACAGAAGTCCCACTCCGCAAAATCATTTGAATAAATAGCGACTTTTGCTCTGACACAATAAAGTGCAATTTAGCTCGCACAATGCTAACCACCTAAAGTTATGTTCATCTAGAACTTGTCTCGATCGCGTGACGCCGTATTTTGACAACAAATGTTGTCAAAATACGGCGTCACGTTGATGATAAATAAATGCAACTCAAATGAGTTGCATTTATTTATCATCAACTTTTCGATTTCTTTTGAAAGTATAAAAAAGTTGTTTCGAGTCCTTGTTATTGTTTAAGTAGCCGTAGTATTATCTTAATGTTTATCGAAGGACGCGTCGAGGCGAAGTAATAATCGGTGGCACTCATTGAATTATCCAAACAAGTCGAGTGGGTCTGGTCTTAAGTGCGGAGTGGGTCTGGCCTGGATTCAGTAATTACAAAAATCCTTATCGTATGAAATCGAGGTTCACTACTAACAAAGTAATCGCTTTAACATAAGAAGTCTAGATATTATGTTGAGATTTGTTTTTTTGAGATCTGATTAATTTTTTGAAGTTTTTGGTTTGTAGTTTATTCATTTAATGAGTGCTAATAAGGCTATGGCATAAATCAATAATCGGGGCAAAGGCGCACAAATAAGAAATCAAATATGGCTGTAATTTATTTTAGTTAAAGTTGAGGCTTTGCAGTAAATGCCAAACGGTTTTTCCACAAAAAAAACCATATTCTATTAATACCGATAAAAGAGTTAATTTAATAGAATATTTTGGAAATCGTTTCTAATATATATATAAAATATTCTATTTGTTGGTTTGAAAAATTTTTTTTTTTTAATAATACATTTTTATACACATTCTAAGAAGGATAAGAAATTAGGTATGAAAGGGAAAATGTTGTTTCCATATTAACTATAAAAAATTTGAATTTGGAAATGACCTAATGCTTCGGTAAAGTCTATATACGTACTTAAAAAGAAACAAGTGACATATCAGTCATACGGATACATTTCATAACGAGAGAGAAAGGGATGAAGGGTGTGTGATCATAATGTTTAAAGTTGAAAGGTTTATGCGATGTGAAATGTGAAAGTTTATATACCTAGTGTTAGCCAAAGATCATCAAAATCAGGCTTTTGCGACCATGCGACCATTACAAATGTCGTACTATGCATGCATTGCAACTCACATAAAAGATAGATTATAAATATTTTTTTATCTTATTAGTTTATATTTTCAAACGAATACAGAATCTCATATTTAATTGTATTTAAAAAAAGTACGTTTTATTATTTATACAATATTAAAAATAGAAGATATACGGAGAATATCCTTATACGGGTGCTACTGCGCTCACCTGCTTAAGGTACAAAAAACACACATACATAGCTTATATATTTATTTTGTTTTTGAACCGAACCGAAAGAAGTGAGGAGAATCGAAGTTAGATTCCCGATATTCGTTGCTCCAACCCGTAAAAATACAAGAGACTTTTAAATGGAGGGGAATATCTATGGAAGGGGAATTGCCTAATGACTTTTCCTCTGCCATAGAAAAGTTTATTGGTCCTTCTACGATCCATTAACATCAAATGTAAAGACAGAAATTGCAAAAAAATAATAATTAAAAAATTACTTTTAGGACTTAAACTAACTTCCTATTCAATTTGTATGATTATTAAAAAAAAGGCTTCTTTATACGGACTCGTGACGTGCCTTTTTGCAAGGCAGCGGTTTCGAGCGTCTGCAGTGAGTGTTTTTTATAAAGCTATATTCAGTGTTACGTGGGTAGGTCGTGATCAACGTGTTCAGTAGAGAAGTAGTGGACTAATGTTTGGAAGGTAGTGTTTTATCGGTGTATGTAATAGTTAGTTTATACGTTAAAGTTTAATAAACAAAAATCCTGTTCTTTTTACATTTGTATACAGTATATAACGTTACAGTAAATATTTTTAAGACTCGATTCTGTCCTTGATTGATAGTCCCATCACTAGCTAAATTCCGGAATTCCCGACATATTATCGGCCCTATAGCGAATTGTACTACAATTTTGTACTAGTTCTTATTTTACATTACGATAATGTTTTTTAAGGCTTTGCTTCCAAATGAAAATCAATTTTTCGTGACAAATTGGGCAGGGTCCTACAGAATTATTGGGGGCTCCTGCAACCGTACTCAAAGAATTGCTTAACATCGGTCTTCAGTGAGGCCGTGTTATCGCTCTGAAGTGCCGAAACGGTTACCGTTATTTTGTCAATTGAATATATGTTATGCTTCATTCATAATCCAATATATTCCATTCATTATATTTCTCTTGGCTTCAGCTTTTTGTACAAGTTCCCAACAAGTTAAATGGAATTGGGTCGGCTCGTAAACTTTTTTATTCAAACAAAGTTTTTTTTTTAATTACTATGTTATTCGTATCGTATCCTATAAATAATTATGTGCCTCGCTTTATTACTTTACATATTTATATGTAGGTACGCTTTATTATATTATGCATGAAAGAATGAGGATTTTCAAAAGTTTATTTTATATAAATCTGTGTATGCCAATATTGACGTAACACTGCCTGTAATCAATAATTCTTGTTGTTACTGTAAGCTTTTCATGTTGTAATTGTATCAAACTATATATATTGTAAGCTCAGTGTGTACGTGAATCATAGCAATTGAGACAAATGAGTTTGTTTACAATATTTTTATTGTGTTTAAACTTTTATTGAGAAATAAAATTAAGTATATTGCATGTTACTGTTACCGGTTTGGTAAACATTAAATATTTTTATATTATTTAACAGATTAAAATCAAAATAAAATAAGACAAAACTGAGGTACCGCAAGATCTAACCTTCTAACATTTTTGTTCTGAATTTAAATTGTATTCTTTAAAACTAGTGATGTACTCTTTCTTGCCCTAACTGTTAACTTATTTAGGTAAGAAACTTTTTGTCATCATCCTTTTTCATGCAATTACTTATTTACAAAGAAGGAGGACGTAGTATTTTCGGCTATATATTGTTCTTTTAATAATAATTATGTATGTTTGTAAAACGTATATATGCGATGTTTGAATGTACTCATTATGTCATATATTATTAAGATATTTAATTACTAAGTTAGTTTGGGTGATATGGGATCATTTTATAGAACAATTTTTGAAACTTGATTTCCAAATTTGACTGCTGTTTATGTGAGATTTGTTAAAATGAAAGTTTAATATATTTCGTCTGTAAAGTGATCCGCAATTATTGTATTGTGATTATATTAAGTATAATGTTTTTGGTGCTTCTGAGTCCTAATTTAATATTAACATTTTTGTAATATTTAATATCTAGCAAAGCTAATCCTCCCTGGCTGTTGTTATATGACTAGTCATCAGTATATCGTACATCATCCAAAAAATTATATTAATAATTATACAAATCAAAAAAGTAAAAATATACTGTTTCACATTAAAGTTTCTATGTATGTAATAAATTCTAAATTTATAGATTTTGAGTGATATTATCAGTTGTATATTTATTTATATATGTATGTTTAAGTAAGTTTTAAACTTAATTTGCTCATACAATATGTGTAATGTTATTCATCAAAGTGTTGTATATTTATTTACGTTACAGTTGAGCATAGTAAACAATAATTGTTAATAATTAAACGCACAAAATATGTAAGCAAATATTTTGCCGCTCGTAACTTTGTATCCAAGTCATATGTATGTAATATGTAACAGAAACGCATGTTAACGTCTTTTTTTAATTCGAATTTTCAAAGGTAAGTTTTTTGATAATTAATCGTTGGAAATGAGATCTTTTTAAGATTACTTGTAAATATCCGCTTAAAAATGGAACCATTAGAATAAAACATTCGGTGAGTATTATTCCTATTTGTTAAAGATAAAGGGTTTTACTCTCATCGACGGTAACATTTGCAAAATCGAAACTATCTTTAATAAATTAAAAAATAACTACACATTTTTGAGTAAGAACGAAAAGAAACTAATTATTTCTTATTCACTTTTCTCCATATGTGTATTTTGGGGAAACTTGACACCGACGCAGTAGTTGATTGAATCTTTTAAATAAGCACACAAGGTATGCCCTGGGCGTGACGCAAAAGGCAAGACTAACTGTCTCCAAAATACACACGTGAGTAAAACCCTATCTTTAATAAGTCCCAAAATAATTGCTGTTTATCACTAATTTCTAGCTAGATTTTTTTGTCAAAAATATAAAATAACGTAAAAATTATAAATAAAAATATTTATAGCCTTGCGTCATGTATAATGGGAATTCATTTCCATTTTTATATATTTATATGTATTAAATGTAACTGGCGGTTCATTGTATCAATGTGTCACATGTAGTACCTAGTAGAGTCGCCGTCGGTCCTTGTATAGGCCCTTCGTTGTATGAAGCTTCTATTTATGATGTTTATA